ACCTGACTTCAACAACATGCTGCTTCAAGCATGAAAAACAGGCGTGTGTAGCAGTGGTCCTACTTGCCTTGTTTACTGCACTGAAGGAAAGCTTGCCTAGGATAGTCCAAAAGTTGGTGGGGCCGAAATCAAACGCATGCAATTTTTCATGTGCAGCATCTGAAGTCATCTGAACTGTAGTGGCTGCCGCCCGAGGAACACCTTTCACATCCTCGACGGGCAAAGAATCGCAAGAGCACGCCTGGCGACGATTGGCAGACCCACCTTCCCAAGCTACTCGCCCGCCCGCCTTCTATCCGATGCTTACACCGGGTGCAAAGCCCGAAATTTTGAACAACCCTCAACAACCCTCAACAACCCTCAACAATCCTCAACAACCCTCAACAACCCTCAACAACGCTAAACCCTCAACCCTAGAAGGGACCCACGTCACCTCGTCACTGCACTGGCGCAGAAAGCCCTGCCACCGCTCCACGTCAGCGGTATTGGCAGGACTGGCAAGCCTTCAGGGACTCCTGCTTGGGACAACCCCCGCCCCCTAAACCCTAAACCCTTATTAGGGTTTAAAACCCTAAACCCTAAACCCTACAAACCCTAAACCCTTCCTTTTCAGTACAGGGTGTAGAGGCTCTGTAGGGACCAGGGCATCAACCCTTCTATCAGACCCTCCAGCTTTGCCTCGGAGCGCCCTCGAGGCGGCTGCGCCAGGCTTTGTGGCGGTGCTCCGCGTAGAAGCGGTCCATGGCCTGGCCGAGCCTGGCCGGCTACAGTACTTAGGGTTTTGGGTTTAGGGCTCTTTTTTTGCCACCCGTCTAGCCGGGCAACTGAAGAGGGAATGCTGTGTACAAACTGTTTAGGGTTTAGGGTTCAGGGTTTAGGGTACTAGTGCTAGCAGTGCTAATCCCTACCTCTACGTCGCCGACCTCCGCCAGCTGACGGGCCACAACGCACTCTCTCTACAAGTCTATTAACCAAAGTTGCCACACCGTTGTACCGACAGGTCACACAAGGAATGGCCTCTCACTCAAAGAGGAATCTATCCCCAAGGCCAAAACAATGCTCCGCGCAAGGTGTCCGTAGCGTGGTGGAGAAACTCCATGCAGCATCGAGAAGGTTGCAGCTCTGTGCCTGAACAAGAGGGGCTCCTCGGCGGCAACAGTGAGGCACAGAAGTGGAAGGAGGATAGACGCAGCCATGGCATTTGGCCGTGGATTGCATGTATTGCGTGTGGAGGAGCTAGTTGTGGGTTGTTCTGAACTGCTCAGAGACCCCGTATCCAGAACCTTTGGCTTGAGCTGATTTGGTGACAGTGTTCCGTGTTTCCGGGCAGTGCCCCAACTTGAGGATCCAAGCATGCGATCTCTACGACATCTTCGTCTTGGTAGGAACCCCCCAGATTGGCTCCTGACACAATGTCTGGATTGCTCAGGCAGGTCCTAGATTGGAGGCGAGAAACTTCCCAAACATCAGTGGGAAAGTACCACTGGTAGAGGTGGACTTGATTCTGTCACCCATTTTCCGGCTGACGCTTCGCCAAAATCAGTCTTACTGGCCTTCTCTTGCGGCAATCTTCCACAACTTGTGGGCAAGCAGGACTGAAGCTTTGTGCTCAGAACAGCGCATGGGAGCATCAGCTCATCATCATTACCACCATACACTAATCCCCATATATGAGCCGTAAGCCACATTTGGAAGGCGGCCGCACGGCAGTGGCAGAGGCACTCAGGACTGCGACTAGAATGTTCACTGTGGGTTTAGGGTTTAAGGTTTAGGGTTTAAGGGTGTAAGGTTTAAGGCTTCAGGTCTAGGGTTATAGGGTTTAAGGGGAGAGAGTACATATGCAAATTCCCAGTCCGATCGCCTCCGGCAGGGCTCCCACAAGACGGGGGGCCTGGGGGCCCTGCGCTGCGAAATAAGACCCCCAACGCTTTCGGGGGCTTAAGCCCCAGTGAGACACGGCACTGATTTTGTGCACTGCTAGACTCGTAGCACTTGCTAGGACAAAGGAAAGTGAAACTGAAACCACGCCCAAGCGATCTTGGGGCGCTACTCGAAACGGAGAAACCCTAAACCCTAAACCCTACTACACCCTAAACCCTAAACCCTAAACCCTGAACCCTGAACCCTAAACCCTAAACCCTAAACCCTAACCCTAAACCCTAAACCCCTGCTAGAATCGTGCTCCGGGACTGAGGGGCCATTCTGGCCATTCTTGAAGTTCCTGTAACATCTGGAATTGTAAGTCAGCTCCCCTACAGGGCCCTAAACCCTAAACCCTAAACCCTAAACCCTAAACCCTAAACCCTAAACCCTAAACCCTAAACCCTAAACCCTAAACCCTAAACCCTAAACCCTACAGGGCCTCTCCGTGCTTCGCATACTGTATGCGGCAAAATCTCTTCGATTCGGGCCACTTCTGAACCGCTTTCGAAGAGGTATCAGGAAATATCTCCCAGTTGCAGGGGTCTGTCAGTTGCCCTTCGGATACTTAATTATTTCCCATCTCCAGCCAAACCGGCCATGGATTTGTTCAATGATGTAGAAGAGAAGAATGCGCCATGACCGTTGTTCATTCTGTTTCCCGACGTTGCTTGCCCGGTTTAGGACCCTTGACAGCAGGTTTTGCTGGCAAGATGCCGTTGATGCTGACAGACGCATGCTCAGACGGGCCAGTCATGTGCGAGTGCTGGGCCCGTGCTTCTTGCGGCACATCAATGGCCAGACAGCAAAGTCCCTAAGTGGTAGTTTGGCTGCTCTGCCTGTTTGATTCGCAAGCCTCCCGGCATGACTGGAAAAAATCCCATGCCCCACCCCCTCTTGTGGCGGGTAGGGTGGGCTTTGGCCCGGGGGGTTTCACTTTCGGGTGGATCCGCCCGCTTGTTAGGCTGGGTTGGCGAGATCTTCATCGCTTGCCTCGATAGCACAGCTAATATCCAGGAACAATGGATTTAGACTTCGAAGGCCGATTCATGAACTCAGTCAGGTTGCCGACACCGAAAGTGTGGCAGAGAACGTGCAGCCACTTATGTTCTGGAACCGTTGCAGCACTGTTGCACACTCTGTGCCAAAATCACCATGGCAATCCATACCGGGTCAAGAATCGAGCCCTGGCACCCTAGGGCAGATGGGTTGGCCTCTTCGAGGATCAGTAGCGACAGACCTCGATGTCGAGCCTTTCGCCCTGCACCTTGGCAACGGAAAGGAGCAGGGGGAGGGGGGGGGGGGGTGGGAGGGGCGGGGGAACTTGCGATTTTTTTCCGGGAAGACTTGGGCATCCCAAAATCACACCTAGGCCCCACGCCGCGGCCATCTTCATCTTTGCCATCAACTCCGCTGGGTCTCGGCGCCGAGATGGGTGTGTTTCCCTAAACCCTAAACCCTAAACCCTAAAACCTGCCTCTTCCTGCGCAAAGAACCGAGGCCCGGACTGCCCTGGGAGCCGTTGACGGTGATAACTCGGTCGCGGCGCTTGATTCCCATACCTGAACAGGTTTAGGGTTTAGGGTTTAGGGTTTAGGGTTTAGGGTTTAGGGTTTAGGGTTTAGGGTTTAGGGTTTAGGGCACCCGAAAACTCCCCCTCTCCCCCAAGCTCCCAGGGCCTCTGTGTGATAAGTTCCAATCCTTGATAAGGCCGGGATTGACCTGAGCACGTTGGCAGGGCTAAACACGAAAAAAGAAACGCCCAACTCCGGAACTTGCCGGCTCTCTTGAGGGAATTTAGGGTTTAGGGTTTAGGGTTTAGGGTTTAGGGTTTAGGGTTTAGGGTTTAGGCACCAGCTTCCCAAATTCCTGCTAAAAGCCAGGACAGCAGCTTCTTTCATGTTCTGCGTAATCCAGGCAGGCCAGCGACTCCCAACCGAAGGTTGACAGAGCGACGACTACGGACCAGGGTTTAAGGTTTAGGGTTTAGGGTTTAGGGTTTGGGGTTTGGGGTTTAGGGTTTGGGGTTTAGGGTTCGGGGTTTAGGTTGCTATCGGTAGCAACGCAGTTACGTGCAAAAGGAACGACCACAAATTGCAGGCATGTTCGGGGTTCTGGCAAAGAGAGAAATACTGGGCATACTGAACAATGGCTTAAATTAGTGAACAGAATTGGAGTCCGCATGTCCCTCCTGTGTGGTTGGGAGCTGCATCGCTACAGTAAGTCGGCTCATGCATCGTCGTTGACGTCTGTGGAACCTTGAAAGCCTGAAGCTTAAACACAACAAACGAGAGCAGCAAGGTCAGTGTCGATCTCGCTTCTCAAAGAGCATGTGATGAATTCTCTGAAGTAGGGTCCTTCTAATAAGGACCCCAAAAGGTGTCAGAATGTAGAGAAATCACCATGTGAAAGTCCGAAAGGCACAGGTGTGTTTCGGACGGGGCTCGCACAAGTGCAGTAAATCTTTGAACCGTCTGCGCCAACGACCCCATGGACCAGGAAGATGCCCCAAAGCACTCTGGGGTTTAGGGTGTTAGGGTGTTAGGGTTTTAGGGTGTTAGGGTGTTAGGGTTTTAGGGTTTTAGGGTTTTAGGGTTTAGGGTTTACGGTTTAGGGTTCAGGGTTTAGTACTGCGAGCGTACGTCGCCGAATGGTATCTGAGTCCCAGAGTTCGCTCGGTGGCGCAGAGGATGACCAGGAAAATCATTGGATAGTGAGACATACAACGCCGTCCACAAATTTCTCAGATGTGTCCGTTCCAGGACGGGCTATTATACCCTATAGCCTATAACCCCTTAAAACGGCCCTTTATAGGCCTGATTCTGGGGATTACAGGGCCTAATAGCCCGCCTGTGTTTCGTCCTGGTTTTGCAGCCGGACTCCTAAAACCACGATGGACGGAGGCGTGCGGCGTTGGAGTGGCATGGAGCTACTCAAGCTGGGGGGCCTCCTCACAACCCCCTGCGCGCAGTAGCCATTGAACACGCCAGCATGGGACAACCAAGGACCCAAATCGGGTTTCGGGTTTCGGGTTTCGGGTTTAGGGTTTAGGGTTTAGATTCACAGAGCAACTAACAGCATCAGAAATGAAGCACGTTCAGCTGAAAGCCGATCGTGCCTACAATTGCAGTGGAGAAATACACAAACTTCTGCAGGACACCCAGCGTGACGCGGGTGTCCCACATGAAGAAGCCAGACTCACTGAGGCTCAGAAACAGAGACAGATTCATGTACTCCAGTTCTGACTCTTCGTCATCACCATCCTGGGTTTTTAGGACATAAGGCTAGATCCGCGCGAACAGTTTCGCGCGAATTCTATCCTTACCGCCCCCACAAACACAAAGACGAAAGTGCATCAACCCTACCCTTCGTTCCTTAGTACCCGCCAGGCATCAAGCATGCTAACCAAAGAAGGGAGTCTCGTGCAGTGAGCCGTCGTAGAGGCTGCGACATACCTTTTAGGGTTTAAGCTTTTAAGGTTTCCCTACCTTTGGGACTAGACCCTGGCAAAAAAAGCACATACTTTTTTGGGTATAAGTAGCTATCATAGAAACCCGGAACCAAAAAAAGTAGGAAAGTCTAGTACTCCAAAACCCAGGTTCAGGGCCACCCGGTAACAATTTCGGGTTTCGACTCTCGCACTCGCGCAAGCAGGCAAGGATTCAGCCCAGCTTCGGGTACAGGGTTGACCGTTTAGGGTTGAGGGTTTAGGGCTTTTTTCTTGCCACCCGCCAAGCAACCCAGCCGCACTGCAGGGTAACATTTCGGGACGATGTACAGTTTCAACTGTGTTTCAAAAGGGTTTCGGGTTTCGGGTTTAGGGTTCAGGGTTTAAGTTCCCCTAGAGCTTCAGAGATCTTTCGGTGTCTGACACCTGCCTAGGGCCTAGCAGGCTGAGGGCCAACCAACACATGCAGGTTTAGGGTTTAGGGTTTAAGGGTTAAGGGTTAAGGATGTTAAGGATTAAGGGTTTAGGCTTTAGGCTTTAGGCTTTAGGCTTTAGGGTTTAGGGTTTAGTTGCAGGGGCAAGGGTTCTTTTGGCCAAAGAAGCCATACGAGCTATGACGATTACAACTGCAATAAGACCCCACAGTAATTAACCCGGAAACCCTGAGCCCTATGCCCAAAAAGCCGTCGCAGCGACCGAGGCACAACGAGCTGAGCAGGCTGCCCGCCACCACGAGATTCGGGAGCATGTGCAGCAGCAAACCCTGATGCTGGGGAGACTTCCCCCAAAACCCCAACCTCGACATCCCCCCGGAAAGACGCTGAATTACATTGCTGCAGGTAAGATAGCCTGATATGAATCATGCGTCCTCATACGGCCTTATAACCAACCCTAAACCCTAAACCCTAAACCCCTAAACCCCTAAAGCAGATGTCCTGTGTCTGTTGGCCCGAGTCTTTACATCGGTCGGAGCCCCTTCGCAGCCCAAAGCCGGATGGAACCGAAACCCGCATCACATTCATAGGGTTTAGGGTTTAGGGTTTAGGGTTTGGGGTATGGGGTTTGGGGTTGGGGCTTGGGGTTTGGGGTTACGACAAACCTGGTGCATGTCGAAGAGTGCAGTGAAGGACACCAGCATCGTAGTCAGTGCCAAGGCCGCAGAGGTGAGCTGATACGTGCGTGAAGCCTGGCGCATGCAACCTGAGTTGCATGCTTCCGAAAAAAGCCCTCAAGTCTTAAGCAGATCTTCCTTGGCCAGGGTTTAGGGTTTAGGGTTTAGGGTTTAGGGTTTAGGGTTTAGGGTTTAGGGTTTAGGGTTTAGGGTTCAGGGTTTAGATTCTTGCGAAGACTCTCAGTGGAGCTGCCAAGGCACTTGTCATCTCTCGCCACTTGGCTCTGGCCTCCTGTCCATCAAGCAGTCCACCAAGCAAGGACCGCGCAAATGCAACGATGGTCAAGGAGACGCCACGCCAACACGCCACTTGCAAGTAGCAAGCTCCTGGTCATGGACCACACATTAAAGAGCCGTGTTTGACCATGTACCCTGCATGAAATGTAGTAGGCAAGAGCAAGCACAGACAGCAAGAGGTGTGTGTGTGTGTGTGCACGCGTCTGTCCTAGAAGTGCGGCTGAAGCAAATGCGTGCGGGACGATCTTCAGGGCGAGTTCTTCATGCAGCTCCAGTTGAAAGGCATACATCCATATGCGGACTGCCAAGATTGCCATCCAAAGAAACACCTCGCTGTGTGGGCATGACTCAGAGGGACGCCGCAAACGACACATGAAAAGAGCACACGGCAAGTTGCCTGAATCCGCCGAAGCCTCAGGCCGTAGTTGTATGGGTAGCACAAAGCAGGTACCCACCTCTAATCCCCTCCGGTGACATGGGCTCCTCGCCCTGTCTGGTTGTGTTTGCTTGGAATGGGTACAACTGCAGCATTGGGGGCCGACCATAGGGGACAGACACCAAAAGCGCCGCCACAGGCACGGCTTTCTTTGTTTTTTTTGCTTTATCTCTTGGGTCGCGCAGCGGTAAAAAATTTATGTATGGGCAGTTTTGGGGTCAGGGCTAGTTCATCATTACGTGGCATGTCGTACCTTGGGGTACCCAAAGCAGTGGTGGTGGGCCCCTGGCTCTCACCCGCTTGCCATGTAGTAAACCTAGCGGTATCAAAATGACCAAAGCCAGGGGGCCATAGTGAAGCCATCGGCGACCTTCTGTCTCCAGAACTGATTCTCCAAGTCTGCGAGATGAATGCTTGCCTCCATTCACATCTCTCTGACTTTGTGATCTGGGATGGGTAGTTGCACAGATTCTGCACAGCTACTCGTACTAAATATTACTTATTTTGCTATATTTTCTCGTCACGAATGGCAAGGGTGGCATGTTGTGTTCTATCTTCATGGTCTAAGCTATGCACACGCGCTGACCCAGGTTCCTTCAAGTGCTCAGTTATCAGTATCTGCATCTGCGCACTCTTGAAGTAGTGCCGCAACCCACCGCAGGAAGCGATAGCCAGTGCAGCTCCCAGAGCAACGGCCACATCCGTCGCGGGCCAGCCGGTGCAGTCGACGTCGGGTTGGGCTGAACAGACACTCAGGTTACTGGCACCAAGCGCAATGCACCCCAAGCTCAGCAGCAGCACCAGGCTGTGGTAGGCCTTTGAGAGGAACATCATCCTAGGATCCAGATCTTCACACTGATCTTTTGGATTCTCGATCCATCGCTGGACCAGCGGCGTCAGGCCACAGAAGCGTGTCCAACATTCGAAGACAATCAACAAGCGCCGCCCTGCTGTGACGACACCTCAGGGCAACCTACATCATCAGCTCTCACGAAGGCCTACCGAGTATACTGGACTACGAAGGCCGAAAGCCTTATAAACCTTAATACAAGGTTTTTGGGACATAGTGGGGGACACATTGCGTCACAAGCCTCCGTGGGAATGGGACTCCGGCACGTCACTGGGAATGCGAAGGCTGGTGCCATTGGTTGCGGTTGAGACGGGGATGAGCTGAACCTCGCGATGTCGGAAGACATTGCTCAAGGACGCGGCATGGCTGTTGCTGGCGTTGGACTTGGGCGTCTCGGGGACATTGGGCGGAATGATCTGGTGAGCCTGATCCGATGTGGAGATCCCTAAGTCCTGGGCTTTGGCCAGACTCACGCCCGGGCCGTCCTCATCTGAGGCACTGGGAATGGTCTGCGGCAGGATGTTTGCAATTGAAACGCTCTTGGCAGACATAGCCATCGAGGTGAGGCCCATTGATGCACCAAGGTGCGTGCCACTCCTCTTCCAGCTACTATTCTTCATGGCTGACTTCATCACTCTTTCCCCTAACATCTGATCAATGTCATCAAAGTCAGACAACCGGGCCGATGAGATTTCGGGCGTTTCAGGCTTGGAGATCTTGGAGTTGATCGGCTTGGAATGCCGGGAGATGATGGAAGCGGAGGAACCTTGGCTTATTAGGTGAGGCTCAGAGGGAAGCAGCAAAGCCTTGCTGAGCTTCTCCTCGATGACGGCCATTCTGCGGTGCACATTCTGTATCTCCTGCCACTGCTGTTCACCAAGTCGGAGAAGACTGTTCAACTTATCGTCGGCTGACGGTTCGGGTCCTGTCTCCTCGAGGATCGAGTCTTGATCCTCGAGGAGGATCGATTGCCGAGAGCTTGCAATGGAAGACTTGCGCCCTTGCCCCAGAACCAGGTCTGACTCCGAGGCTTTCTCTTCACCTTCATCCACCTCTTGGCCGGAGGCTGAGGGCATTGGCAGATACCTAAGTGAATTAAGCACTTGTGGACTCGGACCTGTCTTCGGCCTAGACATGCTGGCGCTCTTCTACCGCTACAGCTGTTGCGGCGTGTGCCCCTAGCTGTGATGGGCTGCGCTGCTTCTTTGGTCACTCTAGTCAGCTTGAGACAGCGAGCGGGATGTCAAATGTTCAGTAGGGGCCACGTCAAAGAAACAGCAGCAAAGGCGCCTGTGCATAACAAGCACTTATACAAACCCCAACACCTCAAGCTTGGTAAGTACTTATGCGTAACATTCATGGAGTAACCCTTTTCGCAACTGGACTGGAATGGACTGCCAGGAGAAGACGCATCTCTCAGCCAAACCCCAAACCCTAAACCCTAAACCCCAAACCCTAAACCCTAAACCCTAACTAGGGGTTCGGGTATGGCATCCTGTGGACCCGGCAGTCTTCACGAGGAGGCTGGTCCCTGGGCCACCAGAGTCTTCTGGGCATGCAGGGTTTGGGGTTTAGGGTTAGGGTTTAGGGTTTCGGGTTTAGGGTTTGGGGTTTAGGGTTTAGGGTTTGGGGTTTAGTCGCTTTTGGGGTTTAGGGTTTGGGGTTTTCTTCCAGCAAACAGGCAGCATGTAAGAGCAGACACCGCCAAACCACCCAAGCCGATGCATCAATGAAGTCGAAAGACCTGCAATGAGCAGAACCTAGAACTACGGCTGTCAACAACATCACCAAACCCAAGGCAAAAAATCCGGCACATCCCACTCGTCAGGCTTACACCTTCCTAGCGCAAGGTCCTTTAGACCGAGAGGCCAGCGCCGTTCTCCAGACAGGGTGTAGTGTTTGGGGCTTGGGGCTTACTCGGAGCTGTCTCTGACATCTGATTTGGGGTTTAGCTCGGGCACAGTGCACCTTGATCATGCGATCCCTTATGGAAACACACTTTTCCTAAACCCTAAACCGCGAAGCCTTGCGCATACGGCTTCGAGAACGTCTAAGCCCACAGGGCACCCTTGGGGTGCAAGCCGTTGGGCGCATGCTCGACCTGCAGGCCCAGCCTCAGGGGTTAGGGGGTTGCGGGGTTAGGGGTTAGGGGTTTAGGGGGTTAGGGGGTTAGGGGGTTAGGGGCTTAGGGGCTTAGGGGTTTAGGGTTTAGTGTAGGGGTTCAGGGGTTCAGGGGTTTGGGGTTTAGGGCTGAGGCAAAGGGTTCAGAGGTTAGTATTGGGACATATATGGGATTAAGTGTTGTCTCGGAAAATCGCACTCTGACACGGCAGGCAAGGATTGGTCGGACTAGGTTTGGGGTGGTTGGGGGTCTCTAGGATTGGGGCTCGGGATGTTCACCCCTTTTCTAACAGTCCTTAATAGGGATTCTAGTACCCCGCTTTTTCTCCCAATTAAGAATGTTCGCATAAGGGGGAGGGATGCAGGGTTCTGGGACATTTTTGTGACATTCTGGTGATCTTCCCTAAACCCTCAACTAAACCCTACACTGGCCCTAAGCCCCACACAATCCCTAAACCCCAAACCCTAACCCCAAAACCCCAAACCCTAAACCCTAAACCCCAAACCCTAAACCCTAATCCCAAACCCTGAACCCTACCCTACGTGGTCTCCATGCCGGTCCATGCCATGTTGGGGAACAGACGGCGCATACGCTCTCGCAATGCTGATGGTGAAGGCCTGCCGGGGCCAACTGACTTCGGGGCCAGGGAAGCCTTTTTGGGATATTAGATGAAGGATGGGATTAAGATCGGATGAAGAACATCTCCACATACCAGAAGAACATCTCCACATTATACCAGCATGCAGAAAGCTCCAATCTGGTGAGGAGTTGGGCAGCTGAGAAGCTTGCGCAACGCGCACGTCATTTCGAGGCCCTGGCGACTGGCCGCTTGATGGACAGTGTCAAAGCCTTAGGACTCCCCCCCAACTCCACAGCCCCACTCTGAGGCCCCAAAGATGCAAAAAAAACATCCGAAGAAGCCGAGGACTGTGCAGTATCCGCCTTTAACCGTTCCAAAAGGGCCTGACCAGCACATCTCGGCCCTTTCTCGCCCATCCCCGGAACACTGCAAAGAGAGTCGTTGCTCTGTGGCTTCGGCTTTCAAATCTCATGACAACTTCCAATCTCAAATATCTTCCTGTAGCTAAGCATGTCATGAACAAACTTCAATGAGGCAGGGTGCCTCTCAAATTAATGGACTTATGCGGTGCCTGCGAACTGCCTCTGGCTCCGTTCACCTCCACGATACTGTCCCCATGCCTGGGCACGAGGCCATCGGCACTATTCAATGCCAGTTACAGTTGAGAAGTGTGTGAACATGACGCTTGGCACGTCTGAATTGCGCAGCTGCTCTGTGACATTTTGCACTTGCAAGCACCTCACCTGCATTTTTCGCACAAGCACGCAATGGTTGCGGACGCCTCACTCAGAGCACTCTGGGCGCTGGAGGTGCCGCGTAGTACCTGTACCAATCTTTCATGCGGGCTGGGCTGGCACCCAGGTACCAGGCAACGATGATGCACGTGTTCCTCAGATGGCATGGCGGATACCCGCAAGTGCCCAAAGGGCACATGTCTGGAACAACTCTGATGCTACCTTAGTGAAGCTGAGAGTCAGCAGTTGTTGCTTCAACGGACCCATCGCCAGCATTCGCCTTGCTGATGTGGTCACGGCCAGCGGGAGGAAACGGAAAGCTCTACGGTTGAGCTTGGCCATCCGCATGGCCTCAGCGAGCTCGGGAATCCTCCCTAAAACTTGGCATCTAATCCTCCAAACCTCATGATCATGAGTGTGACACCCACCGGCTCCTCTTGACCATTTCCCAGACTAGGGGGTACCCCATGTAGAATAGAATCCCCTTAATAAAGGGACCCCCACAAGGGTACCCACATTTCGGAAGCCCCCTCTTGCCCTCCCCGTAAACCCCAAACCCTAAACTAAACCCTAAACCCGAATCCCTAAACCCTGAACCCTAAACCCTAAACCCAATGAGTCTCTGAAGCACATGTGTAGTCTCAGTCCCTGGCGAGGTCCACATCCTCCAAAAGAGGCCACTCCCTCCAGGTCTGAGGGTTAGGGTTTAGGGTTTCGGGTTTGGGGTTTAGGGCTTGCTTCCAGCTCAAAGAGGAACCATTTAGTACTACTTCATGTATCACTGTAGACGATTCGACTGTCCGACTTGCAGCAAGACTCTGTGGGCTGCGCAGCTGCTACAGTACGCTGCTGGATAAACGTGCCTGTAGCCTTCCAGCTGTTCGAAAGCTTTTCGCCGGACGAAGATGCCCCGATCCCCGAAAACCAGGCGTGGAGTCCGGCAGAAGGCCGTGCGGGTTAGCCAACCTAAGATGCACAGCTTCTCCTAAACCCTAAACCCTAAACCCTAAACCCTAAACCCTAAACCCTAAACCCTAAACAGAAAGGAACCCGAGTTGAAGAACAAGAAAGAGCTCATCCAGAACATTCCAGAACTGAGCCAACCAGCTCCACAACCGCAATGTAGCACTCTCCGACTCCTCGTCAAAGCGCAACTCGAAGCACCCTCCCTGGATATCGGGGTCGCACAGCGCCACCTGCCCAGCTCTCAAGCACACCCATTTTTCAGGATGTTCCCTCTTCTACTAAGGGTCCTTGATGAAGATGATAATCGGGGTACTATAATCCCTATTAGGAACTATTATTTTCATATAACATCCCAACCCAAAATCACCAGAGGCGAAGACCCTTGGAGTTCTTGGGGCAATTTCTTGTTGCGTTGGATTCTTGGCCCCTCTCTTTGCAACAGGCGAGGCGGGGAGTGCGAGTGGCAGCCCACCCCATCCAAGCAGGCTGCGTTTACAGCGCGACCCCGCGCATGTTTAACATGCGCCAGTTTTCAGCAGGCTGCAGAACTTCGAAGGCAGCCAAGCTTTGCAAGTGTATGCCATCTGCGTTGGATAAGACCACCCGACATTAGCAACAGCTTCATCCAGATATTCCTGCAGAAGCGCCCTCTGAAAACCAAAAGCTGCATGTACCATCTGCAAGCGAGAGCATGCATGCGTGCGCGATAGCCCAACCCAGCGCAACGTCGACACCAAATGCTCCCTAAACCCAAAACCCTCAAGCCTCAACCCCCAAAACCCACTACGATTATTGTTGCTATTATTCTTCTTCTTGTTCTCATGATTACAATCAGTATTATCAGTATTACTATGATTTTTATAGTTCAGCTATACTTACGATTACTACATTCAGAACTGGCCTGGAGCTCGGCTAAAGCTCCAGCGGGCAGGTGGGTATCGGCGTGGAGGAAGAGGAGGACAGGTGCCTTCAGGGATCGGACACTTCGAAAAGTTGGGGACCCTTATAAGGGACCTTAGGGTTTAGGGTTTAGGGTTACTTCGGGGTTCTTTTGGGGCTACTGAAGTCTTACATGGGGACTGTTTGAGGTATGCATGTAGGGGAATAAGAGAAAGGGTCCCTTCTAGGGGTCCCTCCTTTGACCCCTCAATGCTCGACGTGCCACTCCAAGGGCCTTTCCTCCCTACAAGGTCCTTTGGGTCTACTTACCCTGAAGCATGAAGCCCTTTGAAAACCCTTACTAAAACCCTAAACCCCAAACCCCAAACCCCAAACCCCAAACCCCAAACCCCAAACCCCAAACCCCAAACCCCAAACCCTAAACCCTAAACCCTAAACCTTAACAACTCCTTAGACAGCCCTCTCCAAGGCTACACACGTAGACCCAACTCCAGGAACCTCAGTGCTCTGTGCCCCTGCGTTCATTTGCAGGGACCGGCCCTTCTCCGACGCGAGGACACGTGCTCCGCAGCTTGCCGCCACCTCCTTTGTGCGGTCCTTAGCGCAAGACGCGCTGGCGCAGGAGCTGAAACTCATGGGTTCAAGGGCTGAAAGGGTGAGGGCCTACAGGGGAGGGGTTCGGGGGGCTGTTGGGGGATCAGAGGGTTCTAGGGGATTGGGCATGGACTTCTAGACGCTGAACGCCGAAACTTGTGCTACCCAAACGGGCCTTCAGCGGTGGATCAGCCCACAGCAACCACCTACAGCCACCTACAGCCTGCTGCACCTTTAGCTGATTCTAGACTTGAACAGAAACCCAAACCGCCTTAACCGGGAGTTGGTTGCTTCTTGACTCTGGGGGAGAGGCAAGATGGCCCGAAACCCCCAAAGTCCTCGAGGGGGTCCCATGAGTCGTCCAAGCGTGGGAGATGAATACCATGAACCCGAAGACTTTAAGCCCGAGAACTTCGTCAAAGTACACGGCACCTTTACTTCAAAAGTTGCTCTGCAGTGCGCCCAGAGTGCTGGTGGAAAAGCAAGGGGTGTTAGGGCCTCACATGAACATAAAGGATTTAGGGTTCAGCATAGAGGGCCTCGCGGAAAGGCATCTGACTGCTATGGCTAAGCGCGCCACATCTACAAGGTCTAGAAGTACGAACCCTAAACCCTAAACCCGAAACCCGAAACCCGAAACCCTAAACCCTAAACGACTCCCATCATCCTACGGCTTTTTGGAGAGGCTCGGAGGAGCCCGGATCGACCACCACCACCTCGCTGGGAGGAGGCTCCTGCGAAAGGGGGGCGCTCAGAGTTCGGGGTTTAGGGTTTAGGGTTTAGGGTTGGGATGTTCCCCGTGGTCCTCAGGGAGGCCTTAAAGGCCGCTTAAAGTACTGCAATAAGGATTCTGAAGAAAAATCTCCCAAAAGCAGGGGACCCTTACAACCACCACCAAAATGACCGGCTCAGGGCTTTTGGGCGGGGACTGCGGGGGCTGCGGGCTGCAGAGCTCCTGGTCGAATACCGTGCGTAGTGTTGCAGGCAGAGTCTTCTCCTTGCACGTTGCCATCGAATGCTCGCCCGCGCCGCACACAGAAGCCTAGAGATCCTAAAGACACAGCACTGCTCTAAAGTCTCCACAGCCAGGCTTGCTCCTCATTCATCGCCGGGATGACCACGGCAATTCGCAAAGCGGAGGAATCCATGATGCTAAATGGGGTTGGATGCTTGAAGCTTGTTGGTGAGGATGTCACGTGGTGTGGCCTGGTGCTCCACTTTCGCTCCCAACAGTTGACACGTGACACCACGTGTGTGAGAATGCTGGCGTCAACACCGTTGAGCCACACGCACGGCAAGCGATTACGCGCAGGGAAGCTTCGCCACACATATGGGGGTTTACGATATTAGGGGTACCTTATTGGTTCCTTATAAGGGGAATCCTTCTATTTGGGGTCTATATTAGGGGTCCCCTATTTTCGTAAAACCCCCATATCTCACCAACCTACAGATTGTCTACTGCTGTCTGTCGCCCGCTGCTGCTCCGTGAGCCCGGCTGAAGCATGAGATCTTCGTCCTCTTGCGCTTCATTATATGCACCTCAGCATGCACGCGGCTCAGAAAGGAGAGGGCTTGCACGCGTGGGTCTGCTGGACGTCCCTTCTTCAGGCTCAGCTGCTCTCTCTGTCTCTCTCTCTCTCTGCCTCCTTCTTCTTCTTCTTCTCTGAGGGCTTAGGGGGGTTGCACCCAAGCGGTGCAGGTGGGTATGTGTAACCATTGCTCTTTCTTTAATTTCTTTGATTTGTTTCTATCTTCTGCTTCTGTGCGGTCTCAAGAAGGGGAGGCCCTTCCAAGACGCCCATGTCGCTCTCTCTCTCTCTCACTCTCTCTCTTTTCTTTTCTGTATTTGTTGATCTTCTTATTCTTCTTCTTTGTATTCTTCCAGTTTCCCCCTGTCGAAGAATCTACTAATTTCGGTCAGAAGAGGAAACGAGCAGGTGTTCAGATGTGTGGAACTCGATCCAGAAGGTGCATGGACGCCATTCGCTTCATGATCCTCAAACACCCCATCCTCAACTCAAGAACGATCCCTGTGGCAAAAACCTTTGAAGGACTCAAACATCGCAGAGTCCGAGCAGCCCCCTCTCACCTGCGCCACCAGGCTCCACGCTCAGCTCACTCTTTTCAGTGGCTACCAGGCTACCAATGACTAGGTCCAGGTCGAGTCAGGGAGTCACGTAGACTCAGCCCTGGCTTTCCCGCTTTCCCCTGCACGGGGGCTGCAGTTGCTGTGTGTGGCTGTCTTCGCCTCTTTCTTGTGGCGAAGAGCTTCGCCACTGTGTGGAGAAGTAGGTGATGGTGTAGTGCTTGGTCTGACTTGCAGGAGAAGGCGCGACGGGCTCAAGCCACCGACAAGGGGCAAGTTCCCCCCAATGGTTCTCTTTCTATTATTTGATTGTTCTCTTCCTTCCTTCCTTCCTCAGCACTCTCTCTCTCTCTCTCTCTTCCTTCCTTGCTTCCTTCCACAACACATAACCCCCGAGGGGATCGTCCCGAAGGACGTGCTCTAGTGATCCAGTCGGTAGTGAAAACTCTCTCTCTCTCTCTCTCTTTTGGATTGCTTCCCCGACTGGCCATGTGCCAAAGCTCGGATTCGGGCGAATGGGACCTGCCTGGCAAAGAGAGGCTGGCCCAGAGATGGATCATCACAGTTGTGCTGCACTCACACAGCCTGACTAAATTTAGGGTCCCTTTTGTGGGTACCCATTATCACACAGCACCCTTTCAAAAGGACCCCCCAAAAAGGGAACCCAACAAGCTTCTCCGGAGAGGCACCCTCTCCGCGCCTTCACCGCACTAATTATCAGAGACTGCCCGTCCAAAGCATCCAAGTTGAGGCCCAGTGATGATCCAGGCGCCTGAGAGACATTCATCAAGCAGCAAGGATGCAGAGCTTCAGCCAGGCCCCATATGTCTATGGAGGGGTATTCCGCGAGAAACCTCTTGACATGCATCTGTGTGCACCCTCGCTTTGTCTGCTTCCCTGCTGCGAGTAGTCCGAGTGCCAGGCGCGCTCTATCTGCACAGTAAATTCTGGATTGCTCCTGACCATGCCGGGGGGTTTCCGAAATTAGGGATACCTCACAGGGAATCCTACTACTTGGGGGTCCAGGCTCCCCTATTCTCGTAAGTCCACACTTCAGCTGCCCCCTTGGCTTTCGGTCGTGCGGAGGTCTCCACGTGGCCCGTAGCTGAGTTTCCCACGTGCCGGCGGCCGTTGTGGCGAGCGATCTGGCTGTCAGGAGGCCGCTACCAGATGACATCGCCTGAAGCATCAATGCTTTATCCTTATGATTCATATGATTCATATGATTCATATGATTCATATGATTCATATGATTATTAGTTCAATATTGTTTGCATTGTTGAATATTTACCAGCTCGAGGCTCAAGAACAGCACTGAGAGGTTGCCCCTTGAAGCATCGACCCGCTGAGCACTCAGAAACACTCAGAAACAAGATTTTTAGGGTTTTAGGGTTTCGGGTTTAGACGCAATCCCAACCCCCTCGCGCTGGCCCAGCCTGGTGGTCACTCATGCCTGCATAGCTGTCCTGCAAGGCTGAGGTTATCAACAGGTCTGAGTTCGAGCACCCACACTCCCCCGAAAAACTCAACAAATAATGCCCCCCCCCTCCCCCCCCGCCCCCCAAAGAACAGCACATGGCAGGCCCTAAACCCTAAACCTAAATCCTAAACCCTAAACCCCAACCCTAAACCCTAAACCCTATACACCTTAAACCTTAAAAGAACCCCAAACTCTTCTGGGGGAGTCGGAGCCGGTCCCTGGCGCTGTATGGGGCCGTGAATGAGGAAAAGGAGACGCCATTCCTGAGCAGACAGAAGGCATTCTGGTCCTTAGTAGGGAAGGAACTAGGGCCCTATACATACCCTTTAAGGGATTAGGGCCCTGTAGATACCCTTTAAGGGATTAGGGCCCTATAGATACCCTTTAAGGGATTAGGGCCCTTTGCATACCCTTTAAGGGATTAGGGCCCTATAGATACCCTTTAAGGGATTAGGGCCCGATATATCCTAAGAACCAGCCAAAGGCTTGAGGCCTGTTGGGAGCCACGGCCATTTCCGGAGCACATGAGCCTTACTAAGTATTCTCCTTATCTAAATTTATGTTCTTTTTGTTATCATGACTACTCTTTATGTTTTTTACTGTTCTATTTGTAAACTTCTCCACTTCCAGAAGCTAGGCGCCTGGGAATTAGGGTCCGGCTTAAGCTTGGAGCCAGCAGCCAAGGGGCTTTGAAGGACTGTTGTCATGCATGTCCTCCAGGAGGGTCTTGCCCCTGGCGGCCTCCAGGATGACATGGGGGTTCGACTCTCACGCTGGCGATTTGAGGTTTAGGGTTTAGGGTTTGGGGTTTAGGGTTCAGGGTTTAGGGCTAGGGTTTAGGGTTTAAGGGATCCTTATCATAAGGGATTTGGGGTCTATACTAGGGGGTCCCTAGCCGTCGCTCACATTCCCAAGACCTTGTCCCTCTTTACATTGTTTCTGGCCTCGTGCTTGTCGAAACCCTGAAAGCAGAAGCTGACCCTAAACCCTAAACCCTAAACCCTAAACCCTAAACCCTAAACCCTAAACCCTAAACCCTAAACCCTAAACTAAACCCTAAACCCAGCAAGAGCTCCCGCACGCAGTGAGAAGCGATTTTTTCCTCTTGTCCGGGCGCGACGGCCGAATCCCGAGCCAGAACCTCGGAAGCGGGCTCCAAACCCTAAGGACCTACACCCCAATCTGCATCTGTGGCTGGGGGGGGGGGTACCCATGTTTGGGGCTCCGAAATCGAGAACCAGGATGATGATTCTGTTGGGGAAATGCTCGCATTTCACTTCGACTCCGACCCAAACTTCCGGAAGAACGTTGTTCTGTCACCGGATGCTTCGCTTTCGCCAAGCCGGGAGATATGGGATCCCTTAACCCCAAACCCTAAACCCTAAACCCTAAACCCTAAACCCTGAACCCTAGCCTAAATCCTATAAACCCTAACCCTATAAAGCCCTCAACCCGAAGTTCCCAAGGCACGCATTGGTGCCGCCAGCGCTGGCGTCGAGCCGAGCGGGAGAGGCGCAGATGGCCTTCCACTCTGAGGCGGTGAGGCCTGCGAGCGCTTTGTGCGTGTATATATATATATATAGTAATAAAACATACACACACGGATATATATATATATATACATATATAAAAATATACACACCCATATTCTCCTATATATATATATATATGTACACCATGAATGCAATGACAAGTCATCACAGAGCGGGGGGGGGGGGGGGGGAGATGCAACTACAAGCCCTAAACCTTGCACGACAAGCCCCATGATCTGCAAACAGAGCTCGGTGAAAACTCCCTCAAAGCCAGAAGCCCTTTAACCCCAAAACCCTTGTTGCACTGAAGCCTGAACTCGCCAACACTTAACCCTCAAGAGCCACAAAACCCTGAAGCCCCTGTAGTCTTTCTGATATTTTCGCGCAGATCCCGATTTCGGGCCTCGACTGGGTGCCGGTGGCCACGGCTCCTCCACGAAGACCTCCTCGGTTGATGAAAAAACAGGTGATCGTATGGTTTTCTCTGCAGTTACTTGGTTCCAATCGTTGTTTGGGGTCATGTCATGTCGTCCTGTTTATTGGCCTGCGGGACGCTTTCAGCACTGCACCCTGCAAGTAGAAAGAGGCAAGGTCGAGATGCTCCGAGCTTATGTTAAATATCAGCTGCCCACTGGCTTTTAGAACACCATGCCTTTTGGCGCACTTCTCCCGCCTTGCGGGGGGTCTTAAGACCTCCTGTCGGGCTTATGCTTGCTGCTGCAGCGGCGGCGTCAATCACTTTGCCTTCTCCTCTGCTTTCCGGTACTGTTCAGTTAGAATAGGGGTTTCAAATCCCCAAGCAGTCTGCCAACACTAGGGGTATACAGTCTGCCAACACTAAGGCTTCTTACGTTCAGAGTTAAAGAGAGTTAGTTGCTCGCGCAGCGCCTGCGAAGCACCCCCGAAAGCGTAACTCTCCACAATGCGAGCCTGCGTGCGGACTCCCCGGGGCCTCGAAACGTCACACATGACATGCTCGCGGCTTCGTGGATGTTGTCGAATCGCGCTCTCGCCTAGGCCCCGTGCATCTCTTGGTCGCTGACCGTTCGCTGTGTGCGTTCAGACAAAGGGGATTTGCAATTCCGGCTCTCGCCTAGGTACCGCGCGCATCGACCTCGCCATCGAGGATCCTCGAAACTGTCGACGCTTACGGACGTCGGAGTTCGCGTAATGCGAAACTGTCCTCGCTTTTGGTGTTTTTGAGGTCCGAAACTGACGAAAGTCGACTTTTGCAGTACGAAGGAAAAGTACGCGGAGGTTTCAGTGGCATCAAAGTCGCCCCATCTGGTCTCTCACTGTTGGGGTCTGCGCTGGCACAACTAGGGTAGCTAATTTCATGCCCTCTGTCAACGTTTAAGCTCCGGTACAATCTCCGAAGCCCCTCTTTGATGAGCGGCCAAGTGCTCGCGTCGCACTGCCAGATCCCCGCCCGGAGTGGAGACACGCCAGCGGCCATCCTCCCGCTCTTCAGCAAGCAAGACCTGCAGCCACGTGTGGGGCTTCCGAAATTAGATGTACCTTGTTGGGGTCCTGATTCTAGGTATTTGGGGGTCTATATTCGGGGCCACTTTTTATTTCTATTTTTTCGGAACCCCCCCTCAAGTCAGGCCTCAAGCTTACAAGATTGCGAGCAAGGGGTCCGCAACTTTTCTGCATCCACAATGGACGGGGGCACCATCTTCACCACGGAAGAGCTCACGGACACAACTTACATAATGAATGATTCAACACAGCACAGAAAGCAAGCTTCAGCGATCGTTGCAAGCGGACTTGCTACTCAAAGCCCTGAGCATTTGCACGGCGCTTTCCAGAGCTCTGGAATCCTGGAATTGTATTAGCGCGCCCTGCCTTTGCGGGCGTGGGATACAGGGGCCGCTGAACAAGTATCCCCTCATACGCTAACACTTCCTACCTGTTAGGACTGGCGTTGACTTCCTCTGATCCACCTTGCCGGGTCCTCTCTCGCACTTCTTCTTATTCTGCACTCTCTCGCCTTTGATGGGCTTGAGGTGCACTCGCTCTCCGACTCTCTCCTTCCTCTTCTTCTGCTGAGCTTCCCTCGGCCAATTGGTTCCTCTCTCTCTCTCTCTCTCCGTTCTCTGTGGGTATGAGTCAGGCTCCCTCAACCCCCTCCCTCTGCTGCACAAGACAGCATGCGGCCTCGGCTCCATTCAGGTCGGGCCTTTTGGTGAGCCTTGGGGCTTTCACTTCTGGATTTGGCTCGGGTTTCTGGTGAGGTGTGTCGGAGGATGGTTGTGTGTGGTGAAGGGTCAGGAGGAATATTGTATCAGCTATGAAGAAGGCAAGATTTGGCATTGTGCCTCAGGTTCCATCAAGCACCAGGCGTGGCACAGAGGCATAAGGCTCCTGGTTGGAGCGGTACCAGAAGCTCCTCTCCCCAAACCGCGTATAATCGCAAACAAGAAGCTTAAACCATGTTTTGAAGCACCAATATGCACAGTGGCCATTCATGCCAACAAGCATGACTCAAACTTGCCACAAAGCAAATAACATTAATCAATGTTCAAGAAGAAGTAATTCATCAGACATCCATCTGTCTGCTCAGCCTCGCGGCCCACGGATCCGAGCCCAGCGTCCAGGAAGCGGATCTGCACCCACGGCGGAGGGCTGGCACAGCTGCGACGCGAAGGGGTTCACCTTCATCTGCTCACTTGGGGTTACAGGGGGGACTGTATGGCTTCGGGTCTTGTTGTCATAGCTGCCTTCATTTTGGGAGCCCTTGCGGAACAGCTGCCATGCAGAAGTAGTGGTAGAAAGCGCCATAGGATATGGCCAATATCGAGTCGTGCTCGCTCTCTCGATGTCTGAAAATCCGGCGCCCACTTTCAGGCAGAAAACGGATCTTTCTCCCATTTCGGGCTCCTCAACCCTAAGTTGCTAAGCCCTACAAGCCCCGGAAGGCCTTAGCCCTCTCTGTCTCTGCCAAGCTGCGCCCACAAAGGCGATGTCGAGGCTGCCTTCCTCAGACTCCTTCGAGAGCCTCAACGGGCGCGGGGGCGCTTTCATTCGAACCCCCCCCCCCTGAATGCGACGCCCCACCTGATGCTGAACATTACATGTCCTTCAATCAAGTCTATACACCCTACGTGGCCAATCTCGAATTCACACTTCCTTCAACAGCAACTTGTACACCCAGACATCTGGCGCTGCCATGGCTCGCATTCCACAGCTCGGCAAGAGTTGCCAGTGACCGAGCCGTGGCCAGGACGGGACGACCAGCTGCCAGCTCCGTTTCGAGGGCCTTCACAGGGTTTAGGGTTTAGGGTTTAGGGATTAGGGTTTAGGGTTTAGGGTTTAGGGTTTAGGGTATCTACACCCTCGCGGCCGAAACTGACACTTGGTTTCTGCTTTAGGGTTTGGTGAAGCCCTTGTACGAACCCATAGGGCCGATCAGGCAGCTTGTAGGACGTTTGTATGACGATTTTTTTGCCACCCGCCTAGCTGACACTGAGGCCACAATGCAGGGCGCATTCCGTCTCTGAGAAATCGAAAAGCGGTGCCTTTAAGGCTTGCAGAAATTTAAAACTGGTGATTCCTGCTCCCACAAGTCTCCATCTCCTGACTCAGGCATGTAAAAGATTTGAGGCTTTGGGTTGAGAGTTTAGGGAATCCCGAGAACTCTCAATAATTTGGGGCTGAGGGCTCAAGGAAGTGGATCGGGATGGGATACAGCCGAATGGAGCTTGTGTCTCGTGCTGGAAAATTGCTTATGCGGACTGAGGCCAAAACTTACCTCCCTGCGAAGGAATGGCATGTGCAGTGCAGCAGTTGGGGTGGTGCGGTCCAAACAACCTGACACCGGCAGCACTGCAAGGCTTCAGGATCTAGATGTGGAGTAAGGTGCCGTACCCAGTTCTGAGGGTGGCACGAAATCAGATGTGAAAATTCAAGCCATCATGAGGATGACGCAAAATCAACTGTACAACACATCTCCTTTGTTTGAGGGTGACTGCAGCACATGGCGCCGACGATGGCCATTCATTCACGTTCGCCGGTCTGTCTACATCCGACTCACGCAGACATCGCGAGCGCAGTACTTGCGAATGGGCAGCCCCCATCTCTCCATGCGTTGAAGGGTGTCACTGTTGCCGAAGACTTCCACTGAAAGGCACGTGCGGAGGCTCTCCGCGGCGATGAACAGGTCGTGGCAGGCTTGCATATGTGTTGCAAAGCCTTCGAAGTCTCTGTAGAGCTCAGTCACCTTCTGAATCTGGTGGTCGGACGAAAAGTGCCATCGATAGAACACGTTTCCCCGTGTCTCCTTCTCCTGCAGTTGGTTGTAGAACTGCTCTTCAAGCTCCATCAGTGGCTCAAGGCATCCATCGTGCACGCGGCTTGTCGCCACCACGAACAAAGCTGTGGACCAGTCGGAAAGTTCGAGTTGCGGCGCTTGATAGCAGGCGTCCTTCGCCGAGAGGAACAGGGAGGGAGGCGGCGACTTTGGGCAGAGGCTGGGAGGGAGAAACACCTCTTCCGAGGTGGGCGACAAGATGTGGCCGAGGCTGACGTCATTCTCGACATCTGCCTCGCTGGGTTCCGTGAACATATCGAGGAAGGCCACAAGTTTTCCGGTCCCTGCATGCCCCCAACACGCGAAGACCCGGCCACCTTGCTTGCGAGGGAAGGTTCGATTGAGCTCCTCCACGGCGGTCTTGAGCCTGAGTGATTCTTAGTAGGGAGTTCGGGAATTCGGCAACTAGAATGTGCCTGAAAAGGGCTTTCTTATAGGTACCTTATCTCCGAAGCCCCTACTATAGAGCTAGCAAGAAGCTCTCCCACTGGAGTGCCCTCCTCCTGGAACCTCCGCAAGCGTATGACCGGCTGGCTTGACATGGCTCACAAGGGAAGAAAGTCAGCTAAAAATCTTGAGCCGTAGCCGTGTAGCCATGTAACGAAGCCAACAGTCTACACCGATAGCTGCCCTTGCATGACCTTTGCAGGGAAACTCCTCATACGGCTTCAGTTTGATGCCTGCAGCAAGGCCATGGTCACAGCCACTTCGGCAGCCAGCACCAAAGCAGCACCTAGGGTTTAGGGTTTAGGGTTTAGGGTTTAGGGTGCCCGAATGAGCTTGGTTTCGGCATATGCTAACTCGGGCAGGAAGAACAACTCGTCAACACCCCATCAGGGCCTTCGCATTCGAGTGTGTCGAGCGCTTGGACTTGGATGTTGTAGAAGGTGGCCCGGGGCAGCTGGGGTCTGCCAGCGGAAATGCAATAATTCAACAAGCAGTTTGAATCCCCCTAAACCCTAAACCCTAAACCCTAAACCCTAAACCCTAAACCCTAAACCCTACTGCCCTTCTCGGGCTCACAAACTCTTAGCTAATGCAGCAACTTGGTCTTGAAGCAGCTTGCAGAAGCGCCCTAGCACACCATGTGTAGTGGAGCCTAGCGCGTTCACATTCTCTCGCCTCAACTCCGCGCCAGTGAAGGGAATCTGCGCCGCAGGTTGTGCCAGGGAGACCCGCGAGCCAGGGGCTGCATCCAGCCTGGCGCAAACATGCCGGAACACGCCAAGATACTGAACCCGAATTGAGGGTTTCCGAAAATAGGGGGTACCATTTTGAAGGTGACTCTGTTTCTGTTTGGGGTTTAAAAGGGGTACCCATATTTTCGGAAATTCCCAACTCAAGAACCTGGAAGAACATGAAAAGGGTGCTTCGTGCCCTGAAACTACCTTCGGGACCAAATGAACCAACAAAATTGCAAAAATGGGGTCATATACCCTGTAGTACCATAATCCCTATTGAGGAATATGAGCCATGAACCCGTTTAGGGCTTAGGGTTCATGTCGTCCGCAAGGTATCAGATTCTTGTCAGGTAGCAGGTCTCGCCACCAAGCGCTTGGCGCCCAGTTGAGCTGCGCCCAGGGGCCCCAGACTACCCGCAGACAAAGGGGAGGAAGCTGGATCGGGGGCCCTGGCCAGGGTTTAGGGTTTAGGGTTTAGGGTTTAGGGTTTAGGGTTTAGGGTTTAGGGTTTAGGGTTAAGGGTTTAGGGTTTAGGGTTTAGGGTTTAGGGGGCCGAGACTGAAGCCAAGTGAGCTAAGTCAGCTTCAGGTTGCCCCCTAACCGATCAGAGCAGTGGTGTGGAGGGGTAGATGCTGCATTCCATGGCAAGTGCTGAGAAGGGCGACAGACAAAAACCCAACAATCAAAACAGATGAGATCCCACACCCACAAGCCCTGAGACCTCTGAAAGCTCCTAAGCTTTTCCCTTCTTTTGCATTCTCTCCCCTATCTCTTCGTAAATGAGGGACTGAAGGTCCCTATATGCATATACCCTTGAAGGGATTACATAGGGCCCTTACTCATTCCCTACTAAGAACCAGCCTTCCGGTGGCGTTGTCGACCACAGAGCTGGTAAGGGTAGGGCCATGTCGAAGAGGAAAGCGGCGCGGAGAACGGTCCAGCTCCAGGTAAGGCCTATCCGAGGGGTTTCTTGGGAACTTCGAACTTTGGATGACTTTGGAGAATCTCTACTGGTTCAGACTGGTCTGCGCCCCACGAGCTCCTTTTTGCCCGAATGGAGCCGTCCCCTGGGCACCACCCGGCACCTTTGGACACAGATTTCTGGCGTCTGCTGAACGCAGGCGTTTCTCCCGCCAGAGGCCTCAAGATGCCCACTCCTGGTTGACAGGAGCCCCCCGGTGATACGCAGGAGGATCAAGAGAAAGGAAGGTGTGTCTTGTGGTGTTCACAGGCACCTTTGCTTTCTACCCCCCCTGGGTCCCGCGTGCAGCTCGACCCCGCGGCCGCATGCGGCTAAAACTTGGATCTCGGCGCTCAGCGAATCATCGAACTTCGGCGCAGTTGGGACATGTTGGACATATTTGGGACAGCTCTGGCATCTGCATACATGTTTAAACCATATGTAAGATTGATTACTTCGTACGTGTATTTCTTGTATTTTCTTATACATATCATTTCGAGTTGTTACAGTTGCGAATGTCGAGGCTTATCTGGCCCGCACTAGGCGACCTCCGTGCTGAGGACTCGCGAGTTCCACGGATCACGAATTAGAGCGAATTGGGGGTGCAAAAAGCTGGCTTAGGCGCTGCAGTTCACGCAGCTGTACTTCGGGCCCTCAGCTTTGAGCGCTTCGATTGCCGAGGCCTCCAGGCCCTTCGTCGCGGACGTGGCCGTGGAGGCATCTGAGTCAGAGGCCAAGGACTTCTGTGCTTTGGCCGTTGCGGTAAGCTTCTGGACATCCACGGTGAACTTGATGGCATCTGCAGCCGCCTTCGTTCGAAGGTAGTACAGACCCGTCTTCAATCCCAGCTGCCAGCCATGGAAATGCATGGAGGACAGTTTGGCGGTGGTGACATCCGTCATGTGGATGTTCAGCGACTGCGACTGGTCGATGTAGGCACCACGGTCACCGGCCATATCCAGAACGACCTTCTGCCTGATCTCCCAAACCGTCTTGTACAACTCCTTGAGATCTTGCGGCAGGTCCATCTTCTGCACGCTGCCGTTGTGCGCGACCAGTTGCACGCGGAGCTCCTCGTTCCACAAGCCACGCTGGATGAGGTCCTTCAGCAGGTGCCGGTTCACCTGCACGAACTCACCCGACAGGACCCGGCGCACGTAGAGATTCTGCGTGTAGGGCTCGAAGGATTCGTTGTTGCCGAGGATCTGCGCGGTGCTGGCCGTGGGCATAGGCGCAACGAGCAGGGAGTTCCGGAGCCCAAACCGGGTGATGCGTGTCTTGAGGCCGGCCCAGTCCCAGCGCCCGCTGCGCGGTTGCCGGTCCCAAAGGTCGTATTGCAGGAGGCCTTTGCTCGCAGGGCTTCCTTCATAGGTTTCATACGGGCCGCAGGTCTCTGCAAGTTCACAGGAGGCCTCGCAAGCGGCAAAGTAGATCGTTTCGAAGATGTCCTCGTTCAGGCGCTTTGCCTCCTCGCTCTCGAACGGCAGCTTCATGATCAGGAAGGCGTCTGCCAGGCCCTGCACACCCAAGCCCACGGGCCGATGGCGGAGATTGGACTTGCGAGCCTCTGGTACCGGGTAGTAGTTCCGGTCGATGACTTTGTTCAGGTTCCGGGTCACCACCTTCGTCACCTCGTAAAGCTGCTGGAAGTCATAACCGCCCTCAGCGCTGGCAAAGGCTGGCAAGGAGATGGAGGCAAGGTTGCAGACTGCCACCTCATCCTTCGACGTGTACTCGATGATTTCTGTACACAAGTTGGAGCAGTGGATCGTGCCGAGATTCTGCTGATTCGACTTGCGATTTGCATGATCTTTGTACAGCATGTAAGGCGTCCCAGTCTCCATCTGAGACTCGAGGATTCGGAACCAGAGCTGCTGCGCCTTCACCGTCTTGCGGCCCTTGCCTGCGTTCTCGAGGCGGATGTACAAGTCTTCGAACTCCTGTCCCCAAAAGTCCATGAGACCCTTGCCGGTCACCTCATCAAAGGCCTCGTTCGGGCAGAAGAGCGTCCAGTCCTCATTGTCCTTCACCCGCTTCATGAAGAGATCCGGGATCCATAGGCCGTAGAAGAGGTCTCGGGCACGCTGCTCCTCCTTGCCGTGGTTCTTCCGAAGCTCCAGGAAGTCGAAGACGTCCGCGTGCCAGGGCTCCAGGTACATGGCGAAGGACCCCTTCCTCTTGCCGCCGCCCTGGTCCACGTACCGAGCCGTCTCCTGGGCGCATGCTAGGACGCGCAGCATGCCGCAACATGCCGCAACATGTGCAACATGCGCAAAGGACTCAACGAAAAACCGGCTAGCCAAAGCAACGCCTAGAGCCCGGCACACTTGAAATGCATAGGCAGAAGAGCCAAGTCTCGTTGAAGTTGCGCAGCATGGGGACGAGGCCGTTGCTGTGGCCGTTGGTGCCCCGAATGTAGGAGCCACTGGCACGGACGTTCGAGATGGCCACGCCAATCCCACCGGCCGACTTGGAGATGGAAGCGCACTGCTTCAGTGTGTCGTAGATGCCTTCGATGCTGTCCCCCTGCATCTTCAGGAGGAAGCAGGAGGACATCTGAGGCTTCGGTGTTCCGGCGTTGAAGAGGGTCGGGGTCGCGTGTGTGAAGAACTTCTGGGACATCAGGTCGTACCTCGGTGCAGGAAAGTGACGGAAAGTGCTCGCACCAAAGAACCAAAGAAGATCTGTGCTAATTATGCCTTTTTGGCCTGGCTGCGTCTCTAGGGCAGCACGGAGGTCCCCCGTGTGGATGCCGCAGGCTGCGCGCATGATCATGTGCTGCGGCCTCTCCACGATCTTTCCATGCACACGCAGGAGGTAGGACTTCTCCAACGTCTTGAAGCCGAAGTAGTCGTAGCCCAGGTCTCTCTTGTAATCGATGGCCTCATCCAGCGCCTCCGCATTGGCCTGGATGAACTCCCAAACGTCCTCAGCCAAGAGAGCTGCGGGCCTGCCCTGCTTGTCCACATAGCTGCGCAGGACCTTGCACGTCTCGTAGAAGGAGTCCGAGGTGTTCTTGTGCAGATTCGACACTGCGATCCGTGCTGCAAGAGTAGAGAAGTCAGGGTGCTTCTGCGACATGTACGCGCAAGTCTCGGCCGCCAGGGTATCTACCTCCGACGTGGAGATGCCGTTGTAGAATCCCTCGACGACCTTCTGCGTCACGGGCACCGGGTCCACGAAACGGGAATCCAAGCCTTCACAGAGGTTTCGGATGCGCCGGGTGATGGCGTCGAACTTCACCTCCTGACTTTGCCCGCTCCTCTTCACCACGAACATAGGCGCCATGGGCACTGAGACTGGTGACAATCTCTTTTCAAGTTGACCAGCTGAAATGCCTTGAGCCACAGCCGTTGCACGGCCGGCAAAGAGGATCGGGTGAGGCGACTGACCTCTCATGTGCTCATGATGTCTCCAGTCTACAAGCCGCGCCCTGCATGCTGCAAAAGACGGCCGCTGCCGCTGCACGGCGGCTTTTTCATCCGAACGGAGCCTTCCCCCTGGGCGCTTCTCCCGCCAGAGGCCTCAAGATGCCCACTCCTGGTTGACAGGAGCCCCCCGGTGATACGCAGGAGGATCAAGAGAAAGGAAGGTGTGTCTTGTGGTGTTCACAGGCACCTTTGCTTTCTACCCCCCTGGGTCCCGCGTGCAGCTCGACCCCGCGGCCGCCTGCGGCTAAAATTTGGATCTCGGCGCTCAGCGAATCATCGAACTTAGGCGCAGTTGGGACATGTTGGACATATTTGGGACAGCTCTGGCATCTGCATACATATTTAAACCTTATGTAAGACTGAAAACTTCGTACGTATATTCCTTGTATTTTCTTGTTATACACATCATTTCGAGTTGCTACAAGTTGCGAATGTCGAGGCTTCTCTGGCCCGCACTGGGCGACCTCCGTTTTGAGGACTCGCGAGTTCCACGGATCACGAATTAGAGCGAATGGGGGGTGCAAAAAGCTGGCTTAGGCGCTGCAGTTCACGCAGCTGTACTTCGGGCCCTCGGCTTTGAGCGCTTCGATCGCCAAGGCCTCCAGGCCCTTCGTCGCAGACGTGGCCGTGGAGGCATCTGAGTCAGAGGCCAAGGACTTCTGTGCTTTGGCCGTTGCGGTAAGCTTCTGGACATCCACGGTGAACTTGATGGCATCTGCAGCCGCCTTCGTTCGAAGGTAGTACAGACCCGTCTTCAATCCCAGCTGCCAGCCATGGAAATGCATGGAGGACAGTTTGGCGGTGGTGACATCCGTCATGTGGATGTTCAGCGACTGCGACTGGTCGATGTAGGCACCACGGTCACCGGCCATATCCAGAACGACCTTCTGCCTGATCTCCCAAACCGTCTTGTACAACTCCTTGAGATCTTGCGGCAGGTCCATCTTCTGCACGCTGCCGTTGTGCGCGACCAGTTGCACACGGAGCTCCTCGTTCCACAAGCCACGCTGGATGAGGTCCTTCAGCAGGTGCCGGTTCACCTGCACGAACTCACCCGACAGGACCCGGCGCACGTAGAGATTCTGCGTGTAGGGCTCGAAGGACTCGTTGTTGCCGAGGATCTGCGCGGTGCTGGCCGTGGGCATGGGCGCAACGAGCAAGGAGTTCCGGAGCCCAAACCGGGTGATGCGTGTCTTGAGGCCGGCCCAGTCCCAGCGCCCGCTGCGCGGTTGCCGGTCCCAAAGGTCGTATTGCAGGAGGCCTTTGCTCGCAGGGCTTCCTTCATAGGTTTCATACGGGCCGCAGGTCTCTGCAAGTTCACAGGAGGCCTCGCAAGCGGCAAAGTAGATCGTTTCGAAGATGTCCTCGTTCAGGCGCTTTGCCTCCTCGCTCTCGAACGGCAGCTTCATGATCAGGAAGGCGTCTGCCAGGCCCTGCACACCCAAGCCCACGGGCCGATGGCGGAGATTGGACTTGCGAGCCTCTGGTACCGGGTAGTAGTTCCGGTCGATGACTTTGTTCAGGTTCCGGGTCACCACCTTCGTCACCTCGTAAAGCTGCTGGAAGTCATAACCGCCCTCAGCGCTGGCAAAGGCTGGCAAGGAGATGGAGGCAAGGTTGCAGACTGCCACCTCATCCTTCGACGTGTACTCGATGATTTCTGTACACAAGTTGGAGCAGTGGATCGTGCCGAGATTCTGCTGATTCGACTTGCGATTTGCATGATCTTTGTACAGCATGTAAGGCGTCCCAGTCTCCATCTGAGACTCGAGGATTCGGAACCAGAGCTGCTGCGCCTTCACCGTCTTGCGGCCCTTGCCTGCGTTCTCGAGGCGGATGTACAAGTCTTCGAACTCCTGTCCCCAAAAGTCCATGAGACCCTTGCCGGTCACCTCATCAAAGGCCTCGTTCGGGCAGAAGAGCGTCCAGTCCTCATTGTCCTTCACCCGCTTCATGAAGAGATCCGGGATCCATAGGCCGTAGAAGAGGTCTCGGGCACGCTGCTCCTCCTTGCCGTGGTTCTTCCGAAGCTCCAGGAAGTCGAAGACGTCCGCGTGCCAGGGCTCCAGGTACATGGCGAAGGACCCCTTCCTCTTGCCGCCGCCCTGGTCCACGTACCGAGCCGTCTCCTGGGCGCATGCTAGGACGCGCAACATGCCGCAACATGCCGCAACATGTGCAACATGCGCAAAGGACTCAACGAAAAACCGGCTAGCCAAAGCAACGCCTAGAGCCCGGCACACTTGAAATGCATAGGCAGAAGAGCCAAGTCTCGTTGAAGTTGCGGAGCATGGGGACGAGGCCGTTGCTGTGGCCGTTGGTGCCCCGAATGTAGGAGCCACTGGCACGGACGTTCGAGATGGCCACGCCAATCCCACCGGCCGACTTGGAGATGGAAGCACACTGCTTCAGTGTGTCGTAGATGCCTTCGATGCTGTCCCCCTGCATCTTCAGGAGGAAGCAGGAGGACATCTGAGGCTTCGGTGTTCCGGCGTTGAAGAGGGTCGGGGTCGCGTGTGTGAAGAACTTCCGGGACATCAGGTCGTACCTCGGTGCAGGAAAGTGACGGAAAGTGCTCGCACCAAAGAACCAAAGAAGATCTGTGCTAATTATGCTTTTTTTGGCCTGGCTGCGTCTCTAGGGCAGCACGGAGGTCCCCCGTGTGGATGCCGCAGGCTGCGCGCATGATCATGTGCTGCGGCCTCTCCACGATCTTTCCATGCACACGCAGGAGGTAGGACTTCTCCAACGTCTTGAAGCCGAAGTAGTCGTAGCCCAGGTCTCTCTTGTAATCGATGGCCTCATCCAGCGCCTCCGCATTGGCCTGGATGAACTCCCAAACGTCCTCAGCCAAGAGAGCTGCGGGCCTGCCCTGCTTGTCCACATAGCTGCGCAGGACCTTGCACGTCTCGTAGAAGGAGTCCGAGGTGTTCTTGTGCAGATTCGACACTGCGATCCGTGCTGCAAGAGTAGAGAAGTCAGGGTGCTTCTGCGACATGTACGCGCAAGTCTCGGCCGCCAGGGTATCTACCTCCGACGTGGAGATGCCGTTGTAGAATCCCTCGACGACCTTCTGCGTCACGGGCACCGGGTCCACGAAACGGGAATCCAAGCCATCACAGAGGTTTCGGATGCGCCGGGTGATGGCGTCGAACTTCACCTCCTGACTTTGCCCGCTCCTCTTCACCACGAACATGGGCGCCATGGGCACTGGGACTGGTGACAATCCTTTTTAACAAGTGGGCCAGCTGAAATGCCTTGAGCCGCAGCCGTTTCATGTCGGGCTGCTTTTGCGTACCAAATCTTTTGAAAGCTGCTTATACGTATGGAGGGTTTTACTGATGTGTTTATAGGGCTGGGGGAAGATTTCCCCCCATGCTTAGCGCCAGGCAGACTTGGCGGCTAAACCCTAAACCCTAAACCCTAAACCCTCAACCCTTCAACCCTAAACCCTAAACCCTAAAACCCTAAACCCTAAACTGGGGCCTTCGGATGCCAGGTCAAAGAAGCGCTTCTCCTTGTAGAGCTTGTGCTGCATCTCCTGGTGGGGGCCAGGCGGGGAAAAATTCTGTCACCAGGAACCAACCGAAAAAAAAAAAAAAAAAAAAAAAAAAAAAAAAAAAAAAAAAAAAAAAAAAAAAAAAAAAAAAAAAAAAAAAAAAAAAAAAAAAAAAAAAAAAAACAGAGCACTGCAGGATGAACGAAGAAGCAACTGGGTTCCAAGGCCTGTGAACAGCAAAATCAGTAGAACCTTTTTGCATCAGTGCTACAAAGCGTCTGTCCGAAGCTCGAAGCCACCGCCAGACCCGGCCCGCTGCGCAAAAAGCCGCCGCCAGCCTAAGTCGTTCTAAGCTCGGGTCCCGCGATATTGTTGAGTTTTTGTTACCTGCCTACCACACCTAACAATACCTGACAATGCCTGACAACCAGGCAAAACCCTAAACCCTAGACCCTAGACCCAAAACCCTAAACCCTAAACCCTAAGCTTACTCCCCCCCCCCCCCCAATTGCTAAGGGAGTCCACTGACCTCCTGTCTGTCAGTCAGTGCCCTGGGTCGGGGAGTTGGGCCAAGCCCGTGTGCCTGAATCATGTCAAATGCCACAGCATGGCACGGCGTTGCCCGTCATTATTATTCTTGTCATTGTTATTACTATTAGCATTATTCATATTTGTATTTTTATATTACTACTCGTAATCTTATTATAGTATGCCCAAAGAAGGCCCTTTTGCAACTCCAAACGCTCCCTGGCCTCGCACCACGTACGCCCACACAGGCTCCACTGGTGGCCAGAGCAGGGCAGCAGTCGCCGCCACGCGAAGGTGCCTTTACTCGAAATTACGAAGTTTAGGGTTTAGGGTTTAGGGTCTAGGGTCTAGGGTTTAGGGTTTAGAAAATTTTCCGACTATGATATACCCCCTTCTAGTATCCACGTCCGAAGCCCAAGAAAAGGAACACAGGCATTGGCATCCAAGCAAACGTGTGGGCTGTGATCTAAGTCATGGCCACATTTTTGCACAGTAGCCCACATGATACGGAATGCAGGACAAATGCTTCCCAAAAGAGGGAACAATTCCCCCCCCTTAGATCATCGTAAGTGGGGCGAATATTCGGGATTGTGTGAATCAAGGGTCCTATAGCTCCGATCGACCCCCGAATTTGATAGCTTGAGATGACAAGGGTAGCTCTGCGAATCACCCTGCGCGTCTCAGCCCGAAGCCCTAAATCCTAAACCCTAAACCCTAAACCCTAAACCGATTCCTCAAGGGCCTGTGGTCAGGAATGCCAGAGCCAGCTAGGAAAGCCTGCCCTGGACCAAGGAGGAGCTGGGCAGCCTGTCCACAAGACGCACCGAGGGCTTCAGCTTCGTAGCCACTGATGACCCTATGGCTTTTAGGGTTTAGGGTTTAGGGTTTAGGGTTTAGGGTTTAGGGTTTAGGGTTTGGATGTGCAACCGGAAAAACACTCGTAAGGAAGTGCGTGCTGTGGAGGGGCGATTAGACATGCTGCCCAAGCATGCCAGAGTTCCACGCCCTTCAGAGCCACCCCTACCGAGGTCGCTTCCCACGCAAAGCGGGGCGATTGCTTTCACGACGGCGATATTTCAGAAATTGCAGTGCCCCGTTCAACAGCACGCCTGGACCTGCAAGGAGTGGTCACGGAAGCTGGCGTGCGGGCTGACAGGTGCAGGCTGTCTCCCAAGCTCCAGATCCTCGGAGAGAGAGGGTTTTAGGGTCCGACCCGACTTCGAAAGTCTACCAAAGCCCCATAAGAGGAATCATAGACTAGGCAATCTCTGTTTGGGGCGATTTTTCAATGGTGCTCCAATGTGCTTCACATGTTGGAGGGTTCAGGGACTCGGGTCTTCGGGTTGCGTGGTGGTTCCAAACCCAAGAATTCCACGCGCAGCACACAGCTCAGGTTTTGGAGTGAGTGTAGAAAAGCTCGGGGGGGTGGGGAGGCCGAAACCGTAAAGCCTAAACATCACAGGAAAAACACTGGAAGCGAAAGAACCAGTTCGGAAACTACCCGCGCAATCCGAAACCACGCCGAAGCCTGATTAATTAAAGCGTTTCAACAGGCTAGTCAGTGACAGTTAAAGGCCCTAAACCCTAAACCCTTTTACCCTGAACCCTAAACCCCTTCCTGGGGATTTTAGTGGTGTGCCTCCCCGGAGTTCTGTGAGGGCCACTTGCCGTCCGACGTGACCAGAGGTGGCCACACGGCCCATAGCCGATGCTTCCCCACCTGCAAGACAGGGTTTAATCGCTCACTCTCGGACACGCCAGCCGAGGCACACTCATCCACCACATCTCTACATCTCTACATATCCCCTCCTCCATTTTACCATTCTGGGTGATACGAAGCTATGAAAGAGCTTGCTGAAAAAAAACTCAACTTGCAGGTTTTGGGTTTGGGGTTTTTTGCTTGGGGCTTGGGGCGATGCCCCCGGGTTTGAGTGTTTAGGGTTTAGGGGTTAGGGGGCCCCTAGACCCCTGGCCCCTCGTAAGAATCACCAAGACATCCCCCTCTTAGTATCTAGCAATGATCACCACAAGAGCAAGAACAATACTAAAGCAGAATTGAGGCCAAGTCCGTGGCAGCGACATCTCGGCATGCTATTCTGTATCGGCAGACGATGGCAGTCAAGCAGCCGCTGCAGCTCTTGCTATCTGTTCTAAGAGTTCTTCTTTCTTTCTTTCTATCTTTCTTTCTGTATCTTTCTTTATCTTTCTGTCTCTTTCTTTCTCTTTCTTGTTATTAATTTAGTTGTTTCTTGTTCTTTCTTTATCTTTCTTTCTCCTTCTCTTTCTTTCTCTTTCTTTCTTGGCTTCTTTAGTTCTTTCTTTTCTTTCTGAGTGAGAGCCAGAGCCGTGCATGATGCACGCCCCGGTACCGCTCCCCGAGAGACATCGCTGCGACGATCGGGTGGGCCAACACCAAAGCTCAGACGAGCTACGTTATAATTTGAGAATATGTTAGCCTAATAACTAACTTACCAATTTATCGATTTAGTGATCTGGGGTAAGACCGGAACCGCAAGGCTAGGGCATGCGGTAGCCTACCGGTAGGCCTACCGGTAGGCTACCCACCGGCCAGTGCTTCCCGATCTTGAGAGTCCCTCTCCCTGAGCATAACCCCAACCCCCCCTCCCCCCCCCTCCCCCCCCCCACCGTCTGAGAGGCCGGCAAAGCTTGTGAAGCGATTGTCGCCTTGAAGTTCAGCTTGCAGCACGTCATCGAAGGACTCCCACATGAACTTCATGGAAGCCTGCTGCCAGAACGCCAGGTTCGAGAGATGTATCTTGAACAGGCCAGCACTGCAGTGCTAAACAAAGAATTGCCGATGTTTCTGGACGTGGCAAGATGAACTCCTGCGGAGTTCATGCTACACACGCATATAGAGACTAGCCACGCCCATGCACAGCAAATTCGACGACCCCTGCCCTTGCGCACCTCCATTTTCTGGCAGCCGCGGCGGCTGACCAAGTAGCCCCAGACACCTGAGAATCTGAGAGGGCGTTCCGTTAGAATGGCTATGGACTCCGCTTTTTTTCGTACAACGTCCGTTTATGACGAGGCCGTCTCGAAGCCAGGATTTATTGCAAGGCGACGTTAAGTGCCTGTTGTTGACATCCGAATGGCCCGGGTTGCTGCAGTCAACTTTGCCGTATCCTTATCCCTTTAACTGTCTTGGACGACTTGGACACCAAATCGTGTCGAAGCCTCTCACTTGACCAAAGCACTGCGAACATATCATTGCGTAATACTTGTGCTTGATATTTGGTACAAGGGGGCGTAGCGGCGTAGACAGCGGATCACCCCTAAACCCGAGCCAGACACCACAGCAGCCGGTGGAGAGCAGGTCTTCCCCAGTCATTGCCCGGGAGCCAATGGAGTAGAGGAAGTAGGTGCTCCTCTACTCCCCTTAGAACTTTATTGACAATTCTATCTTTAATATCCTCTTGGGTTTTATATGAACAAAAATTTAGAAATAATTCCCAAAGGGGGGGATGTAGGCTCTCTTGCTGCAGAGTGGGTGTGTAGCCATACAGCTCGGCCATGAACTCCTCTTCCTTCGACCTGGTCCCCGAACACGGATGCCTCAGCTGCATGACCTTCCGGCGCTGGGCGTACTGCAGGCTGCGGAGGCGCCAGTCTAGAGGGCCCAGGATGATGACATCCAGCAAGTCACCGGCAGACTCCACAATGTCTTGCAAGACGCCGTTGAAGTCGCTACTCAGCACCTGGTCATCCTCCAGCACCACCACGAAGGGAGATCCCTCTTCCAGGCCCTGTCGCAAGGCCCGCATGTGCGACAGCCAAGACCCCACGTAGCCCACGTAGTGCCTCTCCTGGTCTGCAGTCAACGCTACGCCAATGGCCGGCCGGGCCTCGTCCCAGCGCAGCGCAAAGCTTGTGAGGTCCCGGGTGTAGGGCTCGCATTGGCTTCGCCGCACGACGCGGTGCCGGCCGTCCGTTGCAGCGAAGCGACGGGCACGGAGGTTGCAGCGGCGTGCTTCTCGACGCATGTCCTCCAGCCTCGCACAAGTCGAAGTGCAACACAAGTATATTATATATATATATATATCTACTTATTATTTATTGATAAGCAACTAGCAAAGTAGCTGTAGCAAAATTTGCGGTGACTGTGGGGGGAGAAAACTTCAGAGAGCTCAGGTAGTTGGGTACTACCTTGGGCTTCTCCACATTTGACCACTAAGCATTGCCTGTGAGGACTGCGATCCAGATTCACGACGAAAACGGGTATGTCGGGCACAGATGTTGCCAAAGCGCTTGGCTTGGAAAGGCCGATGTCTTCTTGCAAGGGCAGCTCCTCCGTCACTCTTTGGTACAGGCGCTCTGCGGCAGCACGGAACTTCTTGAGTAAGAGCTCCTTGACCGTGCGAAGACATCTCTGGCTGACAAAATAAGCGCCTTAAGCCTTACGCATGTCGCATGCTCTGCCCACACGTCCACTGCCGAGCTTCATGCGGTCTTTGCGCGTGAGCCAAAGCCAGGGAAATCCGCGCCATTGCTCGGGCAGAAGGTTCCGGACCTCGCAAGAGCCACGAGCCTTCCCCCTCTGAAGCCTTCACTCGGTGTGCTCCCGCTCTTGATTCTTGATTGCTCTTGCAGGTTGCATGAACATACTTGCCCCTCAGGACCTGCAGGGAGGTCCTCCATCCCGCGCAGGCACGGATCCTTTGGGATGTCCTTGGGTACGGGCATTTATGCAGCACATGAGGCAGCCACCGTACAAGTTTGTGGTTCGAAACGTGTCGAGAGCGTCCTCCGCCAGGTCGCCGTTGCGGCGGCAGTCATCGCAGTACTCGCCTCGTGCTGTCAGAACATCGGCTTAGAAAACGATGAATTTGCAGGGTCCACTGCATTCACTCCATGACGCTAAAAAGGTACCAAGTAGCGAGTTGCATCTGCCGATCTCCAGAGCCGAGATGAAAGCCGCCAGCATGTATAGCAGCATCGCTGAGGCCGCGCGCCTCCGTCCAGCAGACCAATGTCCTGCTGCCTGGCATCCACGCCTACGCTGCCCTCACCCTCCAGCCACACGCGCCAGCGGCCGGTTGCGAGGCAGAACTCACCCAGCAGGCCCACACTCCTAGCAGGCGCCGGCCCCACAGCAGCTCGGAGGACCACAGCCGACCCAGCGTGCATTGTACGACCGCGCATGCCCTGCACTCTGCGACCCGCCTCAATCGCCAAGCCATCCAAGACAAGGAGGCTGCTCTTCGAATCCGTGCAAGCGGCGGTCGCCACAGCCAGGTCTGCTAGGTCCTCGAAGGAGAGCTCCTCGAGGCGACGCAGCGCCACGCCGCCCAGAACATTGAGGACCTGCTTCAGGCTTTGCAAGCCTTCGGCCGCTTCGCCCTTCTGCTTCCCAAGCTGCAGGAAATGGGCCAGCGCCAAGGACAGCCGAGGCAGCGACGCGGTGGGCAGCTCCTCGCCCTGTGAGCGGAGGACGTGCCGAGCGCAGCGCGAGGCGAGGTCCAGCAGCCGCCTGGCACCCAGCATCTCGCAGACGCAAGGCTGCGCAAGCCCACACAGGAGAGCTGCCGCTGCGCTGGGTTGGCTGCTTCCCTCCAAAGGCAAATCTTCCACTGCAGCGAGGAGGTCTTCATCCAGGGCCTTGGCTGTCAGGAAGACCCAAAGAAGCTCCGCGGCCGCCGGGACGTCACCGCTGGCGCGCACCAGGGCTGCCGCCTCCGCACTGCGCTGCCTGAGCGCCGCATCGCCGTGGGCGAGGCCAATGAGCTGCAGCTCCCCAGCCATGGAAACCCACTCCGAGCTGTGACAGGGCTGGGAATCCTTGGCCAACACTCGCAGCAGCAGCCCTGTGAGGTCGGTGAGGTCGGTGAAGTTGCGGGAGAGCCCAGGCTGCAGGAGCACTTGGGAGATGGCTATCATGGTTCTGGCGTGTAGCCAGCTGGCACATTCGGCTGCAAGCTCGCAGAGGCCTTTCATGTTTGGGGGCGCCTCATCGTCATCCGCTGCGACAGCAAAGGCTGAAGCAACGGAGCTCACTAGCTCCCGAGCCGATGGGGATGGAGCTTCCTCAAGCGCCAGCTTGGGCCAGAGGTTTCCCCAGGGCCCATCTTTGGGGCCTTCTTTGTGGGTGCTCTGGCTCCCTTCTCTGCCCAACCTCTTCGGACCCACAGTCCTCAGGTGGACCCCCAAGGCTGTTGGTGATGGCTGTCTTCCCGTCCGAGCGAAGTAGCAGGCCCTGCAAAGGAGCTCATCCTGCGCCTCATACAATGCTGCCGGTGCCTGGCAGTTGCGGCAGAGCATCGGTCACGAAGCTCCGCGGCACTTTGTTTCAGGGGGGGGCGCTTCGGGTGCTGCTGATGCTGAAAGCAGGCTGTGGTTTCGTGCGAACTCTCAAACAGGGTTGCTCTTGTGCCAGAATCCGCATCCGTACACGGACTTTCAAATGGCTCCAGCCGAGAAGTTGCACACGCTGTCGCACACGCGGGTGGGAATGGGGGGACAGGGGGGTGGGGGTTACCTTTTAAGTTCCAAGCAGAAATATAGGGTTGCAGTACCTGTGGGCAGAATTGGGGTCCCCCAATGTCGGATTTCCCGCAACAAAGAGACCGCACTGCTTCGGCACAGGTCTGCTCGACATCAACAAGTGCGTATCCAAGCCACCACTACATCGACCATGCAACATACTTGCACACAGTCGTTGTGCCTGAACCCTTTTGCCCTAAACCCTAATTAAACCCTTAACTCTAAACCCTAAACCCTTAACCCAGATTTGCTTCTTCGTGATCCACGGCCTGTTCGGGGACCATGTCCTGGCATCACGAGATGGGCGTCGGATGGCGCTAGCCGCTAGCCGCTACGATGCTCATCCTACTGCACTTGGAATTCTAAAGACTTCCAAGGATATGACATGGTCGTGTAGGAGTTTAGGGTTTAGGGTTTGGGGTGACACTCTGTACACCCAGCATGGCCTTTTCAAGCACTGCGTGCGTAAGTGCATCCTTAGCTCCCATGGCCCTGCAGCTCAGGGCTTCTGCCAATGCAATCGCCATGTTCAAGCACACGCATCTTGCGCCGAGCTTCATCCGCCAGGGCATCGTCTGCGCGCTTCGTGGGGGGTGCCTCACCCAGAAAGCAGCAAGACATGCTCCCATGCTTTGTTGGATTGACCTCGGGGATTTGGGGGCGATGTCTACTCTTGCTGACAGTTCTTAGTAGTCTCAACATGGTATCAACAGTGGTAGGGTGCAGTTGGTATTTCTGCAGAGGATACTCCGGGCACTTGCGCAACTGCAGCGAGCGGCCTGCCCTCTCTTGCTGATTGCATAAGCTGTGGTGCACGGGGCTCTGGCAGAGTGTTCTGAAGGACACGACGGTTCCTGTGGTGCGGAGTGTTCTGAAGGACACGAAGGTTCCTGTGGTGTACCAAGTGACAACATCACAACAGATCCGAATGTTAGCAAGCGATAGCAAAGGCCTACGGGATGGCGTACCTCAGGGAACTTCTCTGGATCTAGCTCTCCGCGATCCTTTCCTGAACAATGTCGAAGCGCTGATGCAAGAACAGCCACATCTTCGAGTCATACGATGTGGAGGGATCTGCGAATCTGAGCAGCTTCTACGGAGTAGGTTCCCACTGTTCACTTGGGCGACTGCCATTGACCTGCTCACCCGCTCCGCAGCAGCATGCCCTCAGTGAAGGTGCTCACCTCTCTCATTCCTGCACGGTGCCTTTGCAGGATGGGCGCTCTTTCATCTGAGCCCCGCGCGTGCAGAACATCTGCCCTACACTCGCACTCTTGGCGGTCTCGTGCCTGCACGGACGCGGGGGCCAGAAGAGACCCTGAAACATCCTGAAGCATGCCGCAACCGGCCGCAACCCTCTGCGATCCTGGCCTCCAATGTGCTTGCAGGGCCTGGGAGCCCCACCTACTCAGCTCCCGCGGGCGAGGGCCCTCCGGGAACTAAGGCTTGATCCGCGAAGGCACAGGGCAAGGCGCTCCAGGGATGCTGAGGTTTTCCAAAGGGTTCATCGTTTCGAATGGTTCATACAGTAGGCTTCTTGGGAGCACCTCCCGGAGTGGTTCTTTGCTCTGAGACCTCTCGTTCCACCACACGGGACTGGGAGCAGGTACGCAGTGACCAGGGGGGGGGGGGGGGGGGGGCGGGCTTTTTCAGGCTTTGGGCCGTCAACAAAGCACACGAGCAGTGGTAAGAAGGCTTTCGCAAGCAAAAAATGACAAGAAGGCTTCAGTCTAACGGAAGAGGGCGTGATCAGATGTACGATGACCTGCGGAGACACATGGTTACTTCCCTAAATTATGGTCCCTTTTGGGGGGTCCTTACTACAAGGCGGCCCCTAGTTTTTCAGGTACCCAAAAGGGACCCCCAGGTTAACCCTAAACCCTAAACCCTAAACCCGAAACCCTAAACCTAGAGAGAACTGATCACATGTCCTCATGCTTCTCATTTTTTGCGAGTCGAGGGCGAAGCTGTTCGGCGGCGGTCCGTTCGCTTTGGACACGGCTGCCTTGTCATGTCTGAGTCTGGCAATTTAGAGTTTAGGGTTTAGGGTTTAGAGTTTCGTCTGACTGAGAGGGCAAAAACTGTGGTGGGTTGTCTGCTCTGATGCAGCAGCTCTCCCAGTCTACATACGGCTGCTCTCCTTTAAACCCCCCCCCCCTTACACTTATAGCCCCCTCGTACCCCCCCACCCCATGTACCCCTCTTATAGCCCTTGCCCCCATGAAGACCCCCTTATACCCCCCTGATACCCCTCTTGTAGCCCTGCCCGGCCTGAATCGGGGCAGAGGAAACTTTCCAGGGAGCCCCTTGGCATGATATGGCACATGCAGACTCTCAACAGGAGCGATGAAACGGACAGTCCCCATCCATCACCCTGACCGTTGCAAAAAAAGGGGGGAGATGGTTTGGGGTTTAGGGTTTCAAGGGTTTAGGGTTTACAGTGAAGTTTACAGGGTTTAGGGTTTAAAGGGTGCTCCTCTACTACACCGGCAATGCACCCACAGCCGTGCCTGCGGCCGAGGGTGGTCTCCCCACCGGCAAGGCAGAGCCGTTGGCACCAGGTGTCCTCGCCCCCAGGGCGAAGCTTCTTGAACCTCTCAGCCCTCCAAGGAGGCTTATGCCCTGTGCCCCCCAGGGCCCATACTTGCCCAAAACTGTTCGCAGTGAGTGCTAGTATGTCAAGCCTTCAATGATTCAACTCCATCAACCCTGGGGTTCTCTACCGCCAAAGGTGGCGGCGGTGGCGGCGGTGGCGGCAATGGCAGCTGATTTGGCAGCTCCTGCCGGTTCATGTTAGGGGTGCGAACAGCAGTGGCCTGTGACAATGCATCACTCACCGGCCCACCGACACTGACCTCTTGCAGTTCGCACACTGCACTACGCAGTCTACGCGCAAGAGTTGGCATGTACGTCTGCTCCGTGGAAAGCCGAAACCCTGTTGCGAAACGTCCGTTCCTCGGCTTCTACTGGTGAGTACCAGAACTTCTCTGCATCAGAGCCTGCAGGTGTCAGCTGCAAACTTCGAACTGGTGGTCAGTTAATAGGTCGCATAAGAGCACTGTAGGCAAACTTGTGATGCATTCCAGCTGGATTGGTGTCGGCCGAGATCCTTGCCACAGGAATCTGACGCATACTCGGACTCCGGCCCCTGTCGGTGAGCACTGCAACTATGCCAAGTACAGCCACGCAGACCGCTACGTACTGCCTCAACTGGCGATGGGAAAAAAGCGTCCGCGCCTGCCGAAGAGGCTCGTACCAGTCCAATTCACCTGGTGCGCCACACTGGCATGCAAGGAAAGCTGCTAGCTGCTAGTGACTTTGCAAAAAACTGCCCGAAAGATCATGCATGCGGAACGAAAGACCTTCAATGATGTCACTGGCACAACAAGGGTGACTGTCCTTCCAATGCCAGGCTAAGGACCTGACTTTCACGCCTGAGTGGGAGCTTCAGCTTGGGTTGAGCCATCCGGTGCTCAAGTGACAATGCGTGCAGGGCGCAGATTTTTCTGGCACTGGATAAACCAACGATGGCCTTGCCATCCGTAAGACCGCCCCCTCACTCTTTGGCTCTGAGACGGTATGCTATGTACACAACATGATAAAGTCAATCCATGTTCTCGAGATCCAGGCACGCAGAGGCCTGGGGACTTGCTTGTTCCTGCCGTCAGGAGCAAGCCAGGAAGCTTGATGACGAAAAGAGTACTGCCCGTGCGGCTACGTCAACCCCACCCTGACTCTCCCCATTTCCTGGATCCTTTCACTACAGTACCGGAACTCACAAGATTTACAATTATGATTACCCCATGAAACACGATAATCGTAATTCAGACCCAATAGGTGTCCACATTCACATCAACCCCAGCAATCTCCTCGAGGTTGGCCCCGCTCTCAATGCAGGCGACAGCTTCCTCAATCGCACGGCCTGGAAGGCTGGGGGGAGCTCTGGCTCTTGCATTCGCTCCCTCTTGCAGGTACGGTGTAGGGTCTGGGGCCTCTGCCTTTTGCGGGTTCAGTACAAAAGCATAATCATGCCGGTCTGTGGGTTTTTTGCGTGGATCCTGAGGCTCATCCGCTAGAGCAAGCAAAAGAACATCTCAGCCCTTTCGCACTTTAAACTTACCTACTGCACGCAAGGCTCGCAGATCCCAAACGCAGCCACTCCACGACACTCCAGAGGCAGCTGCTCGAGCCGTGCAGCCGCCAAGCGACGCCAGACGCCCGGGCCGTAGGCAAGGGCAGCCACCGTGAGGCTCTCCTCTACGGTTCTGTGCTTGGGGCTTGTGGGCTTCTGCATTTGCGGGAGGGATTCAGGATGAAAACCGCGGGTAAGCGGCCTGAAAAAGCTTGAAAGGAGTTCGTGGGATGCATCGAATCATCGAGTGAGCCACGAGCGCTTTTCCGTTCAGGCCACAACAGCTTTGGATGGGCCTTCCTTGATGCAGATGACCACAGCTTCATCCTGAGCCTCCGTGAGGCTCTGTGTGTCCGCGTTCACATCCTGCGAGGACTCGCTGGGAACTCATGACGCCGGCAGGAGGAGCCATGAGATCCTCTAGTTACTCTAGTTGCACACGGAAGAAATCCAGCCTTGATGAATTGACAGTAAGAGCCCACAGAAAGCTAAGGGAAGAGCGGCAAGGGCTGCACTGCGGAAGCACAAGAGAATGAGGGCAATGAACCAAAGCTCCCAGGCACGTTCATGTGACCAAGGTATCTTTGAGGGCTCAAGCCATAAGGAAGTGAACTGCGTGTCAAACTGCTTGCCCTTGAGAACGAAGGCTATCTCCGCGAACATCATGCAAAGGAACGTCACGATGTACCTCCCAAAGAAGCCAAGACGTTGCTTGCTTTGTTCTGCTGCGTAGTAGTCGTGCGCGGTGCCTTCGACGAGGACACCAACGGCTTTGCATGTGTCAGGCAGCGACAGTGCTAAGCTGAGGCTGGCACTCGCAGTCAATGTGCAGCTGTTGGACAGCGACGCACTCGCAATGTCCATGCTGAGCAGCGCATAGCACTGCACAATCGTGGCGCCCGCACTTTCAATAAGCTCGCGCTTCCTGTGTCGAAGCAGGCCTTTTGTTGGAAATCCCTGGGCAAAGCTCTCAGCCATAGCCGAAGCACCGTGAATCTGGAAGGGGTCGCAGGACGGGATCCAAGAGAGGAGCGTGGCCAAGCCCACAATCGCCGCGTAGATCGGCTGTCCGCTCCGCAAGAAAATCATCACTGATAGCACATCTAAGCTTGGCTCAAAGAGCATCAAGAATGCTGACAGGCGCAGCTCACATTTCGAGCCTTGGAGATCTGAGTCAATCGCAATGCAACAGAATGGCATCTTGCAACGCTGAGTCGCCAGGAAAGGTGAGACAAAGGAACCATCGTCAAGGAAGCCATCAGTTTGGGGCCCACGCACGTCTGACCCCGATTCCGAGGAAACCATGCTGCTTTGCTCATCCTCTTCGGAGGTGTCTCGGGAGATCTTCGCAGGATCGGATGCAGAAGTGCTTGGTCCAAACGTGCAGTCTTCCACATCTCTCTTCGCAAGCAAACGATTCTTCTCCCACAGCGCGCGCAGCAACGCAAAGCCGCTGATGCTGCCGTACATCAGCGCGAAAACATACATGTGCCAGGCTGAGGGAAACCAGGACAAGGCGCATGCAGCAGTTTCTGCTTTCCAGCACATGGCAAAACTTCTCTGCACCATGGGGCTTGTATGCCTTAGGTGAAACCAATGCCGAGGGCTGAAGGCATATGGCAGTGCACTGGCTGGACCCAGACTTTCGTGACACCAAGCAACGCATCCAGTGGCCACGGACACGTTAGCCACAACATCTGTGGGGACAATGGTCTCACATGCCTGTGGCATCTCAAAGGTGTTGTGAAGCCTCTGGGTGAATGATCTGGCATCCCTTATGGGCACCTGGCCGGGGGCCAAGTGCTGATCTAGCAATGGCGCGACCTGCTCCAGACAAAAACACACCAACACGGCGGTGAACACGAGGCAGATGCAGGAAACCCAGCCGAGGATAGAAGGGCCCATCGTGCTCCCATCGTTCTTTGACCTAATGCCAATGCTCACTCTCTCTATGCCTGCCTAAAAAGCACGTAAGCCCTCTTCTTGCGGGCTCAGCGTTATGGCTCATGCCAGGAGTACTTCATTCCTGAGGCTTGCTTCAGACACATACTACTTGCTCTCTCTCTCTCTCTGGCAACCAGAAGGGGGAGCATGCTGTGAGGCGAGAAATGCCACAGCCACACCGAAGTTCCACACTACGGGGCATCACTACAGTCCTTGATGAGTTTGGGGAAGCATCAGAAGCAAACCAGGCTTTGAAGAAGCCGAAACGGCGACTACCAAGACCTACAGAGTCGATATGACCCCAACCAAGCAATCAGATGTCTGCTGTAAAGAGAGGCCTCTCACGGTAGGAAAGCAAGCATGCAGGTACCCACCCTTAACTTGTTGTGCAACTGGGCATCAACCCTGATACCCGAAACCGAGTCGGTCCCGAGTGCTTCCCACGCAACTCCTACTGGCACACAGTTTAGGGTTTAGGGTTCAGGGTTTAGGGTTTAGGGTTTAGGGTTTAGGGTTTAGGGTGCTACGGCTCCTTTGTGGCTGCCGAGAGAGCTTTGATGGGCCCTCATTCCAGGAAAGCAATGAACTCCTCTCTCTGAGTTAGAAGAATCAACAGCAGACGAACCGAAGACTCCCAAACCGAACTCATTTGGTGAGTTCTCTAAATTTTAGTCCCCTTTTTGGGCGCACTAATTGTTAGGGGCCGCCTTGCAATGGCAACCCGAAAGGGATGATACTTTCGAACAAGTGACCATGTCACCATGTCTGCCGGGCAAGGGGAGGAGCACTGAAAGCTGGCCCGGAACTCAACAGGAGTCTACGAACTGGGGAACATTCTCTCGTACTTGCACGAGCACCAAACCCCTAATCCCCTGTAAACCCTTTCAACCCTATAAACACCAAGCCTTATAAGCTCCAAAAACCCTATCCACCCTCTAAACCCTACAGCCCCCTATCGTAAGCCCTACATGCAAGCGCAACAAACCCAGCAAACCCAGCAAACCCAATAAACCCAATAAACCCTATAAGCCCCATAAGCCCTAAAACCCCACTATAAGCCCCTACAAAAACAACCTTAAACCCTAAACCCTAAACCTTAAACCCTAAACCCTAAACCCTAAACCCTAAACGGGGCACTTCTTTTCTCCTGGGTCTAATTCGGGGGGGTGGTGGGACCGTGCACGTGCTTAGGAGTGCGGAAGTGCCTCGTTTCTCTCATGTATATCTTCCTCGAGGATTGTATATACTTCTTTTGGCTTCTATTGGGAATATACGTCTCCCTCAATGAAGATTTTGCAGTGAATTGTATTTTTGGGAGCCTAAGGCCCGTAATTGCAAACCTTCCTCCAGAAGCGCTCCCCACGGCTTGCCAGCAGCCACCGCAGCCAAGGCTGCCTCAGAGGCCGCCGCGGCGTGACTTGGTGACCTGAGGGTTTTTTGGCACCGCACAGCGGGGAGGGTTTAGGGTTTAGAGTCTAGGGTTTAGGGTTTAGGGGGTTTAGGTTCGGGTTTAGGGTTTACGGGGTTTTGGGGGGAGGGGCTTAGGGTTTAGGGGTTCTCGTGGGCGGTTTAGGGTTTGTTTTTTTTTTAAGGGTTTAGGGTGTGTAGTTCTCACTCCAACAACCCCGACCCGGCTCTTAGCTGTCTTAGCTGCTGTCAGCTATTTGGGCTGCACCATAAACTTTGAACTACTTCCTCTTCCCTTGTGCGCTAGAACACTCTTACTCGAACTGTCGGGATGCAGGAGGAAGATCCCGAACAATGGCCGAGGCCTCTAGATCCGCCTGCTTGCCATGTTAGAGGAACGTCACAAGCCCTAATTAAACCCTTCCAAAATCCATCTTTCCAACAGCCGATCGAAGTTATAGGATATGCATTTTCAGTTGCTGCTTGAACGTGTTGGTTGGTGCTGATTGGGTGTCTCTGTTCCTGTTGAAAACGCGCTCCGCCCCAAATGGCAAATTTCATGCTGCAAGGGACAGCGGCAGCACTTCTGCACAAACACGGCGAACTGCCTGGGATGTCGGACGGTCAATCTACCTGCTGCTTGCAGCCCTTGACGTAGTGCGTGCACCGGCCAACTCAGACCACCGACTCTCCCCCCAAAAACTCCGGCTTCACATTGTGAATGCGAGGGCACGGCTGCATGATAGTGCCGGGCGTCCAGCCACATCTCCAACGCCTCTTCATGCCGCGAAGCCTCCTGCACTCGGCAACGGAGGATCATCAAGCCTTCTGTCGCCCTGTTGTTTAATCAAAACTTGTTATGTTCTTCATATTCACACTATTAATACTAGTATCTTTAGCATTGCTCTTGCACATCCCTGTGCCGCCTACGGAAGTCACCGACGCCAAGCACTCTCCTGCAACCCGAAGGCCAGCTCCCAGGCAGGTGCGGCCCAGCAGGAGCCGAGGAGTAGGTTCCGCAAAGCCTGGACCGCTGGACCAGTGTCCCCCCCAAATGAGGTTTGGCTTGCTTTTTGACATATGGTTGCGAAATACGGAACATACAAAGGATCAAAATCAAGGCTATAACGATGATGTTTCATATGGATACTCAACATGGCAGATGGTTGAACAATACTGCCTCCTATGTCGATATCTTTACTTGGCATACTTTACCCTAAAAAGCTACACACCCTAAGCCCTTCTGAGCCCTAAACCCGGAACCCTAAACCCTAAACCCTAAACCCTAAACCCTAACCCTTCTGAACCTGGAAGCAAACCCTAACCCTAAACCCTAAACCCTAAACGCCCATTACACCCTAAACCATATACACCCACCCTTTGTTCTGAAGAAACTCCGAGGGCTGCGGCCTCCAGGCTCTGGGAGTCGCTTCCCAGGGCTTCCAGGTAGACTGGGGCACCAGGCGTCTTTTTGCTTCCGGGTCTAGGGTTTAGGGTTTCGGGTTTAGGGCTAAAGGTTTAGGGTTGCGGGTTTAGGGTTTTTTTTTGGAGTTTAGGGTTTAGGGCCTTGGGTTTTAGGCGCTTTTACAGTGCCGATGTTGAAAAAACACGAGTTTGGGGCTAGAGGAACCTGGATATCCCAAAGCACATGTTGGCACCAACTTTTTAAACGTTGAACCCCTCAACCAGCGCAGCCCTAAACGCTACCAGCTCCCGCCACACGAAGTTGGGCTCGTGGACCTAAGCTTGCAGCACTGCCCACTCAGCTTCACCAATCAAGGACTTCCCGGAGACGTTCCCGAAGCACACGCTCTTAGGGCGTTTTTTTTCGTGAGCCGCCAGGTCAGTCAGGGGCTTTGCTACGGCCCTTGAAAGGCTGCGCTGGGCTTCTTTGCCAGGGACTTCCCAGACTTCCAGTCGCTGTTTAGGGGTAAAGTTGATAGGCTTCGGAGGCTTAAGCATGCTGAAGAGCTTCAAGCTCAGGTTTGATGTCGAGGAAGGCCCGTGGTACTTAATATAAACATGAGGGTGGGTGGCTCAAAGGTCTCAGCTTCAAACCGCACCCCTGTGTTGCGTCTGCTTGCAGCATTCATAAGGCCTTATAAGGTTTCGGTGCTTAAACTGGGGCTCAAGATGTCTCAAGTGGTTCAACTCAAGTTCAGGTTCAATGATGCGACTGATGCAACAACTTCACAGCCATGTTCTGGGTGTTCCTGTGCATGCAGACGGCAAAGAAACATTCAACAGGTTCGTGTGCTTGGCCGGACATTCACTTGTGAAGCGGAAGCGTGACGTAGCAGAAAGCACGCTGGTTGCAACAAGGGTATATGACACATGATTATCCTCAGTCTTGGCTGATTCGAGTGCATGCCGACCCAAGCCTGCGCTCAGCAAATGGAAAAGCTGGCACAAAAATGAACATGTACGGTGAAATACGTGAAAGCAGCTCTGCTCTACCTCTCTGTATCAAGACCCAGGGCAGTCTCTGCGCTTGACATGGGCCAGGACGTGCCCCAGCGTTGCTCAGGCGCTTCTCAGTCGTCGTCATCGTCATCGTCCTCGTCATGGTCCCTCTTGTCCTTTGCACCGTTCTCCCTGTCCCGCCGATGCCGGCGGCCGCCCCTGTCCTCTCCTCCAAGTCGCTCAGCCCAGTCGCAGTCCATTCGCTCATCATCCTCTTCGTCTTCCTCCTCATCTTCCTCGCCCTCCTCGCCGTCCTCGTCCTCCTCGTCCTCCTCGTCCTCCTGGGACTGCAGACGACGGTCGCCGCGCCCGCCGCGAGGACGCTCCCGGCCATCTCGGCCACCTCCCCGCAGGTTCTTGCCGCGCCTGTCTCGGATGTGCTGCAAGACCATGCAGAACTGTGGCTCCGCCACTGCATCGATGGGATCCACACCAAAGGACACCGCTGCGGCCTGCAGCTTGCTTGTGACGGTCTCTGCTGGAACCAGCTGCAGCACCTCGAGGACAGCCTTCGCCTCTTCCACGCTGTCTCGTCGCACCGTGTAAAGGACGTGAATGTGCTGCGCCTCCGGCGCTCCCTGCAGGCGCCGCCCCAGATCGTCGAGGTCCTTGGCCAGGCCCTCCTCTTGCAGCAGCTCCTTGATGATGACGTCGGTGGCGCTCACTTCGCTGTGCAAGCTTGCGATGCCAGAGGAAAGGGCGCTCTTAACTTGAGGATGTGCAAGAAAGCGGGTGGCATTCGCGACCGAGAGCGTGAAGAAACCGCCCATCTCCGGCGCGTACTCCTTTTCATGCGGTGCGCCAAGCTCTTCTCGGTCTTCGTTCCCATGGCGGAAGATGAAGAAGCCGACGAGAATCCCAATGCCCATAGTTGTGAGGAAACTCAACACGATGCTGGTGGTCCAGCAGCAGCGTCGCTTGCAAGTTCCTTGCAACTTGCGCTGCTGTCCCATGGCAACGCCAGTGACGTCGGTTGCGACCTGGTCTCCTGCGACTGTACCGATCACCACGTTGGGGTTGGCCTCACCTTTCATCGGCTCCGGGAACGCGACCTGGGCCATGAGCGCTGAATGCGAAAACCCCCGGAGTCTGTGGGATCTCTGGTGACTTGAGCAGTGCCACTCTTGAGCCACCGCAGCCAGTTCTGGTTCGTGGCTCGCCCTAGCCGGACGGAATCAGGTGCTTGGAAGGGTTTCGATGCACGATTCTCAACCAGACCCCCCCTCTCTGAGCAGCCAGGGAGCCCTTAGCCTCATCCTGAAAGTCCTCTGCCTTGGTTTCGACTGAGCTTGCGGATCACCTCACGGAAAGTAGCCGAATCGATCTGGGAAAGCCCAAGCTTCAAGCTATCCCTTTTGCTTTTGCTGCCAAGTATCGGCCCCGGTCTGTAGAAACTGGACGAGAGCGCTCTCCGTGCATTGCGCTGCATCCGCCACGATCTCGCGCAGCTCCTGATGGCTGGCATCATGAGTCATCAATTTGTTACGGGGCCTTTTGACCTGGTAGCTGATCACATCAAATGAGTTTAGCAAAAGGGTTCAGAGCAATTACTACAGACATCCTGGAAAGCTGGATGTGAAAGCACAGAACCCGTAACCCAAGGCTACACCTTGAGCCGCCTCCTCCGAGCAGGTACCCTCACGGCGCCGCCGATCGAAGCGCCGCCAGAGCGAGCGCATCCTCTTCTCGACCTGAGGTTGGGCGAAGTTGGTTTTTGGGGAGAGGCTGGTCAGGTCAACATACGAGGCTTCGGGCTGAAGTGCTGAGGCTTCATTGGACATGACTTTGAGCCGGATTTGCAGGGCTTGTGCACGTTCCGATGAGCAGTACGCTGGGATCAATGCAACCGTTGCATTGTAGAATAGTAAGGTTCGAAGAAGATGCCGAGGACGCCTACATGTAGTATTCTGCACCCTTCCCAGATTATTCCATCGGCATACGCAGCCTCTCTATACATGTTTATGCGGCTTGTGCGTACTTGCATATATTTGAGATCCCACGTGCTCTGTTTTTCTGGGATGCCTTCGGAGGTTTTCCGACAACAAGATGCTACTGTAGTTTGACGTCTGCAGGATTCTGCAAGAAGGCTTCGGGGTAATACGGAACAGGCCTTGGCCCAAATATCTCCGATCGCTTTAAAGCCCTTGGCAGGGCGTTGCCTGCTCCACTTTGTGGGGGGATTGCTGACACACTGAAAGAATTCATCTCACACAGAGTCTTATGTTCCCCCTTGTGGCTGGTTTGCCAACTTAAGCTGCGAGAATGCTGAAATGCTGCAAAAGGCATGGCATCACCCTTAGCACGAAGCCTCCGGCTCGGCTGCCCAGATCTTGGCCTCCAGACGACACCGGCCGCAACCACACCTGCATGTTTAGGGTTTAGGGATTAGGGTATAGGGGTTTCGTACACTTCTCGATTTGTGGGTGTCATCCGAAAGCAGAGGGTTTAGGGTTTAGGGTTTACTGACATCTGTAGCCGCGGATGCCGACTTTGAGTTTCTGTCTGTCTCTGTGTGAGACTGGTGAAGGTGCCACAGCCGGCCCGACCTACCCCCAGCGCCCGAACCCACTCATGTCAGCTTCGGGAGGGGCGATGGCCCGCGCCCCCCATCTAGCGCACGTGTCCCTCTTGCGGGGAAGTGCGGCCCAAGTGGCTCGAAGCCCCACGTGGACTCGAGCTCTGCTTGCCGCACGAAGTAGGGAGCGCGAGCCTCCACCATCGGAACTATCATGTTGAGGTTGTACATCAAGGGCCCCCCCGGGTAGAAGCAAAACCCCTTTAAAAGCAGAACTCCCAAAAAGGGATCCCCTAAGCTAGCAGGTCGTAGCGCCTTGCGCTGCAGAGATTCCTGCCGTATGGCCGACTTCATGTCCAACAATGCGTGCAGGAACGTCTAAGGGCCACTGCACCGCTACACACTTCGCGCGCATCTGACAGGGCCACCTTTACAGAAACAACTTTAGTCACTTCGCCCGCCTCAATGTAGGCACATGTTAGCTCATCTTCGGGAAGCAGAGGCCGTGCTGCTCGCACTACCAGGCATGATGGGAACGGTAACCTCGCGGAGCGGCTTCGAACTTGTTGGGGTTCAGGGCTCTTTTTTGCCACAGGGTTTAGGGTTTAGGGTTTATAGGGTTTAGGGTTTAGGGTTTAGGGTTTAGGGTTTAGGGTTTAGGGTTTAGGGTTTAGGGCTCCCAGGGCCTGTTGACGTTCGGTCGGCAGGAGTGGTTGAGAAGACTCCCATTCAAGTAGACGGCCAGGCCATGCCGTGGCTGCGCTTCGATCGTTTTCAACGCGGACGGCTTGACCACAAGCCTCACCACCGCCATACCTTCGGCTATACCGAGATCTTAAAGCTTTCAGACTTTCAGGATTGCACTATATAAAGTCTACAGAGTCGCGCTAAGAAGGGCAGTGAACCCACAAAGTCTCAAAGCTCGGAAGCTTCAAAAGCAAGGGGCCGTTGAAGGCGGCAGCGCCGCGGAGCCTCGCAATCCCTGGAAAAAGCGCCACGCTCTCGGCGCTTTCAGCGCGCCACTCGCGGAGACTGGTCGCCTGGAACTTCTCCTCCTTACCGGTAGTGGCAGGGGAGGGTGGAAGTACTAACTAGACATATGGGGGTTTACGAACATAGGGGTGCCCTAATAATATGCACCAACATAGTATGATCCGTGTTCTAGGAACCCCCCCAAAATAGGGTACCCCTAAGGTCGGAAGATGTCGGAAAACCCCCATGGGGATTCTACCATGGAGATTATGTACCCTGCAGAAGTTTCCAGGGACCCGAGTCTCCGAAAGGGCTGCGCTGCGCCATCGCAGCGACAGCAGCTTGGCACGGGCGAGGGCGCCCAGCTCCCTCCAGTGCTCTTGGGCTGCAGCTGCAAACTTCTCCGCATTTGCCTGAGGGTTTAGGGTTTTAGTCACCAAGGTTCGTTTGTCTGTGTAGGCACTATGACGAAACTAGGGACGCGGTCGCTTGGGCTCAGAGAGGCAAAACGAGCAGAAATAAGACCCGCCCCTTCCCCTCTAAACCCATCAACCACACCACGGTGTCATCAGACTATCGCATTGGACCGGCAGTCTGTCAGGTAGAATTGCAGGCTAACCCCCAGAAGCAAAACCCATCTCCCCAATCATTCCTGACAAACAAGCCCCTTAAGAAGCCTCATCACAAGGCTATGAAAGTGTGCAGCGCATGGTAGAACTTCCCCCCCACTTCTCACTGTGGCTCCTCAGCCTCCCTCCCATTTCTCAACACTCGTACATCGCACCTGTGCGCTTTGACTCACGCTCCATTGTCCCACAACACCATACCCCATCGTATCCCATGTGGCCCGGAACAGTGCTATGAAGCAGGGATCCAACTTCAGTAACCATGCTGATCCAGGACTCCGCAGGCACATGCACGAAACTGCAGTTGTTCATCTCGTCTTGAGTTCGGGTGCCAGCACTTTCGGTTTGCGGTTTACGGGTTTAGGCTTCGCTTACACATCTTGCACAATCTTTGTAGAAACGGTGCGGTAGAGTAAGTCGAAACAAGTTGGGAGATCACAGGACTCGAGCAGATGCAGACGCCCGGTAGGTTTTCGAAATCTCGGGAGGTTCTGAGGGATGACATGCGAACAATTCTACACGAAGCCAAGTGCGATAGCAGACAAAGTGGCAAACAGCAAAAAGACAAACCCGGCAACCCAGAAGGTGTATGGGGCAAAAGAATGCATCAACCAGGATGCCCGCAGAAAGCAATGCACCAAAAAAGGAGCGCAGCAACAAAAACTAAAACCTCCCAACAACTACGGCAGAGTTGTGCTGAACGATGGAGCGCAGCTGGGACAGGATTAAGTGCAACGAAAGGACACAGGGCTCTGCCAGAACAGCTCGCTCAGCCAGGACCTCAGATGTCAACTCCCACCACGAAATTCCCACATCGGACGCTTGCGATGCTGGAGCCACCCCAGTCGAACTTTTAGTAGCAGGGGCACGACAGCTCCCAACGCTGCAGTCGCGCCCCTGAGGCCGCGCCCACGGGCGGCTGCCTGGAAGATCTCAAGGTCCTGGACAAGCTTCAGCGAAGTGAACTCGCGAAAGGCCCGTGGGGTGCCAGGGAGCCCAAACGCATCGGTAATTGTCATCTCACTGATCATCGAAAAGTGATTTCCAGTTTCGGTGACTCAAAATCTCCAAGTTACTGGTACTGCAACCACGCACAAGGGTCCTCACCAACCTCATCACATACTTCTCCAGCATCTACCAAGCGAAGGCCGAACTGGTCGGCCGCCATGTGCACAAGTGGGGGCCACAAGGCCGGATCATTCGCACTCTGAACCTACAGGTATGCTGGCTGAAGTAGGGTTTCGACGACCCACCCTACCTGGCTCAATGGCTTACGGAGCCTTTGACAGTGTTATGCCGCTGGCCTTTGATGCATACTTGGGTCTCGCATGAATCGTGACATGCTTTGACTTCATGCAGCAGGGCCTCACTTTGAAGGCGCTTATTGCAGACGACCGACGACAAGACTCGTCAGGTTATGTCAGGTTGCGATATAGCAAGATGAGGCATCGCGAGAAGCAACCCTGGGCCCTGGCGGAAGGGTATTCTGAGAGTCCTGGCGACAGGAGCTTGGCTGCGCAAGAACTGAACAACGACATCACCCCTCTAGGTATCCTACCAACTTTCTGCACATGTGCATCATGTGCAGCACAAACCAAGATTCCCCTAAACCCTAAACCCTAAAGCCCTAAACCCTCATTGACAAGATATAGCCCTGTCGGCACCTCTGCTCGCAGTTCGGCCAGCTCCAAACGCTGGAGCAGCCTCTGGCGAACCTTTTGGAAAGCAAAACCTACAGAAGCAGCAAACAGGGTTTAGGGTTTGGGGTTGGGGTTTAGAGTTTAGGGTTTAGGGTTTAGGGTTTAGGGTTTAGGGTTTAGGGCTTAGGGAAAGTAACTGCACCGTTCTTGGCAACGACCTGCTGAGGGCTAAGGAGCCAGCAGCCGCGAGCCCGGCGGGATCAGGGCCTTCGGCAACTTCCCGGCTCCTTGCAGCCTCCCAAGGGGGCATCTGATGGGTTTAGGGTTTAGGGTTTAGGGTTTAGGGTTTAGGGTTTAGGGTTTAGGGTTTAGGGTTTAGGGTTTAGGGTTTAGGGTTTAGGGTTTAGGGTTTAGGGTTTAGGGTTTGGGGCCGGGTTTGGCGTTTAGGGTTTAGGGACCACGGATCCGAAACACATAGCCCTCAGGTCGAGGGGATATGGAGGGAAAAATGGTCCTTCCCCACATTGTGCACACAGCGGAGATGCTTTTCCCCAGTGGACATTCTTGTCGGGGGCCTCGTTTGCCTTCAGCTCCAGTTGGACCAATGCCACCTTGGATGGAACTCGCAGGTTTGAAGCTGCAGCGAATCCCCCAGATCCCCCGAGCTCGAAAGCCTAAGCCCAAGAAGAGGGGCCTGCTCAGACAACCTTGGAGTTTTCGAAGTAGGTGCGGAGTTTCAGGGTTGGGATGCGGCCTTGTCTGTGGGTTCATTTCAAGGGCTTTTTTACTCAACTGGATTGAAGCGGTCACCAAGCCCTCCGCATCGTCGCGTAGCCCCTCGACATCCCACTCCTGGGCACTTTGGGCGATTTTTCTTTTCAACACCCAAACAAGGCTCTCAAAAGGCCTCAAGTATTCCGGAGATTTTGGGAGTTGGGGATGCTGAGTTGGCGACTCCGCGAACCTATCAGGCGAGTTCGCAGGCATTCAAAGAGTATGCAATTGATTGAACAAAGCAATCAAGACTGTCCCGGCCCAGTAGTCTTCGGCGTTGACCTCATCACCGCCTGGTCCGCTCTGCACATACTTCTCAGAGCTTAGACTTTGCACTACCTTCTACAAAACGGTATTGGGGTCTTAGGGCCATCGTCTGTATAACATCTGTTCGGCCACGCCTAGTTAGAAGCGACGATCCCGCCGCAAACTGCGGCCAGAGAAGAGGTGGTTTTGCTGGCCAGGGGCAGCTTCCGCTGGCTTCTGTTGGCGGGGTCACAAAGCATCGAGGTGTCTTCGTCGTCATCAGAAACAGACGGAGGCGAGGTAGGCTTGTTTAAGGTGCCGGAAGCCAACACGCAGCCTGCAGACGCAATGCTGGCCGCATCGCACTGCAGTACTTGTATCATTTTTTTGCAGAGCCTAGAGTTCTTGTTGCCGCGGTTGCCGCGGATGACACCTTACCGAACTCTTGCAGCACCTGGACGGCTGCATATCTCAGAAAGTGCCCCAAAAAGGGCCGAGTATCATGAGCACCGTGAGCGATTTCTCTCGCTCTCTCACCCTTCAGGGAGGTTCCTGGCGCCGAAGGAGATGACGGATTCAGAGGGAGATATACCCGACCACGTCCTTGAGAAGCCTATGCAAGTCAGCCCCACCCCACGTGACTGTGTAGGATGTTGGACCGCTCCAGTGCCTCTGGCCAGCTCGGCCAGGAGGTGCGCTACCTTGGACAAGCATGGACGAAACTCCAATGTGGGACCCAGAGGGACCCGTGACCGCCGTGGCCCCTCCCAAGTTGAGACTTCATGACCTCTTACCTCACTTTGTTCAGGGGTGTTCTTCTCTTTTTGTTCCTTTTTTTTTGTTTCCGGGGGTTCCAACATAGCGTTCCTCAACCAACATAAACTCCAATTGCCAACCCCACAAGCCCTCTTTTGTTTCTGTGGGGGGTCGGGGAACACCCTAAACCCTAAACCCTAAACCCCAGCCCTAGGCCCTAAACCCTACGCCCTTGGGCTTAAGCCCAGGCCCTAAGCCCGAAGCCCTAAGCCTTGGGTTAGTCGCTCACACTCGGACAAGCCAGGCACTTAGGGTTTCGACGCTCACTCTCGCACATGGCCAGGCAAAGGTTTTGGGGGTGAGGGTAGACCGCAAAACCTCTCGAGCGAAGGAACTTTATCAACAGATCACCCCCGGCCCCCAACACCATCGGGGTCATGGTTTAGAGAGTCGGGCTGAGATTCGTGTCATCGAGAGGAGGGCCAAGTTCAACACCAACTCACCCCCAGAAGTAGTAAGAGTCTAATTCTACGCATATTAGGGTTTAGGGTTTAGGGTTTATTTAGGGTTTAGGGTTTAGGGTTTAGGGTTGAATAGGGACCCCCCGAGTGCACTCAAACGTCCTGGGAGTTGCGGGCAGCTGGCGCGCCGTTGTCTTCCAGAAGGCCTGCCGAGCAACCCAGGATCCAAGATGTCCGAGAAAAAATATCCTAAACCCTAAAACCTAAACCCCAAAAGGCCCCAAACCATGATAAAATCTCAAGCCCCAATTCGGTCCCTGCTTGAGGTCGGCGCCCAGTTTTAGGAAACCGAAAAGGGACACCAATTCGAGATGAGCATCCCCAACCTGTTGTGGTGAAAGTTCTTCAGGTGAAAAGGAGATGCAGATTTGGTAAGTTTGGGCTTAGCGGCATCTGTATCACACTCACCCCCTCCCCCCCCCCCAACCAGACATGTAACACGCTAGCTTTGTTTTGCCCGCACAAGGAATTCCAAAGTTGTCGTGAGTGATGGTGCAGCCAGGCAGTGGCCCACGGTTACGCTCAACAAGGATTCGAAAACGAGTGGAGTTCTACACCTTCGTCTAGGTCTCAATGCAGCAGCAGGACAACACGCTGCTATCTTTGCCCCGGGCCTTCGACATCACTCAACGAAAGGTCCTGGTTCAGGTCAGAGAATGTCATCATGGTTCCTGGTAGTCTAGATGAGCTCGTCTCACTTCATCAGCAGACCATCCATATAGACACAACAAATACGGACTCCAGCACAGCTGCGAGTTCTGGCAATGCAGCCCTCCCAAAACAACAACCGCAACCCAGCAAAGCAGCGCAGGGCAAGGCAGACCCAACACAAACCTCCCCCAAAATCTCCAGTTGTCCACCTCCGACTGCTGAGGCTTCTGAGGCTTCTCCGCACGCTCCGGCGGAAGCCGACTCCTGACCGGAGAGGCTGCGGAGCACAACATTCTGCGACTGCTGTCGGGCAGAAAAATGGTTTGCCCAATGCACAAATGAGAGATGCAAGAGCCTTTGCATGCTGCGCAAGGCTTCACGCACCTCGAGTCTGCCTGCTCAATCCAGTGCAGCTGCGAGATCAGAGCCTCATGGTGGTGGGGCGCGCGGGCGCATGACTCGCAGTCTTCTGCAGCTGACATGTGCGTCATCTGAAAAGCTTGCGCTGCAAGCTTCCTGAACCAAACTCTTTTGGCACTAAAGCGCGCCTTGGACAGGCCCTGGCGAAGCTTCTCCCGCCACTCGTGGGTGAGACCATCCAGGGCGACCTCAAGATATCGTCACTGCCGTGTGGTTGTACTTTATCGAATAGATTCTGACAGAACAATTCTGTCAGAATGCCAACGAAAGCATGCAATGTCAACATACCTATTTACATGTATGTAGAATACAAAATATAAATCTGTATATATATATATAGATGAATATATATATATATATATAATATTGCAACCGAACCAAGCCAAGGTGAGCAGATGATGGGCGCTGTTGTCTCACCCGGAGCATGGTTCACTTCCGGTGGGTTTTTTCATAATCAGAGCACAATGAGAATTTAGTAATCCCTAAACCCTAAACCCTAAACCCTAAAACCGTGCTTCTCGAGCAGTCTACAATGCCCGCAGCTCTGTTTGGCAGTCGCTGCAGAACATCCTGGTGTGTGCTTCTTTCCCCTAAGCTTCCTTGCACGTTTCAGCTTTTTCCTGGAAGTTTCGTTTCTGGGTTCTCGTGGTTTCGGTACTGTTGAACATTGTAAGAATTTGCATTTTCGCATGCGTTCTTGCTGATTTTCGAGGTGTTCCAGAAAATGAACGTTTACCTGCTTTAATTTGTTTTTTGTTGTTCGCCTTTCTCTGTTTCCTGCTGGTTGCAGTGGGCTGTTGCACATTTCATCAGAAGACAACTGCTTATTCGGTAGGTCATAAACCCTTTAAACCCTAAAACCTTTTGCCACTGGACCCTAAACCCGCAAAGTCAAGAAAAACCTAAACCCTAAACCCTAAACCCCTCCGCGGACTGAGGCTTGGCCTCCAGGGCACTGCCAGGAAGCGACCGAGGTGCCTCCTGCGAAGGCAAGACTGGGGGTTTCGGGGGCTGGTTTAGGGTTTAGGGTTTTTGGGGTTTAGGGTTTAGGGTTGAGGGTTTTGGGGTCTAGGGTTTTTAGGGGTTAGGGTTTTGGGGTTTTGGGGTTTAGGGTTTAGGGGTTTAGGGTTTAGGGGTTTAGGGGTTTAGGGTTTTAGGCTTTGGGGGTTTAGGGTTTCGACTCTCACAACTAGCGCAAGCGCATGCAAAAGCATCCAGGTTCGCATGTTCAAGAGTACAGCGCTTTTGCAATAGCGGCAAATGGAAAGTGAGAGGCCACTGTCCCATCTTAGCTAGCTTATGAACAGTCTACACCCAACATCTGAAACCACAGTTTTTAGGGTCTAGAGTTTAGGGTTTCAAGGTTTAGGGTGGGCTTGAGAGGAGTGAACCAAACAACAGAAGGCGAGTTGAAGGCAAGGGTGCAACCGTTACCAACAGCCCACCTCTACTGCCAGCATAGCAGTTCTAGAGGAGCTTGTCTACCAGCAGTCTATATCAAGTGTAGGAAAAACTTCAAGCGAACTTCTCATATTCGGGGCTCCTCGAGCTCAGAATCGTCGAACTGAAGGCTTTCCTCCAGGCCTTCCTCCAGGCCTTCCTCCAGTCCCAGACCTTCCACCAGGCCTTCCGCCAAGCCTTCCTCCAGGCCTTCTGCCAAGCCTTCCTCGAAGCCTTCCTCCACGCCTTCTTCGAGGCATTCCTCTTCCTCAGGTTCCAGGAAGCCTTCCTGGTTGTCTTCTTCGAGGCCCTCCTCCAAGCCCTCCTCCAAGCCTTCCTCCTCCTCCAAGCCTTCTTCTTCCTCCAAGCCTTCCTGGTGACAGGAACTGCCAAAGCCATCCTCGGCCTCGACGGCCTCGCTTGCTTGAGCCTCTAAGTCTTCGGCTGGTTCGGCCTCTTCCCTGCCGACCTCTTCAGCCTCGGGCTCGAGCATCACCACAACGTCACCGTCCACCTCCACTGCTTGAACCGCAGACACCTCGGCTTCCGCCTCACCTTCCCCCTCGACTTCCACCACCCCCACGACCTTCTGCTCCCTCTGCCCCTGCTCCATCACCGTGAGCAGCTGGGACATGCGCTTCTGGAGCTCCTCCGCCTCGGCAAGCTCTGCCACCAGCTCATCCACCTCGTTGGGTGGCCTGCTCGACTCCACCGGGAGTGCCAGCACCGGCACAGAAAGGCCCGTCACCCTCCTGCTCCGCCTGCGGCCTCGGAACCCGAACTCCCGAATCACGTCGGATCACCACTGCTTCAAGGGCCTACTTCCGATGTAAGATGCCGGCGCTGGGGGGACTCGGACGAAGAAGAGATGGCTGTGACTTCGTCGGCCTGACACGTGGCGCAGCGGCCCACGCGACGAACCGCGACTGCTGAAAACGCAATGCTTCTGATGGTCTTCTTGCGACATATGCCTAAAACCCTAAAACCCTAAACATTGTCTCTGAAGGTTGGCGTTTCGCAGCTGCGCTCGGGCCTGTGGCAAACTCCGCCCCGTGGCAGACCTGAATACGCTGGAGCTGATTGAGGCTGACGCAGATCTCAAGGGCCCGGATGGCCAGCAGGCTGCAAGCATATACATATACATATACATATACATATACATATACATATACATATACATATACATATACATATACATATACATATATATAGATATATAGATATAGATATAGATATAGATATAGATATAGATAGATATATATAGTACTATAAAAAAGAATAGTATAACATACATAGTATATTATAATATAACATCCAAAAAAAACTTGTTTTCCCTTTGCCCGAGTCTGCCCAATTGCAGACGTACTTGTCTGACGGCGACGCGCTGCGAGCCTGACACTGCACGAAGAAGCTGCGAAAGGAGTACTTTGCCGATATCAGACACTGTGCAAAACATCAGCATAATTAAAAATGCATACATATATATATATATATGTATATGTACATGTTCACTATACTAAATGACAATATACTACATTCTATTACATTATACGGTATTATATTATCTTGTATTATACTATATTATTTTGTATCACATTATCTTATCTCATCTCATATCATATTACCATCATATATGTGTATATATATGTAGTCTAGTGAATCTGGTGGTCAATAACCTTCTGTCTCCATGGTCTCCCTTCACTGCTCCCAAGAAACGTGCCGGGCGCTATGCTTGCAAAGGAGCACGGCGCCGGCCCCAGTGGCCCAGAGGGGGTCGAACTGGGCTTGGGCTTCGTGTGATGTGCCGGAACCCTCCGCATGCCTCCACATCATCATACAAGCTTTCTGTAGCATTCAGGAAAGTGAGGCCTTAAGGTGTTCTACTTTTCTTCCTTTATTCGCGCAGAACAGGGGAGCCTGGCGTGATCACATGCGGCAGTGGGGGGTAGACCGGCAGACCCTCCGAACCGCGACGCATCGCGTTTGCAAAGAGCGACCAGGTACGCTCTAAGCCTCTAAGCGACGCCTCGGGTCTTGAACGGCAGCCGTGCAAGCGACTTCATTGACTTCATGCTTTCTTGAAGTCGGGCTCAACTGCAACTAAACCGATTCGACGTATGGCATAATACAAGGAACACTGCAGAGTTTCTCTGAAATAAGGCATTTTGCCTGAGTCGACTCTGCAGGCGGTTCACGGAAGACCTGCGTGCAGGTGAAGCATGTGGCCGCTGTCCTTCGACAGGGCGGCAACCTTCCCCATCGCCATCTGGAGCAACACTTAAAGTTACTATCACTGCGGAAGGGCCTCATACGAGATCTTGCTTCACCTGCCCGGAAGTGCAATGCTCTTCAGCATTGGGTGCCCGTAGCTGTGTTCAACCTTCAGAAGGTTAAGAGGAGCCACGGGAGGAGATTTCCCAGGGCGGGGCCATCAGCAAACAGATCGTATGGCTTCTGCGGCCAAGGGGCCACTGAGGCACCCAAACCCAGGAAGCCCCCAAGTCATTATTCAGAGACCGGCGGAACTGTGAAGTGGTGGGGCTGCAAGCTTGCTCGATGCTTCGTGGCGTTCAGGAGTCTTAGGTCTCTCAGCTGCAACAAAATTTTTTCTGAGAGCCCTCAGAGCCGAATGCAGCGACACTCCTGGTCCGTGGTTTGGAGTCCAAGACGGCAGAGAAAAATCGCCCAAGCTTTCTGCCGGCTTGGATCAAGATCCCAAGCCCCAGAGTTCAGTCAGGGGCCCAGGGGAATTTTCTCAAACAACCCTGAGGGTAGCTTCAAGAGCAAGTCTTGATGATGGATGACAGCTCGCCCTTCAACGTCGAATGCTGAACTCTGGGAAAAAGCCGCTCATCTTGGCACCAAGGCCTCAGCAGGGTTCGCTTTCAACAGTAGCATACGAGCCGCTGCCATCCTTATAGCCTTGGCCTCCACCAAGGCCTACATCCACCAAGTGTTTAGGGTTTAGGGTTTAGGGTTTGGGGTTTAGGGTTTCGGATTTAGGGTTTAGGGTTTAGGGTTTAGGGTTTAGGGTCAAGGCAAGACGCCCCGGCTTCAGGCGAACATGCCATCATGCATCTCGGCTTTCTCGTGCAAAGCCTGGCGTTGGAGATTTAAGTGGGATGTGCTCGCCTCCCCCCAACATTAAACACCACCCTACCCCCTAATATTAAATACCCCCCCCCCCCCATTATAGTTATATTATAGTATATTGGGGGTGTTTAATTTTAGGGGGCGGGGGGGGTTTAATATTAGGGGGAGGGGAGTACTTGAGAAGTCCTTTGGAACTCGGGGTGCCCGGTACATCACACATCTTCTCATTACAAATTTCAAACTTCAATGAACTGAATGGCGCTGATGTGTTTGGCGTGCCGTGGGAAACAACGAGCTGCTGTTGCTATGTTCTGTCCCGGAAGCATCAATACTCCTCCCCACCCTCCCTAGCTATGCTTATCCGCCTCCGAAAGGACTCAATATCCAGAGACAGGCAGGGTCTTAATTTGTATGGATCCCAAGCTCGACCTGCTAACTCCAGATTTCTTCAGTGTGTCTAAGTCGGGGCCACCACTTTCCGGCTCGGGGGCATTGAACCCAAGACTTCACATCAGGGGCGGTTTAGGGGGTTTTCGACTCTCACACCTTGCGCAAGCAGGCGAGGCTCTCGTGGTTTCAGCCCTTGTGTGACAACAGACTCGGCAGCTCATGTGGGGGCGTGCGGGGGGGCGGGAGGAGGAGCTGCAGCTACAGCTACGAGTCTAGGGCTTCGACTCTCAGGCTACCACAAGCTGGCGAGGAGTCGAGGTTGCGCTTTGAATTCTTCCAGAAGAAGTTTGCTTAGCTCGCGAGCTAAGGCTTTAACGGAACGATCCAATATCTACTGGAAGTGAATCTGCTTCAACTCACAGACTTCACGAAGGTTGTGCTGACACCCTAAGGCTTGCCCCCGGCATCGAAGATTTCGGAACGCACAGGTATCCGCCGGTCTCTGTGTCTTTCTCATTTTGATAGGCGCTGGGCTGTGATTCTGAGGAGGAAGTCCTACCCAGCTGTACTGATCACACCAGGCGCACCCGGAGATGAGTCAGGTCTAGGTGGAAATGTTTCGATGGGTTGTGGGTCGGTGGGGCCCAGCTGCTCCGCAGTCTTCATGGCCTCTCTCTCCCTCTGAGGGCATTCACACTGTGCTCGCCTCCAGAATTTCCGGGCTGGGATACCACCCAGCTTCCTGCATCGCCTCAGGGGTAGAGTTTTTTGAGAGGGTTCTGATGTTTACTCGGCGACACGAAGGCCACGAAGGCGAAGGCTTGCTGGATCGTCTCTGAGTTCCCGACTTTGTCGAGAAAGACTTTGAAAAACTGCCTCGGCTAATCCGGGCACTCGGCGCGCGTGTGTGCGTGTGGGTGCGTATGTGCACCAAGTCACTTCGACAGTCCATTGGAAGCCTGACATGCCCACTTGTGGAATGGAATCGACTTTGCACACTGCGCAACACGTGCAGGTGTGCCTTTGTGACCTCGACTTGCAGATGCAGCGTGTCGTCGTATGCCTGATCCAAGCCAACTAAGCCTAAACCCTAAACCCTAAACCCTAAACCCTAAACCCTAAACCCTAAACCCTAAACCCTAAACCCTAAACCCTAAACCCTACACTGCCTTGAGCCCTTGCAGACAGAGTATACTCTCCCCGCCTTCTTAAGATCCTCAGCCAAGGCATCCGTGACGGATCCACTATCCCTTGGCACAGCGCGGAGCATTCCTAACCATCCAAGAGTCCTCTTGGGGTTTAGGGTTTAGGGTTTAGGGTTTAGGGTTTAAGGTTTAGGGCTGTGTGTGTGACTGCCCAATAGTGCTAAGGTCCGCACTTGACCATCTCAAGCCTAAGCTAAGCTTTCCATGTGGCGAGCTCTTCCAAAGCAAGCCTTGTCTAAGGGCCTTTGACACCTGCATGAAAAGAGGATGCAAAAACGAGCTCTTTTTGCTGCTACGTTGCAGGTCGTTCCTCCGCATGTAGGTTGCCCTCAGTTGGTGCGCCCGATGCACTGTCCATGTCAAAATTCGCACAGAGCAACGTCCCGCATGTTGCTGATGAGTAGCGCAGGCCCGACGATCCCGCCAATGCCGCCAGTACTGCCGCCAGTTGCATACCTGAAGGCAACTGCAGCACAAAACGGAAGACCATTGTCATTATCGTTCGCATTGCTCATATTTTAGGAGTTTGACAACGCCGTTCTTGCTCGATGAATGGAGGATTCATGATGGTTAGGAGTTTTTTCACAAAGCCATTCTTACTCGATGAGCAGCGTCTAATAATTAGAGGCATGGGAAGTGCACAGAAGTAGCACATGCTAGAAAAACTAACATGCCCTGCAAAGGGCCAACATTTCAGCCGGGCAAAGAAGTCATTGTTGATGCTGCTGTTTGGACAAAGCCTTTACAAGTCTGCTACGCAGGTTCTTGCTCTGCCTGCTCTTTCAAGGATCCTTGTTTGGACCGTGGACCCCCGTCGCCTATGTACCTGTGCACTTGCAGTTTAACCGCAGCTGCTGTGCTAACTACATAGAGCTTGAAGTAGGCAACAACCCTTATTCTAGGAACCCTGTTGAGCAACGGACTTGGGAGGCTGCCGGCAAACATGCTAGGAACCCTAAGCCCTCCCCCAAGAAGGGCACCGGAACCTTGTGGAGTTGGTTCACCCATACCAACACAGTCAGCATGCCTCTGGCCGACTCTTCCCAAGCGTTCCAAGTACGAAGCTATCCGAGGTCGAATCTCACGTCTTGCCGGTGTTCCTTTCCTGCTGTGGCGCTTTGTCATTTCTGACAATTTGAGATTGGTGACAGATGTGTTTGGGAGTGCCAGTGTAGGGTTTGCTAGCAACCTAGGCTAGGCTGCGGACCCCTCACTCGCATGTCAGGCCTAAACCCTGAACCCTAAACCCTTCTAACTCGCTGGGGCATCGCTATCCAGGCAAGATGCTTCTCGAAAACTTGTCCGCTGAGTTGATTGAGCTCCTGGATCGATCGTCGCTTGGCCCTGAGGTAGGCACTGGTGGATCAGGGTTTAGGGTTTAGGGTTTAGGGTTTAGGGTTTAGGGTTTAGGGTTGTATCGTAGGGGTCATCAGGGTCTTGAGCCTTAGGGAGCGGGCAAGGGCGCGTGCAGAATTTCAGGGGGCACTCCAGGCCGCCCCTAGATGACATCCATCCTCTCAGCCGAGGCACTCCGAAACAGGTACACAGATGGACCTTAGACCGAAAAAGAGAGACCCCCCGGATGCAAATGGCACAGGGTGGCTGTGGCTGCGGTTTGATACCCTGCAGGGAGGTGGCCACTGGCCGGCTCAGGGCGGTAACCGCATGCTCAACTGTCAAGAAACAAACGGAACCCGGAACCCTGAAAAACCCTAAGCCCTTACCAAACCCTGAACCCGTATAAACCCTACACGCTTTTTAAAACCTGAACCCTTACAAGACCTATACCCTTATAAAACCCTGAACCCTTATACATCTGCACCCTAAAAGACCCTAAACCTTAAGCCCTAAACCCCACTTGTGGCTTGTCAGGTGCCAGGTAGCATGCGGGAGACCTTGAGGACGCCCGTCTCATCTTCCACGATGGAATACCCTTTTAGCCGGGCTTCCCTGCGTATGGCTTCCTGGCTCAAGGGGGTTTAGGGTTTAGGGTTTAGGGTTTAGGGCTTAGGGTTTAGGGTTTAGGGTTTTTTTTCGGGTTTAGGGTTTAGGGTTTAGTGTTAGGGTTTAGGGTTTAGGGTTTAGGGTTTAGGGGGGGCACCAGGCTGCCATGAGCATGTACACGTAACATAAGACGTTCGTGCAGAGATTTACATCTATACGCGATGCTGCTGATGCTGGAAACTATGCTTGTAAATGTGTACATATATATATATATATGTATATATACTTATTTTCCTATTTTTTGTACATATATATATATACACATTCCTTTTCTGATGGTAAGTATAGACAGCCATCTGATTCCAGAGATGCTGCACTCGGCCTTCTGAAGCCGAGAGATGTCGCTGCCAAACCTAAGTTCAGCGCATGCCGCATGCCGAAATTCGGCCCGAACTCGGGGCTTGAGAGGTTCACGGGGGGCAACAAGAAGGCCGGCTCAATTTCTTCACCTACGGCTGAGGAGACCTTAATTCTGTTCGAAGGGGCTCGACGGTGCCAGTACCGACGGAGATGTCTGAATGGAGTTGGGTCATGGACTTGGCCAAATTGCCCACCACAAGACGCTCCTGGCCAAACTGTCTGTGTGCCGAATGCATGTGGCACGCAAGCAGCTGCTCATGCTTGATATCCTTTCCGACCTCAAGAGATGGACATCATCCGTCAAGAGCCCAAGCGACGGTACACCCCCATGGCCCGCCTGAGATCCATACATGCCGGTTACTTCGAAGCCATAGCTGTCACAGACCTTGCCCACGCAGGAACGGAAGGCCTCGGGGTCACGACTGCTGCTTGCATTTCTCGCGCCAACCGCAGGTTAGGAATACCATCACGCGCACTCACCGGCATGCTCGGTGCTGCTACTGTGGCTCTTGATTCTTGATCTGCCAGCCCTGAATCTGGCCTGGCACGCGGCCGGCGGATAGTCGAAGATGGCCTCCGCATGCAGATTCTCCGCAACTTCGCGCATTTTCTAGGAAACTTGCTCCAGCCGGTACTTCGCCAGCTGCTGATTCAGAGTTCCCATGGCAGCCAGGCAACATCAACCGGCAAGTTGGCCAGCTGGGCTTCGACTGCCACTCGGATCTCCTCCTCGCCACCTTCATATCGGCTGGATGGCTCATGAGGGGTCTTTGGGGTCCCTGGGTTCGAGGGTTTAGGGTTTAGGGTTTAGGGTTTAGGGTTTAGGGTTTAGGGTTCTTGAATTCTCCCCCCCTTGAATTGCGCTGAACTGCCTTGGTCATTGAAGATGTCCACGTCATAGCCATCCTCCTGGAGGTCTTAACACAATCCGCATCTCGCACACATCTCCACGTCTCTAGGTATGTACATCGGTCGTGCATCTGTGGGGCATCGGTCCATGCCAGTCTATGCATTCTTGCGTGCTGTTCAAATAGGGTTTAGGGTTTAGGGTTAAGGGTTAAGGGTTTAGGGTTTAGGGTTTAGGTCTAAGGGCGTTTGAATGTAGATGTTCTGCATACTTACATTAGCGGTATTTGCTAGTTTCTCCTGTTCTGGTTGAAAATCTGTACCACCATCTGCCCTTCAAGGCTCTTAATTTGAATACATGCCATATACGGCCCTGTGTGAAACAAACCGTCTTCTAACACTGGGTCTGTGTTGAAGGTGTCCAGTAGCCTTTCGAAGATGTTTTTTGTTTCCTTCTCATATCTAACTGTGCAAAAACCCTTTCCCCACTAACTCATCTGGTGGATGTTAAATTGTGCCTTTAGGTTCTGTCCAAAAATCAATTAAAGGTCTGTCTTTGTGGTCTTTCAAACATTTATTTGATAATGGAACTGTCTTTGCCGAACTCTATTATTAAACATTACATCTATAGAGTAGATGTTGGCGCTATTTCGACTATTGTGTTCCTTCGTTGCTTGTTGCATTCGTCACCCTAGGGGTTCTTTGTCGCCGTGTTTGTCGTGGATTTTGTCGTATGCAATGCTTGCCTTGGTTTTTTTGTTTGTCGGTTTTTGCGGTTATGAACTTATGAGCTGTCTGAATAAAATATCTGCGGTGGTGAATTGCGCTATTTTACGGTCTTCAGAAAGGTTAATGAGATTTTGTATTTTGGGCCAGGTGCCTTGTGTTAAACGATCTTTGTAGTCGTTGTAGGTTGTCGGTAGTGCTCTCGTGTTACGCCTAGTATTTTAGCTCATAAACAACAAAATTACAAAAGAAATTAAATGTTCGTTCTAAATGCTCTTTCTAAAATCTTTTTGCGATATCTAGATGACATATCTAAACATAACACATGTATGTGTAGCATAGTCATATGAACTATGAACGTCCCGTGGATATGGCAATGGATGAGAGTAAGCCTTGGTTAAGCAACAACTCGCATTGCATCAACGGCTTTACTACAACAAAAGGAAAGAAGACGAGCAGTTTTATGCAAAAGAATCGCGAAGCAAGCTTAAGGCACACCCAAAGAAGAGAAATAAGGAATTCATAGAAAAGAACAACTTAAGCGAGGAAAATTGGACACCAGCGCAAATTACCGAAATCATTACTGATAAAACCTAGTGGAAAGAAGCGCGGGGGGCCGAATACGATGTGAACGAATACAATGTGATTATGCCTAGTTCTTTAAACTTTCTCTTAACAATTTATCAGAGCGAGAAACAGAAAAACATTAATGATGTGTATTTCGATAAGGCCGGTTTCGGGAATCAATCCAGAGGGAAAAAGACAAAACTATAACAATGGGAGATATTATCAAGGTGTTTAGAAAGAATGTTGAACAAAACAGAAAGCGGGTAGAACGAAACAGTTTTATCGCCCCTCATTCCGCTTATGAATATCAGGTGGATTTTATGTTTAGAAACGGGTTGGAAGAACAAAAGTTTAAGGTAGGGGTGTTGATGCTGGATGTGTGTGATAAGTTTATGCATGTAGTGCCGATAAAAAGCAAACAAGGAGGCGATGTAGCGACCGGTATGATTGAGTGTTTTCATCAGGTGGGTAAGAAGCCCGAAACCATTCATACAGATGATGATGGCGCATTGAACAAGGAGGCAATACACAAGTGTTTAAAGGACGAGAACATAGAACCATCACCGAACGAGGGCGCGCCAAAATTTTAATGAAAAAGCCATCTGCGCTTCTAAAGAGATGTTGTATACGCGGGTTAAAGCAGATAAAAAGAAAGGAAAACAGAGCATCCCATGGCCAGGTTGCATATTAAAAACACTACCAACCTACAATTATCAGATTTACACCAATGGAAGCCCGAAAAACCAGTAATCGATTCAAAGTGAAGATAAACTTAACTATGAAGGGAAAGAAGAACTGATTTAGATGCAGGAGATGAGGTTAAGATATTTAGGAAACGAAAACCAAATGAAAAGAAAGGGTGAGCAAATGTTGGACAATAAGTTAGGTCGAAATTATGAAGGTAATGATAGGCCGTATTTGCGGTTTGAATTGCTGCAGGCTTGAGGGTGGTGGGACCGCTATCCCAGCGCTGGTACTCATACGATTTCAAGATTGCTGTTCCAGCTTCTGGTTCTGGGCTTGGACTTGTGTGGTCAAAGGGGCTTGCCATGCTGGCGAAGCTGCCATTTAAGAGACTAAGATCACCGATGGCACTGGGTATCATCTTTCTGCATGATCAGCGGCTTTCCACATCACACTGCCCGTCTTTCTTCCGTCCAAAACAGATGAGCCGACCATCTGCCCGCGCTGCACAAGTATGAAAGTGGCCAGCTGCGACAACCAAAACGGGTCCCAAATCTGCTGGAACATCACACCGCCCATCTTCCTGCCGTCCAAAACAGACGAGCCGACCATCTGCCCGCACTGCACAAGTATGCAAATCGCCTGCTGCGACAGCCAAAACGGGTCCCAAATCTGCTGGAACATCACACTGCCCATCTTCATTCCGTCCAAAACAGACGAGCCGACCATCTGCCCGCACTGCACAAGTATGATAGCCGCCTGCTGCGACAGCCAAAACGGGTCCCAAATCTGCTGGAACATCACACCGCCCATGTTCCCTCCGTCCAAAACAGACGAGCCGACCATCTGCCCGCACTGCACAAGTATGAAAGTGGCCAGCGGCGACAACCAAAACGGGTCCCAAATCTGCTGGAACATCACACCGCCCATCTTCCTGCCGTCCAAAACAGACGAGCCGACCATCTGCCCGCACTGCACAAGTATGCAAATCGCCAGCTGCGACTGCCCAACCTTCTCCCAAACCCCCTGCCGGCAGGTGACACTGCCCACATCTGGTGAATGCACTGCAGGCTATCAAACCACCTTTCCTCGTTACCCAACTGCTATAGCGGTTGCAGGAAACTTCGAAACTTCCCGTAGTGTGGTGGGGATGTGGCAGTCTGGGACGCGTGTTTCTTGACAAGCATCCACTACGTTGAAGCTGTGGCAGAGCGAAGCGCGACTGGCACAGCAAGGGAACGTGCCTGCAGCCAGCACGGACTGGCAGAAAAAAACACCGACCTGTCGTGGATGTCAAGGAGAATGCGGTAAGTACCAGGGCAGCTTTCATAGGGACTGAGAGATGCATGCCGCGGCGCGCTTGATGCGGAAAGACGACGATGTGGACAAGTAGTTGATGCATCTGCTATGAGAGAAGGCAAGGCAATGACACACCTTTGAACTGAGACATCACAGCGGCGCCAAAACACCGAAGCTTCACAACTACTGTAATGTAGGTACTACTCTCTATGTGGCCTCATTACTGTTGCAACCTCACTCCTAAAGATGAATGTTTCAAGAAAGGAGACCATTTTCATTTTTTCGGGTTGGGTGTTATGGGTTTTCTATGCGGCGGGTCATACTATGGGGTTGAGTATGCTAGCATCTATGGGGCAGCAGCGCCAAAACACCGAAGCTTCACCACTACTGTAAAGTAAGTATTACTCTTTATGTGTGGCGTCATTACTGTTGCAACCTCATTACTAGACCTTACTCCTGATGAATGTTTCAAAAGAGGAGACCATTTCCATTTTTCGGGTTGGGTGTTATGTTTTTTTTTGGCTGCGGGTCGTACTATGGGGTTGGGTATGCTAGCATCTATGGGGTAGTGCATGGTTCCATCGTATGGTGTTCATGATGCGGGTCTTGGGTTGGGGTCTTCCTATGGGTATTCTGGGTGGTGTTGAGGTTGAGGTATAGGTTGTTGTGGCTTGGGTCTTCGGGTGGCCGAGCCCTAAACCCTAAACCCTAAACCCCAAACCCAAAACCCTAAACCCTAAGGGGGTGGTGCATGGTTAGAAAATGGAAATGGTCATTGCTAACTTAACTAAGTTTTAAGGCCTAAGCCCTATACTCTTAAGGATGCGTCTTCTTGGGCCGTTTGGGAGCCATCCGGGTTTAGGGTTTAGGGTTTAGGGTTTAGGGTTTAGGGTTTAGGGTTTAGGGTTTAGGGTTTAGGGTTTAGGGTTTAGGGTGTTGCCCCTCTCTCTGAGAATCTTCAGTTGCAGTTCTCGCGCTCTCCTGGCCCTGGCTGATGTCCATCAGGCCTTGGCTGGAGCAACTAAAGGGGGGATTCTTTCCCTCCTAACCCTAAACCCTAAACCCTAAACCCTAAACCCTAAACCCTAAACCCGTTTTAAGCACGGACTGAGGCTGCCGGCAACACCTGAAAGCAGGGCCTTCTTGCCTTTAGCAAACCCTAAACCCTAAACCCTAAACCCTCGGCACAGCTGGGGCGAGTCCACTTCGCAGGGCTGATGACGAGAGGGGGGGTTTAGGGTTTGGGGTTTACCAGTAAGGGTGAGTTCTTGTTGCCCGCCAAGCAGACTAGCCACACTGTAAGGCCGGTGTCTGAATGCTATGCAACCCATCGGACGGGGATATTGCGCCAATCCCCACAGATTGCGAGTTGAGAGATTGTGATTCAGAGCTCACGCTCGCACACGGCGGGGCAAGGCAGGTTTCGGGGCACAGCGTACCGCGGCACAGACGACGAGTGCTGGATTTGCACCACTTCTAAACAGCTCACTCTGGACTCCACAGACTTTCGGCCCTTTCAGCCAGAAGCTCCAAGTTCCAGCCAAGGGGCTCCGGGAGGCTGGCGAATCCTCAGGTAACGGCCCAGTTTGGATAAGTGACGATTTGAAAAAAAAACTCCATTTGCGTGAGCTGCAGACTGGCTCATGACCCTTTATAGGTTATTATAGGTTATTATAGGTTGCTATAGGTCGGGCTTGGGGTTTCAAGGAGGGGGCGCATGGTTTAGCGAACATGTCTCAGGGACATTCCAGCGCCCGCAGTATATTAAATTAAGGTTGCAGGCCGAGGCGCTGCGGGCAATGACAGCTCCTCGCAGCAGGCGGGAACCTTTCCAACAGCCTCCAGAGGAAGTCGCTTGAAGGAGCATCGCAACAGAATGCAGCCTGCCCTCCTTCTGCCCCCCCCCCCCTCAAAAAAAAAGAAAAAAACGGAAAGCCAGCCTTGGACATGTGCATGCCATTCAATTCCGTCAGCGTTCGGCCGAGGAGAACAAGGCCTGGCCACTCCGAGCGGATGTGCAACTTGAAGGTTGATTTCGATTCCGACTCCCATCGGAGGTTCAGCCCCATATTCTATATAGAACATCACATCTTATAGATGACAAATAATATGGAAGACATACGATATAGCATACACATATATGTATATGTAATACACAACAGATACAGGTAACATATATTGCATACTGCTATATGCTACACTGCTTATCACCTTCAGCCCACCTGGTCCAACTTTCGAGACGAGAAGGCGGAGGCCCGCTGCCGGTGCAAGGTTCGCGATCTCCTTTACTCCAAGGCCAACCAACAGAAGAGCTCTCTCCCCTAACTTATACGGTATAAGAAAACAATGATTTGATGGGTTTAGGGCGTTTTCTGGTTTACTCGGCTGTCTCTGTATCTGAGAGGGTTTAGGGTTTGGGTTATACAGAGAAATATGATGTTGAAATACAGCAATTGCGACTCGACTTCAAGTTCCCCGTGCACAGCGTGGGCGACGACACCGATCCTACCACGACAATGGCGCTCAGCCCTACATTCGACAACGTTTGCAACCCCTCTTTCACTGTGAGGCTTTTACAATGAAAGGTCGCTCTAGGAGGAGCGTTTTCCATCAGAGAAAGCGACCTCTTCGGGGCACCCCCAGTTGGAACACCAGTGGGCGCGCCTTCCGCACTTGCTCCGTAAAGGGGCCCTCCCGCAGAACCAGCAGCGAGGACCCCTGCGTTGAGGACCAGAGACCTGAATCTCGGGCCACCTGTTGGCATGCGCAGTACGCCAGAGTGGGGGAAGTTTTGCTGGCTCTTCTTTGTGCATTGCATTGCATTACAAACTAAAGGTCTTCAAAAGTGTTCCTTCTTAAAAAGGCCACACTGTTCCGGGATCTTCGAACTTACTGTCTCGGCCCACTCGGCCAACCTGCAAGGGGCGTTCTGGCTTTGGGCAACTCTAAGGAGGCCTGCAGACACATCGCCCGTTGCTTTCTGGACAGGTTGAACAGCTTCACACTTTCGTCCTGGTGGGCAGCAGACTACTGCGCTCGGACCAAAACCCAAGACGCACGGATAAAATGTTGCACATACCAAAGACACCTTCAAAAAAGACCAGGCCACCCAGCAAGATCGCAGCAAGGCTAACCCTGAAGCAGCTGGTGTGCAAAAAGCCGGTCCGGGCTCAAGCCGTGCAGCTGCTTCGTGACCTCAGGTGATATCGCAGGGACGATGACGAGGCGACGATAACATCTCCCCCCCGTCACTTCCACTCCAACCGGACGAATTATTCGTGAGCGCGGCAGCAAAGTGGATGCAGAAAGCGAAAGCAACGAAGTCTGGAGAACACCCTAAGGGGCATCAGCGGCTTGAGGGTTTAGGGGACCTATCCCGTACGGCACACATCACGAAAGTGGCGAGGCCTACACAGAAATCCGAAATCTGCACCGAGTGCATAGAGCGGCTCTCTCTTTGAAGGCCTCGTCGTCTTCTTGGACGTCTTGGGGATCCTCCCCAAGCTGTGCTGCCACCACATGCTACGCAACTTACACCAACAGAACAGTGCATCTGGGTGCGAAGCATCGTGTAAGGACAGATGGTGGATGAATGCGAACAGGCATGCCTTCACCCATCCACTCACTACACATGCATCACGGGCCTGTGGCTCCTCCTTCATCAAGTTTTTCCTCCGGCACGTTGGGGTAACGGTAACGCACTTGGCATTAGGAGGTAGACACAAGTCAACAAAACCAGCTTTTGGTCCAGGGTTTAGGGTTTATGCTTTAGGGTTTAGGGTTTGTATAGGGTTTAGGGTGGCTTAAGGCTTCAGGTAGGGCAGCCCCCCCCCCCCCCCCCCCAAACGACGTAACCCCATAGGACCCCATACCCAACATGTCCCAACCTGAGGGCCCAACAGACGGCCATAGCTACCCTAAACCCTAAACCCTAAACCCTAAACCCTAAACCCTAAACCCTAAACCCTTAGCTATGCTCTGGCCAGGCAGCAAGCTCTGTATCTTCTTGGTGGCCATGCGCAGCTTGCGCCAGCCGCTGCTTCCCTTTGTGTCGGCTTCCTGGGCTTCCGGCCAGGGTTCTTTGGGGGAGGGTTTTGGGTTTGGGGTTTGGGGTTTGGGGTTTTGGGTTTGGGGTTTGGGGTTTGGGGTTTTGGGTTTGGGGTTTGGGGTTTGGGGTTTGGGGTTTGGGGTTTGGGGTTTTGGGTTTGGGGTTTGGGGTTTGGGGTTTTGGGTTTGGGGTTTGGGGTTTGGGGTTTTGGGTTTGGGGTTTGGGTTTGGGGTTGGGGTTTGGGGTTTGGGGTTTGGGGTTTGGGGTTTGGGGTTTGGGGTTTGGGGTTTGGGGTTTGGGGTTTGGGGTTTAGGGTTTAGGGCGTTTAGGGTTCAGGGCTTGCAAGAGTTCAGGGTTTAGAGCTTCGACTTCTTGACGACTATGCGGCACTCGACACCCTGGGGGGGGGCTACCGTCCCAGCTTGAGCGTTCTCGGGTTTCGGGTTCTGCTGTTCCCCCGCCTGCACAGACTTGAGGGTTGAGGGCTTCGACGTGCGCGCCACGCGGAGTCTCCCATCCACAATCAATAAGGTCTCGGGTTCAAAGGGTTTATAGGCTTCAACCACAACTCGAACAAGCCGAGAACGACAGGGCCCTCTTCGACCCTTTTGCTGCAACGACTTTTGCCAGGTAAACCCCGAACAAACTCTAACGTCCAACCGTCGAACCCTTACACTCCGAATCCTATTGAAAGGAAACAGGCGCGTAGAAAACCTGGTTGTTTCGTGGACTTTTGGAAAGGTCTGGTTGTTGTGTTTTTCTCTTTTCGTTTTCTTTTTTCGGGGGGGGGGGGGGGGGGTTGGGGTACGACCATGTTACTCTATCCATGCCCAAAACACCGATATTTACGCTGAACCAGGATGTTTGACGTTTCTGTAACAAGACGCCCTGTCACAAGGCTTATGCGAACGGTGTGTCGTCATGACGGTCGAACCGCCAGCAGAAGCAACATAACAGAAAAACAACAGCGCACAAAACAACCCTTGTGCACTCGACGTAAAACATCTAAAAACCATGGCTTTTTGTTCTTGTTTGCCATGTGTACTTCTGTGTCATACATTTCAGCTAATTGTAGCTTCACAAGATAAAAGTTTAAACAACATCGGTTTTTACGGGTGGGACATCCTAACCTAATTCTCGCGTTCCTGGAAAATGGACGTACAGACTGTGCTTGAGAGCAGCTAAAACCCACGCGAAAACAGCGTCCGCACCTCCAAGCCACCAGGTTTTTTACGCGCCCGTGACCTCACCTACAAGCCTTGAATGCTTCATGACACCGAAGCCCCCCAAAACCCTGAAACCCTAAACTCGCGATTTTCAGAAGCCCCACAGCCTCCTTCTTCTCCTCGGGCTTCGTCTCGGGGGACGGCTTCCTCTCGAACTCCTGAGCTGGCGTTGGGGTGCCTATAGGGATTTCCAAGGTGTCGGGGGCTGCCATGAGCTTCTAGGGCACTTTTGACCTATGCTCACACTTCCACGGGGTAAGGGCGGCGGACCTTGCTTCAAGTTGCTAGGTTGCCCCGCAGCTTTACCTGCCCCAAACTCACATGGAACCTGCCAAAGGGCCCTTCAAAGAGGACAGTACTCCATAAAAAGGGCCCTGTTTCAGGTTCCATGTTTGTGGGAGTGTACCTGCCCCCCTTCTTCTTGGAGTTTCATGGGTCCCGATTCTGACTCTCAACCCGGGAAGCACGCACACCCCCACGGTTTTAAGGGGTAGAAGGAGGGACCCTCGAAGGGGCCCTTAATCTTACTCCCCTATTTCACTTGACATATATATATATATGATATATCTACATATATATATATACATACATATATATATATATGATAAATATATATATATATACCTTATATAGTCCCTCTATACCTAAGTATAGCCCCTAAAAAACCCCAAAATTTCTCGGGCGCCAGGATGCCTTTGGCTTCGGAGACTTTGGAGACATCGGGGCCTCGGGCACCGCCACCGTGGCCCTGGGAGCTTCGGGCACCTTTGGCTTCGCTGCAAGCCTGACATGTGGGTTTAGGGTAGGGTTTAGGGTTTAGGGTTTAGGGTTTGGGGTTTAGGGTTTAGGGGTTTAGCGTTTAGGGTTTAGGGTTTAGGGTTGGGCAAAGAAGTGGGTCGCTGAAAAAAAGGGGAGAGTTCACCGTGTCTTGACAGCTGCGTGGCTTGATCACCACCTCGATTTTCTGACCGCCCCCTCACCCCAGACATCCCTAAACGGCCTTAAGGCGTTCTACTGGCCTTCGTGGCCGCCGCTGGCTTGGAAGAAGCGGCAGCGCGTCTTCGACGCCAGCGAAGTAATCTCGCCACGCTTCCTGGGAGCCCCAACAAGTCTCCGGGTGCAGGAGGAGGGGCCTAGGGAGTGAAGACAGTTCGGAATACCGAAGATGGCACGGTAACCCTCAGCCTCTCAAGACTCAGCTGTAGACAAGCTGATCCGTGCCTAGAAGTGTCCATGAACTTTTTGAGGGTTTGGGATCGTCTGTTTGTTTTTCCTGTTGGTCTTCTGTTCCTGCCATGACCCCGAGATTCAAAAGGAAAGACGTGAACTCGGGTTCACTGCATGGCATTGAAACGCTACAAGGGAAGCAATCCAGGATATCGAAAAGCGAGCCAAGTGCATTCAGCAAAAACATGCTAGGGTAGTCGACACATGCGAGAGTATTCAAAGAGCAGGAGGTGCGTTCAACAACAATGCTCAGAGAAGATGCCAGCGCGCTCAAGGACGAAGGATGCTCATGTAACATGCCTGAATGCCTTGATTGAGGCACGAGCACGGGCCATTGAACCACGAAAATCCAAAAACAAGCACGGACGGAAAAATCAAGGGCAGAAAACGCGCTGTCCATCGAAAAAATGACGCTCGGAAGGAGAAAACTGACGATATCTAAATTCTAAATCATGGCCTTATTGGTACCATGCACAAAACAAGCCAATAAAGGCCTCTCACAATTTATTGTGCGTTTAAGCAAAACGGACCCCTGACGTGCGCCGTGCAACAGCCCGATACTTTCACCCACATTGCAGATGGAAGCAATGCGTGCCCCAACAGTTATATCGAAGCTGGGAAAGACTTGTGTAGCAAAGGTGTAAGGGGCCATTTGAATGGAGTGTGCGTTGCGTGTGGTTGAGTCGGGAGAGATGGGAGTACAAGACAATCATATGAGTAATTATCAAAAATTTAGGACCCTGCATTGCCTACTGGTCACGGTAGTCCGCATTGCGGAAGCCCAACTCAAGACAGGCGAGCAGTAATAATGTTCCAAGGCACACGACACACTGTCGTCCCACCTTTCGTGATTGAGGAGAACATCTGCTGCTTTCCAAGGCCTGGCACACCGGCAGCGGACAAAGATTGCGGGGGGCGGCAGCAGAAGCTCAGTCGTGGCTCTCTGCAAGGCCTGCGATCTTGGGGAGGTCCTGAGTTTCAGACGAGGGCTGAGCAAGAAGAGGAAAGCCGGCTAAGGAGATTGCAGCCGGTCAGCTCAGATACTCATGGGGTGAAATATATGTCCGCCGGGGTTCCACACGGAGGATCGTCAAGCCAGTGTGCCAGGAGACTGATGCAAAAGCTTCAGAGCTGTTGCTATCCAGGTAGTTGAAGGCGGCGTCCTCGGAACCAACCACACAATCAAGCACATAGGAGAAAGGCTCTGGGGGCAGTAGGCGCAGCCGCCCTCGGGGCGACTCTTCCCCCCCCCCGCTTCGCCAGGAAGCTCTGCAAAACAGCCGCCCTCTATTGAGTTTTGAGAAGCGGGATCAAGCATCCATGTTCAGACTCCATGACAAGGCCGCTCCGGTGTAGTATCCAGTGACGGTTTCCCCACTTCTGCTTGCACGACCCACCCCAGTTCCGCTGAGCACCGATGAGCCATAACATGAGGGCCCATTTCCTCTTTCTTTTCCCACCCTGGCAGTAGTGCGGCGTTCTCTCTGGGGAAAGTATTAAAAGGCTGGGGAAAGTACTAAAAGGCTGAGCCAGGGAGTCCAGGAGTCCGCAATGCGGGAAATGGGAGGCCCCCCCTGCCTCCCTCCCTCCCTCCCTCCCTCCCTCCCTCTCTTCCTCTCTGCCTCTCCCTCCCTTTTTCCCTCCTTTCTGCCGCACACGATTTTTTGTTTTGCCTAAGGTGCTTAAACCCGTGCGGACCTCCTCTCAGTCCAAGATTCCAAGGATCCCAACTTGGCGCAGAGGATGTATGCCAGGGCAGCCTAAGCGCAAGGAAACCCAGAAGCGGCTGAAAGCGGCTGAGAGAGAAATTTAGGGTTTAGGGTTTAGGGTATCAACGAAACAGGTCTGAGAGCAGGGCCCTCCCTGTAAGCCCATTCTCCTCAATGATGCTTTCCAGCTCCAGCATCTCCTTCTCTTCAGCAATGGTCATTGCCTTGAGCTCCTTGGGCGGACATGCTCTGAACTGCAGCGAAATCCATGGACCAGAGCCCCCAAAAACCACTCAAACTTGGGCCTACAAGCCCCTGCTGGCAGGGAACAATCGCAAAACCGCGGGCTTGGAGTTGCAAGGCGTCCTGTGGCATTTCAGACGGGTTTGAGAGGGTTCAAGACCAGCAGTAAGACCAACCCTAAACCCTAAACCCCTAAACCCTAAACCCTAAACCCCAAACTCTAAACCCTAAACCCTAAACCCTGATCATCACAAACGTCGAAGGCTTCAGGGGCTTCGAGGCGCTTCCAGAAGGAAGTGGGCAACCCTAAACCCTCTTGAGCCCTAAACCCTCTTGAGCCCTAAACCCTTTGGAACCCTAACCCTTTGAACCCTAACCCCTAAACCCTAAACCCTAAACCCTAAGCCCTAAACCCAAGGGATTCGGTGGAGAGAAGGCTCCTGGAGCTCCCGCTGCAGTCGCAGGAGTCGATCCACGGCACCCTCTTGCTCCTCCGCTGCACGCAAGTCGAGGCAGGAACTCCGTGTTCGGGGGTCACCCTGCTTAAACCCTAAACCCTAAACCCTAGAAGAGTCTTGAAAAAAGGGGGGCACCAGACTTGGGAGATCAAAGCACTGGAGGCCTCCTGGGTCCAGCCTTCGGTCCAGCCTTCCGAAGTGGCGTCGGGCTCGTCCTCCCGAAGGTGATGACTGGTGCACAGGCTCTTTGGCACTCGGAACTTTCTGAACTAAAAAAGAAAAAGAAAAAAAAGAAGGGGAGGGGGGGGGACTCCATATACGATCCCGGTTCTCGGTTCGCCAGCCCCCCCCCCCCCCCCCCACCCAAAGGCCCCCTAAGCCCTAAACCCTAAACCCGTCACCCTAAATCAGGACCCCCAAATAAGGTACCCCCTAATTTCGGAAGCCCCCCAAAAAAGGTTGTCTTAAAACAACCCCCTAATTTCGGAAGCCCCCAAAAAAGCCGGGGCCTTCTTCTGCGTCCAGCCCCGCACGCAGAGGGAGCTCAGGCGCCTCGCTTTCTGCACGTCTTTGGCGTCAAGGTCCTGCACACCAACCCCTCCAAGAACCTGAACCTACAAAGGGTTTAGGGTTTAGGGTTTAGGATTTAGGGTTTAGGGTTTAGGGTTTAGGGTTAGGGTGTCCAACCAGGAAATCAAGCAATCCAGGGCTTGGTTCAGGCCTTACAAAAACACAAGAAGCCCATATCAAATTCTCTTCATATGTCCAGTCTATCTCTAGGTGAAACAAATGAGTGACTTCGTGTATGGAATGAACGCAGTAAATTAATGCGTTACACACTCAATAATTAGCCGGTGTGTGTGTGTGTGTACTTCATGGGCGTGCTCACTGTCTTTATCTACTTGGGCGGAACCTGGGCCTTTACCATACAGTCGCCAGAAAAGAGACACCAAAAAAAAATCATGAAAAGGTTGCCGGGCAGTCTGTACCCTAAACCCTTAAACTCCCTTGACACTAAGGGTCTGTCCTGCAGTCCCATCCTCTTCATGCTGTTCGAAGGCGAAGGTAGCTCATCTTTTGCTGGCTCCCTCTTGGCCTCGAAGCCCTCGATCGTCAGCAGGTGCAGGTCGTCAGAGACATTCATGCCCCCATTCACTCTCCGTTTTGACTGCTTTTCAAGAAAGAAGGAGGAATGGAAAGACTTCACCTGGGTTGCTGTTGAGGTACTTCATGATTAAATACATATGTGTAAGCAAACTGTGCCACGACTTGGCGTGCGCCATTGCGCCGTTGGCGCGCGCTCTAGGACGCATACACAAAGGTACACCGACCTGCGCAGTTGCCTTGCTGCTTACCAGATCATGCAATGTCATACAAGATAGCATAATGATACAAAATAATACTCTTGTATGCATATGTATATATATATATATATGTGTGGGTGTGTGTGTGTGTGTGCGTTTATTCATTTATTTATTTGATTTTTATTTGTTTATCCATTGATATGTATATTTCTCTATACGTATGTATATATGCTTTGATGTGTACGTATATGTCCGTTCTATCTATTTACCTATGTATTTATGTCTTGTTGAAGTTGAAGCTTGCTGAGCAGCACCGAGTCACCTTAGGCGAGCGCTTCGTCTTGGCATAGGGTGACAGGGGGGAGTCCGGAGCGGCCTCCTCGTCGTCGTCAGCGCTAGTCAGGGTGGTGCCCACGCGTGCCCGCTGCGACGGGAACAGCGGGGGCACTGCGGGCACCCTCCTAGACAGGCTCTCGGGCAGGAATCGGAACTCTGCCCGCCTTGGCGAGAAGTTCCTTCGGCTCCCTTGGCCCGAGCCCTCGGAGGAAAAGACCAGCTCGTCCAGAGAAGTGGGAGGTTGCAGCGCGGGCCGGCCCGTGGATGCCAACACACGCCTGTCCTGGTCCAACACTATTTTTTGATTTGAGGCTATAGTTCATGATTGCAAATCATGCATGTCCCACCCAAGCCTTGAACTCGGATGAGACACGACGCGGCAACTTATTTTTGCCTCCTACAATGTACTTGGCGAATGCCAGGCCTCACGGTTCGAGGGGCTCATGCCAGAGCCGGAGCTTTCGGAGAGGACGTCGTTCAAGCTGCGCTGGCGAATTTCCGCGGACCTAGCTTGGAGGTGCAAAATGGCGTCTTTTGTTAGTGGCCTATTCCTCTCACACAGCCGGCACGTATGTCATGCTGCAGAAGGCCAAAAGAACAAAGAACAATCACCCCGGCACATCACTTTTTCTCTTTCAGGTGTTCATGTCCGAAAAGCTTTTCATTGCCGTTGGTATCCGTTGCCAGAATGGGTTGTAAAAACGGCCCAGTAGTTTGCCCACAGCTTCCGCATGGTTTGTGGAAGCTCCGCTTCTGAGAAAGGCTACAGCAGGGCGTTTGTCATGTGACTTGCCGCCCAGTGTTTGCGACCATGCCGCCTCGAGTTCCTCTACTGGGGCAATTTCTTGTGAGCAGTCTGTAGCTGAATGATAGCGAGTCTCCACCCCCCCCCCCCCCCCCCCCCATATAACAACTAAACCCAGAAACGAGAATCCGAAACCTTTTGCTCCCACAAACTGCTCTGCTCTGCTATGCGGCTCGAAGCCGTCTGTGCGCATGCCTCGCTTGGGCCGTCCACTGGGAGCCCGGCCTGTCGGGCGGGACAAAGGGGGGGTTTGGGGGTTCCGGGTTTCTACGGTTTAGGATGGTTTAGGGATTTTTAGAAGGGTTGCGGGATTTGGGCCACCCGCACTGCGCACTCCTCCAGGGCGCCCACTGCGAAGGCACTAGCCGAGGCGTTTCACTGATGGCATGACACATCCACAGGCTCGCGACATTCAGAAAACATCAGAACAGCACCCACCCATGGGAAAGGGTCTGCTCTGACCGACGCTCTCCGAGCAGCCCGGCTTCAAACCCACAATCAGGTTGCGAACAACCCACGTCCAAGCAAAAACTCAATCCAGCGCCTGAGATGCTGTACTTTCTGCATCCAACTCACTTCTTGCCACCCGGCAATCATCCAACTTATGGGGCTTGGGCTTGTCTTGGGGATCACAGATCACAGGCACTACATCGGATCTGTCTCTTGCGCGATTGCGCACTAAGGCACCCCGGCACTAGCACCAGCCTTCTGGTTCAGCACTAGGCAGAAGCCTTAGTGCAGACCATGCTGAGGGTTTAGGGCTTAGGGTTTAGGGTTTAAGGTTTAGGGTTTAGGGTCTAGGGTTTAGGGTTTAGGACCGGCGCGGCTGCACCAGAGTTGTCACTCAATGGAGCCAAGCGCTGCCGCCTTGTTGGGTTGGAACAGGAGTGCCCCCAATTGGAAATGGCCGAGTGGCAAAGAGAAAGCAGCATCGCTCAAGGTCTTCCCAGGGCGTTCCATGATGTGTCCTTCGGTGCTCCAGGCAATATCCCACTGAAGCCTCCACGACTCTATGACCCTTGCGCTCTGGCGTCCTGGGAGCTAGAAGCCAGGTGTTGCCCTGTCTGCCAGCACCCGTGAGATCAGCCATCCACTCATGGCGCAAAGCGCGTTAACTTGGAAAGTTTGCTGTTTGTGGAGTTGACTGCCTCCTTTGCCCTGCAGAAACAAACTCAACCCTACTGGTTGGGCCGCTCGTCTACGCCTTTGGCGGAGCACGAGACTGCCACGGCTGCGGACATGCTTGGGTGCATCTCACGTTGCGGGAAGAGCCGGCATGACTCTCCGTCTCCTGAACCTCTTGGTTTATGCACACCACTTTGGGTTGCCACTTACCACAAGTTGGGCGCAACAAGCTGATGGGCTCTGTAGGGGTACTGGGTCTCGCATCACCCTGGCAACCTGCAGTCGGCCCCGCATGACGCCCTTCAACCCTCAGCAGCCTCTCATCCCTAATTTTACCGACAAGGCGACTCCAGGATGGTGCTACAAACAAACCCTGAACCTTATGAACACCTTAAAGTCTCATCCCCCTTGTTTCTCCCCTTGAAAAACACCTACAGTTTCGGATCATCGGCCCGAAACCCCAAACCGAGGACCTCCGTAGCTGATGCCCGAGGTGGGAGCCGCGAAGGCCGCCACGGCCCGCTCAGCGTCACCTCGTCTTCCGCCTGCACATCCTTATGGGGCTTGGGCCCTATAGGCTTGGCGAGTTTTTGTTGTCTCTTTTGGGAAACTGCTGTTTCTGGGCTTTGGGGCTTCGACTTTACTTCGGGCCTGGGCTCTGGGGATGCAGACGCTTCAGGGTTCACAGCGTGTCTTTGCTGGCAGTAGGGCTCGTAGCTTCCTGTGGCTTCTGCGTGCCGATGCGTAAAGCTTCAGGCCGTAGGGCTCCTTTGGTTGCTTGCACGGCAGTCGATTCAGGCCCTCAGCGAAACTCATAACGCCCTAAGGCGTTGTGCCATTCCTTCCTCCGTTCCTGTAGAACCCCCTAGCCCGCCCTTCATGAAAGCTGGCCTGCCCAGGGACATCCTTGCCTTCCAGCTCAAACGGAGGAAGGCCTCATCAGGGGAGGCTCACCCGTTTGCATCACTGGAAAGGTCGAGGGCATCTGACGGCTCTACCGGGTAGGGGTATTGTTGCATGCTTAAGTTCATGCACTCTTCTTGCGCAACACTGCCGTGCTTTCGCAGTGGGCTGCCATACTGTCGCAATCTATGCACCTCGTGCATGCATGTGCGAGCGTATGCATAAAGAAACGTGCACTTTGCTGACTCATGAGGCGCCCTGTCATGACCGCCAGGCCCACGGCCAGGGGATGCTGACATGGGCGAGGCGGGAATGTGGTCCAGGCTTGCTTGAGAGCAAGGCCTGGGAAGGTCATGCATGGTGGTGCGTTCACAACTTTTAGGAACATGAAGGCTTGCAGCACGTGAGACATGGCAGACGATCGAGGTATCTTAAGTGCTGTTTCTGGCCAGCTGCATCACTTGAGGGCCTAAACTTGAGGGGTTTCGCACAGCGATTCGCCCCCCAATGGCTGCTCGCTCGATCGCTCCTTCTACCCGCAACGTCCATTCTCCGGCATGTGCTTGCCTGGAGTCCCTGATCATTCTCACTTGGAGATGCTCACCCGCGGACAAGGTTCCAGAGGGTTCAGGGTCGGCTCTGAGGAATCTTTGCTTCCAATCTGTGGCAGCAACTGCAGGACCACAGGATATAATCATAGATCATAATGAATAGCGCTTCCTCTGACCGCAAGGGCAGGCGAAGGCTCACCCGTCCAGTGGAAACCAACTGTTGCGATGAGGCCGTCCGTCACTGGATAGTGAGGCCACTAGCTCCGACCCCGCCCAGCAGCTGCCCTTAATTGCTTGAGTTTGGGGTGCAAGACATCAGACATGACGCAAGATGGCGCAAGCACATCACCCTAAACCCTAAAATCCTTAAACCCTGAACCCTTTTCACTGAACCCTAAGCCCTAAAACCAAAACCCCTAGACTCAGATGGCTTTCGCTCAGCAACTGGTTGTGCAGCTGAGCCCTCGTGCGACGCGGACACGGGCGAGGGAGGCCCAGATCCTGCGCGCGCCTGTCGAAACTGTATACGTTGCAGCTTGGGGAATGCAGCATGCATTTTCAATCTGAAGTCCGTGGAATGCTTGCCATTAATCTGAGGCTGCCTTCGGTGAGGATGAGGCGGCGGGAGACCTTCATCACCCGATCTAGCTCGCACTGCCGGCCCTCCCTCCCAACAAGAGCAGCATACAAGGCTAGGTCGAAGTTACTCGAAGCTCCTGAGAAGCTTCGGTCCAGGCGTTGTAGCCAAGCTCGCAGACTTGCTTCTTGCCTGCTTCTTGGCATGGCCTCAATTCAAGCCACGCGAAACAAATGGATCAAATGGTGAAGCTGAGCTTGACAGGATGTGTGCTCCAACTTCTGCATGTGGCACTCAGATGGTGTTCCACTATCTGCGGGGCTTCTCTCCATCTCACCATTCGGTGCTGGGATAGAAAGCATATCCTGATGAATCCGAATTTGTCCTTCTAAAACATGCTCTAGACTCAAGACCACTAGCACTTCGTGGCTAGATCTTGCGGCAGCCCCACAACACTTTGCATGGCGTCGCGGGAAGGCTGGGGGGAGTGCTGCGAAGCTTCCTTTGTAGGCGGTGGCTTCCACAAGGTCACAGCCAGCATCCCAACTGCAAAGACCGCCAGGAAAGCTCCAAGCTGAATGCAGCCCCAGCGAGGGAAGCCCAGCAGCATCGGCTCCCGGACACCAGGAGTGCTGTACCAGGGAGCCGACACCAAGGCCAAACCCAGCATGAGAGCAATCAAGGCTAAACTGGGTTCTCTCGAGGAAGCCATGATGTCACCGATCGCCTCGACATTCAACAGCTTGCCCTGACCGTCCGGTGGCAGCAGCGCATGGGCGAATCCCACCGTGAGAAAGTTCAGGAGAGCGGAGAGGCTGATGTCTGGCACATAATCTCCCAACGCATCCCCACAGAGCACAAGAATCAGCAGCGACAGGAGGCCCACTACGATCCCCAAAGTGATAGCTCGCTCTGACACTCGCGTGTAGAGCCCCATGCCAAAAGCAGGCAGCAGCTGCATCATCATCCCCCCGTTAAAGCTCTTGATGGCGCCCATTTGTGCAGTGCTCAAGTAATTGCCCAGAAGGAAGGAAACCGTGCACGCACAAAGCGACGTGAGCGTGCCGGCTCTGACGATGCTGCGGCTTGACAGAGAGGGGAGCAAGGTTCTCGCGAGAATGTCGTTGGAGATGACACTTGACACCCCCATGAGCGCAGAGTCTGCAGTCGACATGATAGCCGCAAGCGCACAGCAGGTCATCACAGACACAAAGACATACTGGAGGACCCCGACCAACTTGAGTTGGGCCATCACGCCAGAGAAAGCCGTCGTGGTTTGGTCGATGGGCGGCCAGGCTGGGTTGTTGGCAGCCTTCACAAGCCCCATCACAATGCCAGGCGGCTGTGCAATGAAAGGCGCAACCAACATGGCCCCAATCACGACACGCAAATCGGTGTCCGCCTTGGCCAGGTATGCTCGCTGGAGCATGTGAGGAGTGACTGGCGCTGCCAACCTCACTTTTTCTTTTTTCCCACACTCGAGGAATGATCGCTCTCCTCCTACCCTAGTAAACGGGTCAAGAAACCCAGTGGTGATCACAAGAGAAATAAATCTAAGTCTATTCTGTCTATTCTTGCCATTGCATTGATTGAGCGGCATGTTGAAAAGGAAGAAGAGGATGTCACAGAAATCAGACCTGCTTGGGAACGCGTAGAAGTCGGGACGCACAGCAGCAAGGCAGCCGGATGGTAGACAGTCACTCCCGACGCAGTAATCAGGCGCCGACCGGGGACTTGTTGTGTTGGTGGACACGTAGACAAGGTACGCGCAGTCTTTGGGTGCCATCTCTGGCAGGAAGCCATACTCAACCCCAAGGGCAAAAGGCGTGATCATGAAGGAGACCAGCATCACCAGGCACTGCGCGACATCCGTGAAGACAACGCTATTCATTCCACCCAGCATTTCCAGCGTGATGATGATGGCGCAGAAGATCAGCATGCTCGGTGTCTTGGGTATGGCTTGGAGCGTCATGCCCTCGACCATGGCCGCAAAGGAAACCATCTGCACCGAAATGTACAGCAGCATCGGAACGACACCGCAGGCTGCACAGAGCAGCCTCAGGCGATTGGTGCCAAAACGATCGGAGATGAAGTCGAAGGGGCTTGTGTAGCTCCGCTCCATGGATAGACGTCGGAGCCTGGGGTAGAGGAGCAGCTTTCCCGCCACGATGACTAAGGTAGCACCGATCCATCTCAAGGAGACGAAGCCCCTGTTGAAGGCTTCCTCTGGGATTCCCGTGACAGTGTACCCAGAGTAAATGGTGGAGAAGGTGGTGAGCAGCAAAGAGAACTTGCCAAAGGAGCCGCTGAAGTGCGCCTTCACCTGACCGACCACTGCGGCCTGCTTCTGCTTCCTTCTGTGCGCCAGCTTGGCGATCACCTGTCACTGGCTTGCTATGGGAGGACAATGCACCACTTCTTTATAGCGCGGCAAGTTTTGGCTGAGTTTTTAGGGGAAACAAGAAGAGCTTCCATGCATCTGCACTTCACAAGCAGGTCTGGCATGCACCCAGGCTGCGATCAGCAGGGCAAGGTACATGCCAACGACAACGTACAGCACCACATTTCCTTCTTGCGATTCCTCCGCTGCGTGTGCCATCGTATGTGGCGCGGTCGCAAGGAGATCGCTCACTTCTATAGTAAGCGCAAATCGGTGAGCCGAGAGTTGCACAGTCGCCTTTCAGTTGCTGAGACGCAGCTTTGCCCCATTGTTCCGCCCGCTATCCCTGCAGCAGTTCAGCACTTGCCCTAGTACACCGAGCACGGGCTCCGCTTTGGCCAAATGCCATGATACCATGTACCGTGCCAATACCTACAAATCGTAAAATGTCGTGTCCCAAACTCAGCGCAGAACAGCATCGGGTCGGGTCGTTACGGGCCTAGTTCATTGAACTAAGTTGTTGGCAAGGGCGGGGCTTACTTACTTCGAGCCTGAGAGTTCAGCCCTGAATCCCACACGCAACACCCTCAAAAAGCTGCAGGACTTCGTCGAACCTTAAGCCCAAAAAAGGCAAAAGGCATTAAAAGAGCGGACCTTACTCATAGGAAGAGGCCTGTTCGGCATTGGTGTGGGAAGAGCCGACTGCATGAACCCACTTCCCTCCTTCACAACACGGCCCGGGTTTAGGGTTTTTTTTTTGAAATGCAATGACTCCCTTTAGGGTTTAGGGTTTAGGGTTTAGGGTTTAGGGCTTCCTTGACAACACTGAAGGTCAGGTCATCTGCTTACTTTCCGCTGATAGGTGGCTTAAGCCACTATAGTCACTAATTCCAGTCTCGGGTGACCTCGAGTGACCTGGGTGTGACTGTGTGGAGATTTATCCGGCAAAATTTCTGAAAGTGGCAGGGCTTGCTAGCATACTTGTGGCCGTGAGGTGGGGTGCACCCGAAGGGTTCAGGGTTTAGGGGAAGCCCCAGAACCCTAGGGTTTTTTACTCAGAGCCGCAGCTGGCTCCCGATGCTCTGCCACCAGACTTCCTTGAGCTCCTCCGGGTCGTAGGCGCTGCCGTTGCTGTGGAAGACGTCGTGAAACCACGGTCCTTCCTTGCCGATCTCCTCGGCCATGGGAACCGTCCACCATCGGCTGACATGAAAAGGGGATGGAACGGGAAGGAAGGAAGAAAAAAGGGGTTGGCAAGGAGAAGGGGGAGGGTGGAGGGGGAAGGGGCCACGTGGTTTGACCCAGATCCCTCCACTCTGCGGCCCAGTCGCAGTGTCCAGCCAGGTATTCCAAGGCACATGGGTGTTGGATCGGCCCTGGAAGAGCCCCCAGGTGTATCCCCAGGCGCCCTGCGCATGGCGATGTTTGAGGAAATGTCCGTGGCACTGAAGGGATGATTCGAGGCCATGATGGTGTGCTGATGTCTTGAAAACAAGTTGGCAGCTGCCACTAGTCCCACAGGTGCCAGTGCAGATGGCACACGCCCAATTCCAAATCCGAAGACTTCTTCAAGCAGAAGACCCAAACATTTTGGCATCTTACTAGGAGCTTCAACAGATACATGTAGGAGGAATGCGGGATGCCAGATGCAAGACTGGTGGCACATCGAACCCATCGACCCGTTAGCAACAACGGCACAACGAGAGAGTAGTCCAGGTTGAGGATCACAATGGTCTGCCCTATAGTCTCCTCATGACTTCTGTACCCCACGCAGGACTTGTTGTTTCTCATTCTTATTCTTGCCATTGTTAAGCATTGTGCTGTATCCTCTTGCTTATGTGTTATTGTTGTGATTGGATCTACTTTCGGGTCGCCTGGAAAGTTAAGCGCGGGCCTAGTTGTTACAATGATTGGCTCACAATGATGTCCACCCTGGCCCCACGTTTCCCGGCAATGGGGTCAAGGCAACGGCTTCGACTCTCCCACTCGCACAAGGCAAGGCTCGGGGGGCTTTGTAGGGTTTTAGGGCTCCAGGCATGATGCAGCAGCGCAGGCCGACGACTTCATCCCGAAATCCGCATAAAACCTTGACGTCAATAACAAGTATGATATGCTTCTATGAATCGCACATTCACTACTGGCAAAGTATTTATTCATAGTCAGGGGCCTGGCGGCGCAGCACTGGGAGGCTGTTGGTCAGGGTGGAGTTCTGCGGCCGCGCCATGAATTCCTTGCACACAGTAGCGCCGATACTCAACGACGAATATCATGTACGAGTCTGCCGGCGCACGTGATGCTGAGCCACCCTAACCCTAAACCACCCTAACCCCAAACCCTAAACCCTAAACCCTACACCCCTAAACCTTAAAGAGCTGCAATGCTCAGACAAGCTCTGGCCAAGAATCTGTTACCAGGACGGGCCCTCTTCCTTTCGCCGCCAGCTCGCTGACATGCCGCTCCAGTTCATCCGGAGAGCAGTAGCCTCACTTGCCCCGACTCCGAACTTTGCATCAGCTTGGTTTAGGGTTTAGGGTTTAGGGTTTAGGGTTTAGGGTTTAGGGTTTAGGGTTTAGGGTTTAGGGTTTAGGGTTTAGGGTTTAGGGTTTAGGGAAACTGCCCAAAAAAAAACAAGGAGCACCTGGGCAGCCCGAGGTGCAGTGGATTGAGACGATGTCGCTGAGCTCCGCAAACTCACTGTTTAGCACAGCCTTGCGCCAAAGCACACGAGCCCAAGACCATCAACTGATCCATGCGGGGGTTTCCCAGTTCAGGGGGCACTGATTATAATCCTACTATATTTGGGGGTGTATATTCGGGGGTCCCTTATCTTCGTAAACCCCCATTTGCAATAGCCGGTAGGCTACTAAGGGGGCCCCGGCCTTGAACTCCTTCACCTTCTCGTCCTCCTCACTGTGGGGGAAGTCCCAAACAGCCGTGGTCAGCGGCTGCACCGGATCCACCCCCCGTGCCCACTCAAAGGCCTGGCACAAAAATGGCAGCTCAAAAGGCTTTGGTAGTTACTGTAGTTAGAAACCATGCAAGACCCGAAGCTGTCCAAACTATCCCAAACTTCCCTACCTGTCTCAGCAAAGGCATGATTGTGTTGAGCTTGGGCCCATCCAGCAGCCAATGTTCCGGGTGCTTTCCCGGAGTCCAGCCGTTCATGGCGGCCAGTCTGGGCAGAATGAGGTGCTCGCTCTGTCGCATGGTAGGTTCATTGTAAATATCCCAGATTGCCACGCGAGGATCGGTCGCGAAATGCCCAACCACAGAAGTTACATAGCGGTGCAAGCGGTTCGTTGCCCAGGCTTCTCCTTTGCCGAAGGCCCTCAGCACCGTGTGAGTCGGGCACTGCACCCAAGCACTGTTGTGAACGCCGGGCAAGTACAGGTCTTCGTCAGGCCCTCCTGAATCCGGTCGCCAGCAAGCATCGAAGAGGACGAGCATCGTTGACATTCCTGTCACTTCATTTTGGAGCGTTGCAGGCTTCCAAACTGGGCGCCTCATTCACAGCACCCGCAGTCCTTGCCGACGGAAAACATCCAGCAGCCGTGACACGCTTTGAAGGAAGTCTGGCCCGTCTCTGAAGAAGAGCTCTTCGTGCAGGAAGACACGCACCGCCGAGAACCCCGCCGCCCCTTGCACCAGCTTGTGAGGTGTACACTGCACGCACATGAAACTTAGAATACCAACCTCATTCCAAGCGTCTGGCGATGCGGAGCTCACGTTCAGCCGCAAGGAGCCTCCCAGACACCCCTCTATGACACTGTCTGGAGTAGTAGTGGCAGACTATTGCAGCTGACTGCTCTGTGCTTCCGGACCTGCTGCTAAACGCTGCAGTACCGCCACGTTGCTGTGATCGGGGGAACCCAGAAACTGAATCCGATCCCCCTCGACAACATCTGCACACAATGGCGGCCAACTTGGCCCCTGGCGTCGTATCAAACCATCGCGTATCAAAAAGGTCGAAGACATTGGCACAGTGCGCTGGGAGATAGTTTGCCTTGGCAAGGCTGTTCTATGTTTGTTGTACACGCGCGTGCGCCTAGAAGCACCTCGGCCTGTTCCCCTAAACCAGAAACCCTAAACCCATCTGTTTAATTCATACCTCCACATGTACAGAGTTGTTTTGTCAAAAACCCCGCGGCAGACTACTTTGCATTACAGCGGCTTTTGTATGGGCAAATTCAACCGCATTTAAAGAAAATTTTCGGGGGGGGGGGGTCAAAAATCTGTCTGCAGGCTTCTGTCGTCTTTCAAGAGGCCGAAGCTTGATCTAGAAGCTGAGGCCCTTCAGAAAGCTAGGATTTCTTATGTGATGCCTTACTGGAGGAGAGAGAAGTTTTCATTCTTTCCTGAGCTACCCGATATGGGCTCTGCCCGGCAAAGACAGCACCACATACCACAATTGTGGCAGACCCTGGGGGGCCTTTCTCCGAACCAATTCTTCGCCATTCAGGTCCAATAGAGATTCAATACATTCCTAGTGTTTTCAATACGCTCCTAGTGGTGTTTAATGGAGACTCAATACATTGCCATGGTCTTTTTGTTGCGGCGCCCTGCCTTTCTTATTGCGGTGGGGGGGGGGGGCTCAACAGGGCCCAACAGATGCTCGGATTAAGCCTAAACCCTAAACCCTAAACCCTAAACCCCAAACCCTAAACCCCAAACCCCAAACCCCAAACCCTAAACCGTGCGGCAAAACGTTTTGACGTATTGACACCGGGGCACCCCCAGGCGCCAGCTCTCTCCACGTCCCCAGGCACGGGCACGCTCCGCGCTCCATCGTCCCGTCGCGAGATGGAGCAGATAGGGCAGCCTGGGTTTCTTAAAAAGGGTTTAGGGTTTAGGGTTTCGGGTTTAGGGTTTAGGGTTTAGGGCAACATTCATGAACTTGTCAGACTGCAAGGGGGGCGAGAAGGTGCAGGGTCGTCTTTTGAGGTCTGTCTACAGAGGTCCAGGACTTTCATGCTCATGCCCTCATATCAGGCCGATATGCAAAAACCTTCAAGATGAGGGGAAAACTAAAAATGCCTATGGGAATCTCTGGAACCCATAGCCGGGGCCGAAGTGAGTTTAAGGTTCGTAAACAGCAATCCGGCAGCAGCCAGCGCATCGGCGGAATCAGGCTGCGCAGGCTCAACGTTGGCGATTTGTACAGAGAAACGCTAGGGTTTAGGGTTTTTTTCGGGTTTCGGGTTTCGAGTTTAGGGTAAAAAGAGCCTGCTGAAGCACCATGACCTTCATGACCCCAGTCCGGAGCCAAATGCTGCGTTAAAGCAGGCTGACCCGGCTTGGCTTAGCTCCCAAGTTTTCAGCACGGCGCGAGAGGGAGAGTGAAGAGTGGTTTTGACGTGAGCTCCCCACGACGTGGCCGCTTCCGCCTGGCTGGCAAAATGAAGCGGAGCGACGGCAACATAACAGACTGGCTAACTGGCTAACTGGCTAACAGTTTGTTTCTGGCATGCAGACAAGCCTGCCCTTGCCATTCTTCACCGTCTTCTCCCGTGAACCTTTGCGGCTCCAGTCAACATATCTTTCCCGACTCAGACACTGCAGGAAGCAACAGGCCCCTGTGGATCTGCAGATGCTTCCCCCCGTTGCCTTTCCGACTCGTTATGACAGGTGTGCCCACCAGAAAGCACCAGGCGAACTTACATCCCATTCATGGGTAGTGAGAAATGGTCAAGAAAAGTGCTACCCAAACTTGCCCTCCCTACCCCCCCCCTTAAAACTCTATTGCAGGCTACTGCTTTGTGACCAAGAGGCTGCTCCCACGCCGCTTGCGTCGCTCCTTTGTGCGTCCTGAGCTGCGCTCATCTCTGAAATCTCTCGAAGGAGGAAATTTCAGGCGACGACATATTCGAAGCAAGTCAAACGGAATGACTTACGGGTTCTTGCTTCAACACAAGGTGGTATGGGACGACAGGCTCAACGGTGTCACCAAAAAGCACGTCTTAGGGTTGAGCTAGGGCTTAAGGATGTTTGGGGCTTATCTTGGTGATCACTCTCGGACGCAATGAGAGTCTAGGGTCTGCTACTCGCCCCCCCTTCTCGGGTGTTAAGGATTCCTGTCTGCATAGAGGTCAAGGAAGGATGGTTTCCCCGCCCAAGGGGCATGACTATCAAGCTGGCCTTAACTTGAGCTAAACGCGAACCTCTCCGTTTCTGCGCGGCCTGAAGCAGCAGAGCAAGATCGAATAGGAAATGGAGGCCCTTTCTCGGGCAGCCACCCTTTCTGCTTCGGCTGCGCTTTTCGCGACTGCCCGATCCCATGCCATGGATATCTAGACCCTAACCCTCGACCCACAAACATCATCAAGACCCTCAAACATCTGGCAATGCGAGTTAGGACGGCAGAGTCTGCACAAGCCTTGTTCGTATCTTTTGAGCTTCTCCAAACACACCCATGCCCAGAGTGGACACCATAGAACATGCTGCAAAGGGAATGCCCAAGAGATTTGCCAGGTACCCGTATTCCATGCGCATCTCATAGAGTCTCATGACGTCTTAGCAGCTTGAAAGTCCATGGAGTGTCGGGACATCAACAGCTGACACGGATGCCGGCAATGTCTGCCACAGCTGTGCACGATAGAGGTGCTCCACCGCCTTTTGGCAAAAAATCACAAATTGCAGCTCAAAGCATTGCATGCATTTTCTTGGCGCATCTTGAAGCGATCTGGCACCGGCCTGTCACAGGTGCATGGTGCATCATGGGTCACGCCCGCACTTCATTTCGCGCGCTGTAGCAACCAGCGCAACCGTTGCTACATCTTGCGACCTGTGACAGGGAGGGCCTGGCGATTCCTCAGCCCTCCAGACCAGAGGAACCACCCTACTCACTCTACTCTACTGCCAGGGTGGGGATCACAGTTCGCGGTGCTTGCAGGAAGCTTGTCGAGTGCGATTCCCACCTAGCTACTAGCAAACAGTTTCGGGGGCATCGCGGCACCCGCGCTGCAGCATCAGCATTACAACTGGACTGTTGGGACTCAGGCCCTTCGGGACCACATGAACCCTAAAAGGGTTTATGTCCCATATACCATAGTCCGAAGTATAGTCGTATGTATGATCCCAAATTTGGGTTCATGTGATCTTCGGGAAGGAGGTGCAGAGAGGCAACGCAGTGTGAGCCGCAACTTCCCAGTTTGGTGAGACAGTCCCAGACCCTGAAAGTTCCATCAGCAGCCATTCGCCTGCAAAGCCAGAGCGGTAGACCCCTTGTCCACTAGCGAGGTCTGCTCCTTTTAGGCTCTGACAACAACTTCGTGGTCTACTCTCCAAACTGACCCGACACAAGGGGAGCTACTCAGCTACCCTTTTGCAAGGACCTTGTGTGTTCCCGGCTTGATTCCCTAAACCCTAAACCCTAAACCCTAAACCCTTTTGCATCTGGACTCCTCTAAACCCTAAACCCCAAACCCTAAACCCTAGTCCACAGGGCTCTGATTTCCGCCTCAAACGAGCTTTGGCTCCTCCAACGAGCCCCAGCGACCTGATGCGGCTCGGGGCTGCGTCTGGTTTTCCCTGTTTTCCCCGGGTTTTTGGTTTAGGGTTTCGACTCTCACACTCGCACAAGGCCGGCAAGGCTTCGGTTGGGATCCTCTCTGGTGATACAGCCCACAAGTTTCTGCAAACTTCATGACTTCAAGACTCGCCCTCAAGACAACTCAAATGGTGTGACTACTCAGGTTTAGGGTTTAGGGTTTAGGGTTTAGGGTTTAGGGTTTAGGGTTTAGGGTTTAGGGTTTAGGGTTTAGGGTTCAGGGTTCAGGGCTTAGGGTTCAGGCTTTTTCTTTGAACTGTCCCTCCACATTGCAGGGATTCCTGGGGATCAGGGTTCGGGCGCGAGTATAACATATTTAGGTACGTGGACCCTAGGGAAGCTTAGGGTTCAGGGCTTAGGGGAAAAGACCTACCTTTCACCTACTTGGGGCTCTTCACCTAACCCAGGATGGCCCGTAAAACCCTCCGAAGATAAAATGCAAATGTGATCTTCTTAAACCTAGTAAGGGAAATGCCCAAAATGTCCCAAGGGCCTGCCTAGCAACATTTACTTTAGCCACTCCGACACATTCTGCTTCAAGCTCGACCCGCTTGCTGCTGGCTCCCCCCAGGAAACTGCCAGTCAAACTGGGGGGCCGTGTCGCAAGCCGAGGGGACACAACGACACCTTCTTCCACTTCCACTTTCTGCGGTTTCGATGTAAGGGGTAAGGGAAGCCCGCAGCACGCCATCTGGAAATTCACATGCCGGCATGACGCACACGACCTCGTGTTGCTTCCAGATCTGCCTTGATGTGAGAGAAGACACACATCTGCAGCAGCCGACAAGTTGCAGACACCTGCCTTGTGCTCCTGGTGCTCCATTTCGGCCCTGACGGCCTCTGCCTTGCGAGAAGGACATTCTGCATGGCCTCTCCAAAACATCCCCCTGCCCTTGTGGCTGAATTCCAGGGCCTCCAGAGGAGCGATGCCCAGCTCCAACGCCAGCTCGACGAACTCCTGCAAAAGAAGGTGCGGGGCCCTTTAGGGCCGAACCATATTTTGGGTAGTAATACCACCAGCCACCCCATGAGCGGCTTACTTATACAGCGCGGATTTCTCATATTTGGGATGATGATACCACCTTTTGGATTCAGGATGTTCATGGGCTATTCCGATGCTGGAAGCGCTAACGGGCAGGTAGTAATGACGCAATGGGGGAGCGTAGGGGGGAGTGTAGGAAGCAGCAGGTCATGGGTGGGTTAATGGTAGACTGGTCGTATTCTCCCCCCAAACGGGCAAAGGTTCCGCTAGCTGTTCAGGGTTCAAGTGCTGTGACACGCCGCCTCGAAGTCGATCTTGCCGCTTGAGTCCGTGTCGAAGCCTTTGGTGTATCATCGCTCACACGACATGTTCGACACTCACTATTGACTCGTTGGTCTTGGCATGCATGTATTTCGACAGACCCTCTAACTCCCTCTCACCAGGAAGAGGAATACAAGGCAACTACCTAGTTCCACTCAGCAAGGGGCCCGATCGAAGACTGTACAGAATTAATCCAGCTTCGAAGAAGGTACGAACGGCACCGAGATTGCTTAGGAACCTCGAGGCTTGGGCCTTCGCAGCTGCTTGTGGCAGCCGCTGAGCACCCAAATCCATGCCAGAACTCCAAGCATCAAGCCGATTCTAGCAAGCAGCGCTCCACCGAGCAAAACCGACACTAAGGGTCGCGGACGGAAGACGCAGCAGGGCCCGTCAACCGCCCCCCCCTACTACGCCGGGTCCTCCCGAGCACTACCTAGTTCTGAGCTCCTCTTGAACCCGGAACTGAGTGCCACGCCAGAATCCCTACATCCTACATGCGAGTCTAAACCTTCAAAGATTCAGTGGTTCGGGGGCTTAGGCTGCCACAGTCCCTCCTAGCATACCCGACTATACTAAGGGACTCGTTAACCTAGAATCCACCCCAACCTCTGGGCACAAGGCGGTTGAACATGTCTTTCATGGCCTTCTCATCGACCTTGTAGTTTCGCCTGTACCTGAGAGACGCACATAGCTTCCGAATTTGTTTTCGCAGAGGGGGGGGGATCCCTTTAAGGAGGTTCTAGGATACTTGAGGGGGCAGAGGAACCCTCACATTGTTGTTTGCCCCTGGTCCTCCTCCCCCTTCCTTGCAACACAGCAGCTTCCGAGACACCTTCACCACGGGCTCTTCCTGAGCAACCGGGGGAACACGATACGTAAGCAGGGCACTCCTACTGAGCTCCTTGCTGGGTCCACTTCATATACATAAGTATATATATATAATACACACATATATGAGGTTGAATGTTCATTCTCACGACATATGCTTCTCCTGTTTACAAAATGTTTCTGCACAAAGCCTCGCTCAGAGCTGAGCTAGCCACCTTGGCCGCTTCGGGCTTGGCCGCGAGCTCGGTCCTTGTGAGTTGCAGACTTCGAGAGGAGCCCCCTCCTCCCTTGAATTTGAACTTCCCGAAAGATGTTAACTACGGATTGCTACCACCAAGAATGACAACACTGAAAAATGACGGAAGACCCTTTTGGCTTTGCACTCCGACCCATCGAACACTTTCAGGCTCTTGAATCCAAGGCCGGCACCCATCGGCTGATTGCAGACGCCTGGACTTGATGCCAAGAGGGAGGATGCCTTCATAAAAGTCGGGTGATTGTCAAAAGTATGATCCCTTTTGGGGTACCCTATATAAATAGGTGCCGTATTATAATAGGGATCAAAAGAGGGACCATAATTTTGACAACCGAGAATGTGCTGAGCGGAGCCTGGCGAGGTCTTCCGCCACCTGGGCTTCACGGGCTTCTCTTACTTCCGGCTGCAGGACGAAGCATCACATGGAACCTCCCAGCCTTCCGGCATGAACTGCGTAACTACGTCACCCTCACATATTGCGCGCCATGCTTGTTTGTCAGAAACAGAAGTAAGTAGGACCCACCGTGATCAGAGACCTGTGGCTGCGGACGTATCGTCGGGAGAATGACAGCAGTTCTCTGAGATCGATCCGAAATACAAAAAAAACGCCACCTCCCCCCGACCTTCTGAAGATGCTCCGAACACAAGCCCGCAATATCCTGCGGTTCTGTCCGGCAGCTGTGCGCCCGGCAGAGTCTACAAACTTCTCCGTGGTCAACCCTTTGGGACCAACCATGTCCCTGGTTCCTGGTGGGGCTTGAAGGTATTCCACGCAGGCTCTTGCTGAAGAAGACACTCAAGGAGCCTTTGCCTCAGCACTTCACTGCTTGGGCTCATGTTGCTTGAAGGTGCTGGAAGACCCAGGACGTGGGTTCAAGTCGCTCCTCGCCCATCACGGAAGGCAGCGTAGACGGCCTTCAAGCCGAGTGCTCATTCGGTCATGCTCCTCACGCCTACACTTCTTCTACGGGGGCCCTCCCTCCAAGAGGCAGCGAGAGGGGCGCATGGGTCTACTGCTAAAGTGCTTGTTGGGCTGAGGCACCGGCTGCCCGGGCACATCCTGTAAATTTACTCGTTTGCTCGAGGATCTTTGGGTCGTTTGCCTGATTGCCAGCATCCACGTAAGAGCTCATGCGCAATGGTGAAGCCTAAAGCGCCGAGGTCTTCGCCAGGGCTGCTGCATGGTCCATCGCCCCGAACAAGGCAACCACCTGCTCAAGAAGATGGATGACATGGGGATGACCTAGGGTCACCCTCTTGGCCAAAGCCCCCACAGTGTAGTGGGCGCACCATTCCCAGCGGATTCATGGATGTCTCTTCACCACCTGATGCAGGAAGTCTCCCGCGCTAAGTAAGCCTTTCAAGGCCAGACATACTCATGCTCGAATCTCCTCAATCTGGGTGAGAAAAACCATATTATTAGAAGGGTCAAAAGCAAAAGCCCCCTCCACTTGTTGAAACTGTGAGAAGCATCTCTTGGGATGTTCCCCCCTTATACTAACAGTCCTTAATAGGGATGCTTCTCTCTCCAGGGCCCGGGGCGCAAGTGGGCGTGCCAGAGGTCGGCCACGGTGCCATGAGAGGCCTCCGCTTCCGAGGGCGGGGGAGATGCCGGGATTCAGTTGTGGTTGTTTAGGGTTGAGGGCTTCGGGATTTTTTGCCCTTGGCACACTTCTCGAGGTTTAGGGTTTAGGGTTTAGGGTTTAGGGTTTCGGGTTTCGGGTTTAGGGGTGTCAGTTGTCAAACAAAAGTCGGCACTTGGTGGCCTCGAACTCCTTGATCAAAGCACCATCCTCGCATGTCGGGCGAAGGAATCTTTGCGCCGACTGCAGCGAAAGGACGACTCTCCCTAAACCCTTAACCCTTAACCCTAAACCCTAAACCCTAAACCCTAAACTGGCCTTAAACCCTAAACCCTACCCTTGTGCCCGGAAGGGGGCACCTCTCGCTTCCCGATGAGGTTCGACGTGATAAAGCCCGGGCTTCGATGCACCTGTGCCACCTCCGTGACATGCTTAGGGTTTCGGGTTTGGGGTTTAGGGTTTTTTTTTCCCACCCGTTTCGCAAGCGTATACGGGGAAGAGGCCAGGCCTAGTTACCGCCAAAATTCAGGTTGAAAAGTTTGCTAGTCCGTTGCTGGAGCCCCAAGATGGCCTTCGGAGTTTACCGTACCCACTAACAGCCGAAGCCACACCAACAAAACCTGAAAGCACGTACAACCCCAGGACAACAAGGAACCAACCCCGAAGCCTCCATCCCCGGACTCCCAAAGTTCGAAGGTCAGAACCCTGGGTTTAGGGTTTAGGGTTTAGGGTTTAGGGTTTGGGGTTTAGGGTTTAGGGTTTAGGGCTTCTTCTCCAGAAGGCGAGGGTAGAAGTGGGATTTAGGGTGTAGGGTTTTGGGTTTCGGGTTAAGGGAAATCAGGGTCCCTCTTAGAAGTGGGGGGTTCTTCTGACATCGGGGTCTCTGATAGGGTGGCCAGTTCGTGTCAAGTACGGGAGGGTCTTACACGAACAGAAGGGGGCAGGGGGAAAAAGAAACCTTCGAGATTCGCAGATGGATCTTAAGGCATGTGCCCATCAACTTGATGCCTCATCCGTAAGCATGTCGCCATCGTAGTTGTGGCCTCATGCTTGCTCCAGCCCCTTCTTGTCGCACAACTTACAGCTGCTCTCATGAACGCAATCGTGCGGCCGAGGTGGCCGATCTGAAGCTAGCTAGGGCTCTGGCAAGCCATGCCAAAACCACCATCAGTCCACCGAATGATCTGCATGGTGGCAGCCTCAGCTAAAACCACAACCATGCCCCAAAGGGTCCGAAGGCTCATGGTGACTCATGCCAGTGCTGCCACAGGCCTCTCAACCAAACTTCAAAATCTCTGAAGTCCTCGGGAGCTCACGTCGCTGATCAAGTGCTGCCTTACTGCCAGCAAGCACAGATCATGGTACGAGGATGGTACTACTAGACGTGATTCTGCCCCGCCTGCCGAGAAAGACACACTGCTGGGCAGACACACAACACTTTTTAGTGTGTTTAAAACCCGAAACCCCAACCCAAAACCCTAAACCCGAAACCCCAAAGGTATGGTGCGACCTCTGCCTTTACGATAGGACAAGGCAACCTTCCCTCACTCCTGAGTTGAGAGTCACATGACATGATAAGATAATGATGCGACAAGATAATGATGTACTGATAGAATCTATGCGAATATCAGAATGGTAGCCATATAGTTTACACTAATCTAGCACTTGAACCGTTCCAAGGGCGACCTCGAAACCGTGCACTCTCCACTTGCAGTTCTCAATGAGCCCTGAACCCTGAAGGTTTAAGCCTGAGCCCTTCACCAAGAAACTGAACCTGAGCCCTTGAACCAAACCATTTGTTCAACCCGGATCTCCGTTCAAGCCCTAAACCCTAAACCCTAAACCCTAAACCCCCAAACACCTCACTATGAGTTCCAGTAAGTGCTGGGGACTCCGGCAGCTCTCCTCCCGTCTTCTCCTTAGGGTTTAGGGTTTAGGGTTTCGGGTTTAGGGTTTAGGGTTTAGGGTTTAGGGTTTAGGGTTTAGGCTAGGGTTTAGGGTTCTGGAAGTCCGCCCCCCGGGGAGAGCTTCGGGTTGAGCTTCTTGCTTCTGCCACGCTCTGCTGATGCCTGAAACCCTGAGCCCTCTAATCACGCACACGCCGAGAATGCCAAGTTGTATTCGAGGGCAAGTGCCCTGATGCTGCACAAAAGTCATGGCAAGTCTTCGCATCGTGTGTTACCACCCGCCCCAGTCTTCATTAGAGTATCATTAGAGCCTCCTCCCCAGCCATTGCCTGTGATGCTGCTGACTGGGAATCCGCGCCAAGAGACCAGCAGACGAAAAGGCCGCCTGGGCATGATGCTCTTGTGGTTTGTTGCAGCCAGGGCAACCCAGGTTAAGGACTTAGGGCTTAGAGTTCTATACTGACTTCTCACACAACCCAGCGAACCGCCCAGCTTCATAGAAGGGCTCAAGGTGGAGGGAACCCACCACTTCAAGCCGCGGCGTCGCGCCAGCCTTGTACTCGGCGTTGAATACATCCCGCATGATCTGCCAGAAGCCCTCCTGCCACTTGAAGACCTCCAAGCAGACTTGATAAGAGTTGCCAGCAGCACCCGAGCTGGCTCCATGGCTTGCGGCTACCGAGCATCCCTTGACTGGGGACTGAGAGGCCGCGCGGTCTTCTTGGTGACCACGTAGGGCACCACCTCAGCGCAGGCGCCCCAACTCGCACTTCAAGAGCATCTTCAAGTCAGAGTTCTAAGTCGGAACAGCCGAAGAGCCCCAAGAAATGCCTCCCCCCCCCCCCCCCCAATTCCCCCCAATTCCCCCCAACTCCCCCAATTCCCCCAATTCCCCCCCCCCCCCAATTTGCTGTATAGAACCCATTTAGAGTGGCCCAGGCCATGTGCAAGGCCCGAGGGCCCTGCATTTGCCTCCAAGCATCGCTGGAAGAAGATGTGCGCGAGGTCCTGGAAAGCCAACAAGAACCAGGAGTCATTGCAACCATAAGGGCTTAGGGTTTAGGGTTTAGGGTTGAGGGTTGAGGGTTTCGGGTTTAGGGTTTAGGGTTTTGGGTTTAGGGTGTGCAACCGCAAGGGGACCTCCGACAATAGGGGGGTTGCCCCCTTGTATACCCCGATATAAACCGATTTAAAGGAACCTCCCAAAAAGGTTGCCCCTATTTTTGGAAAACCCCATAAGGAGAAACAAGAAAAGAACCGTAATGACCATGATTCGCCTCCCCCTTTTCCCCTGCAACAACCTGACACACCCAGTCCGAAGACACGACCCCCCCCCCCCCCGTGAAAGCTGTGATTGCGAACGGCTGTCCGCGGCCGCAAGTGGAGTCTGCCCAAAAAAACCCGAAAAGCCGAAAAGCCGAAAAGTCGAAAAGTTGATCGGGGCACACGCTTGGCGCGAAAAGGCGAAAAGGCGAAAAGTGCCGAAAAACCCGAAAAGTCACCAAAAAACGAAAAGTCGAAAAGTCGAAAAGTCGAAAATGCGAGAAAGGTACCGAAAAGTCCGAAAAGTCACCAAAAAAACGAAAAGTCGAAAAGTCGAAAAGTCGAAAAGCTGAAAAGTTATGGAATAATCCCGAAAAGTTGGAAAAGTCGAAAGCATGAATATTTTCGAACAATCCTGAACGTTCCGAGCAGTTTGAAAGTCCCCAAATGTCCAAAAGCCGAAATGTCTACAGGCGGAAAAGTGGGCAAAGCAGAGAAAACGTGAGAAGTTTCGAGAAGTGTCTACAAGTTGTACCCTAAACTTTAAACCCTAAACCCTAAACCCTTGACTCTTAAACCCTAAACCCTAAAGTTGTAAGGTCAAGTGCCGCAATCCAGGTTTTTTTTTTTTATGCGTTCGGCGGGGGGATGGGGGGGGGTTGGCTTGGGCGGCACGGACTGGATGGACACGCAGTTGTCCTGGAAGCTGTAGACCTCACGGATTGGGGGGACAGGGACGACTAAACCCCAAACCCCAAACTGTAAAAATATGTATAAGGCTGGTTCAGGGCAGACCCTACACAACCCCAAACGCGAAACTGTAAAAATATGTATAAGGCTGGTTCAGGGCAGACCCTACACAACCCCAAACGCGAAACTGTAAAAAAATGTATAAGGCTGGTTCAGGGCAGACCTTACACCTGTCAAGAAAACCCTAAACCCTACACCCTGCACCCTAAACCCTAAACCCTAAACCCTAAACCCTAAACCCTAAACCCTAAACCCTAAACCCTAAACCCTAAACCCTAAACCCTAAACCCTAGCCCAAGCTACGTGTTGATGTTCAATAGCGGCTAGCAGTGCACGATGACATCAATGTTGGGCTTGTCAATGCCTCGACCATTCGGGGTTTAGGGTTTGGGGTTTGGGGTTTGGGGTTCCCGGCGAGACCCGAAAAGTCGAAAAGTCGAAAAGCCACGAAAAGTCGAAAAGTAGCGAAAAGTCCCGGCGAGGCCCGAAAAGTCGAAAAGTCGAAAAGCCACGAAAAGTCGAAAAGTAGCGAAAAGTCCCGGCGAGGCCCGAAAAGTCGAAAAGTCGAAAAGTCGAAAAGCCATGAAAAGTCGAAAAGTACAGAGAAGTCCCGGTGAGACCCGAAAAGTCGAAAAGTCGAAAAGTCGAAAAGTCGACAGCTTTTCGACTTTTCGACTTTTCGACTTTTTGGGTTTTTTTACCTCGTCTCCGCTTATCTGAAAGCGCGCCAGCTTGCGATCTTAGCGTGAAAGGCCCCTAAGCTCTGCGATGTGCAGGCAGGGCGGAGAAGAATCCCAATAAGCATAACCATAACAACACAACGAGTGGTAGCAATGCGAAATAGTAGTAGTACTAACAACTGTGACAATACGAGTCATCATCATGCTCAAAATCATGAAGCTTGGTAAACATCATTAACACTACTTGCTGTACTTTGCTGATCTGTGACAGGCCCCTTCACGTTCCCCCCGTCCTCTACGTTGTCCAGAGGGTTGTCATAGACCACACACACCTCGGATCTCACACATGGGCAAAAGTGTGCCTGCACGGGGGGCTGCCGAAAAGAACTTGCCTGCTGTCTACCCTAAACCCTAGACCCTAAACCCTGAACCCTAAACCCTAAGGGCACTGCGCTCCGATCATCCTTGAGCTCCCTCCCGTCCACGATGATCGGCTTCCCCTGGTACTTCGTTGGGATGTTCCCCCTTACACTAACAGTCCTTCACAGGGTTTTTTTGCCACCCGACTAGCCACGGCAATGCGGGGTACAAGGTCGGAACTCAAAAGGAGAATTCATAGGGTTTAGGGTTTAGGGTTTAGGGCTTAGGGTTTAGGGTTTAGGGTTTAGGGTTTAGGGTTTAGGGTTTAGGGTTTTTTTTGCCACCCGCCTAGCAGACCCCCTCTGGGATCACTCCGCAGGGAACAATCGTGATCTCTCGTATGTGCCCTCAGCAAAAAGGGCCCCGAGGCATCCCCATCACCATCTCCCCACAACAGCAAAGACTAGGTTCACAGCATTCACATCAAGGTGGGGGTGCATCCAGGCCGGGTTCTTCAGGTCACAGATTACCACCCCATTAGCATGGTACGCAACCTGGAACCCCTTGACTTGAAACACTGGTTCTGTCATGCCCACATCATGGCGCCCGAACCCTCTGAAACCTCACAACAGTGGGAGCCCAGCACTACCTCTCTCCTGTCATGCCGGGTTTAGGGTTTAGGGTTTAGGGTTTAGGGCTTAGGGCGTCCCATTATAGTCCCCATTAGGGACTGCTAGTATAAGGGCAACATCCCAAGGTACCCCCATTCAGCTCAATTGCCTTCATTGGCTGAGAGCCTAGGATGCCGTTCTCCCAGTTTCTGAGTACGCGCGTCCCTCGAAGAGCTCCGGTCACATCCGGTCCTCGTCCATGTTCTCTGGGAAGAAGGTCGTGAGGAGGCGGCCCTTGCTCACCTGCACCAAGTACCCCTCGGACCCCTCGAAAGCGCCGCAGCTGCATCAACATGTCTCGTCACTCTGGTCATGTCAAGTTTGCAGGCCATTCTACACATTTTAGACAAGAAGTAGCGTTGGGAGGCAGGCTTTCGACGCTCACTATCGCACGCGGCAGGCCAAATCAACAGGTCACTGTTCGTAGGCACCGGATACGGCGGGAAGCCAGGGGTTCAACCAGCACAGTAGCAACATACGATCAAACGACTGACCTGCGCATGACTCACGCTCGTGGGCGGCAGGCAAAATCATTGGGTACTAGAACCAGCATGGCACGGTTGGCTGCATGATCGCTTTGAAGGCGCTACACAGCTTGGTCTGCTCACCCTCGTAATCCAGGTACGTGGCGTACTACATGGACAGAGGGAAGGGAGAGCTTCTCTGACCGGACAAACCTCCCAGCACGAGTTAGTAGGGGAAGGTATGGCTCTTGCGCATCCGGACTTATACAGTAACTCGGCTATGCCCGCAAATATGGGAACTCTACTTCAAGCGTGTTGGGTTCAGAGTTTTTGGGGTTCGGCTTCTGCAAGGCAGCCTTCTTCCAGCCAGCACCATACTCGCCACCCACTGCGTGGCGCTCGAAGAGAACAGGCCTTTTGAAGCCGAGCTCGATACCGGGGATGTGGATCGTGTCCTGCACGGGAATAGCAAGGGCCGAAGGCTTCAACAGCCCCAAGACATCCTTGGCCTCCCAAACCTGAACACCCAAAACCAAAATGACCCAAGGTGACCCACCGAAGCCCAAGATACCCGCCCCCTTTCCATGCACCCCCAACGGTAGAAGTCCCGCGAGATGGTGATGCCGTTCCATCCTCTTCGCCTGCCCGCACTGAACATGGAGATGGGACAAAAAAATTTGTGGTGAGATTGTGGTGTGTTAGCCTTGAAGGCTTTTGCGGCTTTTGCGGCTTTAGCTTGCGTTTTTTTTTTTTTCTGGTGGTGTTGCCCGATTCACCCATCTACTAGGGGAGGGAGGGCGGCGACAGCCGGGCCAGGCTTCTGGGCCCTGGGTGAGTTGACCTATGAGGGCTGAAACAGATACAGCTCGTGAGGTTGGGATTCAGAGTTTCGGAGTTTCCTTCCAGGTCACTGTATACCCCTAAACCCTAAACCCTCAACCCTGAACCCTAAACCCTAGACCCTAAACCTCCCAGTTCGTCCCAGAGTCTGGGATCCTGGCATGGCGCCATTGGGGGAGCCCAGCGCTTTGCTCAGCCCCATCTCTGCCATCCTCAGCGAGGGCACATCCCCTGAAGCCCTCAGAGTTAGGTTTTAGGGTTTAGGGTTTGGGGTTTAGGATTTAGGATTTAGGGTTGAATCAAAATCCTGTGTATCCGAGGCGGCGGCTGCTCCTTGGTTGGGGTAATGGTAGGCCTGAGCCCACACGATTGCGCAATGTGCGCAATTATGCAGCGCTCTGCCCCTGTGCTGTGGACGAAGGCAACGATGCGAGAAACCACCGCCACGCAACTCTACAACTTGCATGCTTATGCTTATACCCCCCCGCCCGCCCCCCCCCCCCGCCCCCGCGCTTATACCCCCCCCCCCCCCCCCCCCCCCCCCAAAAAAATAAAAAACAGAAAGCTGAGAGAACTGGTCACATGGCTGTGGCCCCGGCTCCTTGAAGATGGAGCCGATCCGGGCACCGGCCGCAACAGCATCCTGTCCCAGGGGGTTTGGGTTTTGGTGTGCATGGGCGGCTGCTCTCCCACTGTTGGTTAGTAGGGAATGAGGGAATGGGTACCCCATGGAATCCCTTAAAGGGTCTATGTAGGGGGAGATAGGGCACCTCAAACATCATTCCGATCATTCCCTACTAACCAACAGTAAGAAGAGAGGCTTCTGCTGGAGTCGGGCTATTTCCACATGTGTGGTGGGGGCCTAAGACACCCGGCTTGGCGTTGTGGTCACAGATTTCCTGAAGTGTCGTGACAATCCTGTCTTCGTGGGGCTCCGAGAACACTAAATTCTGGATTGGTTCGTCGAATTGCGGCATCATACACCTTGGTACTTAAGCTCGGTTTTTGATGGGATCTGGAAGTTTCCCCCTCCTGCACAGCTAGGACAAATCCGCATCACCAGGATTTCAGTCCCCGTTTCTCAAGGTGAGATGCTCAAGAGCATTGCCGCCTTGCTTCAAGCCGCCTCAACGCAGCTCGACCCTACCCGTCAGTTGCAAAACACTCAGCTTCGGTAAAAGCCTGTTGGCTCATGGAACGATCAGCTACACCCCACCCAGGAACTCGTCCAAACAGAGCCCGCTGCAATGACGCATGATCCGCGTGGGAGGTCCGGGGTTCGGGGTTGATTTCGGCACCGTTTTGTCTTTGGGGGCTGAATACCCTAGCCCAAATGAAGGTTTAACCTTTTCATTGGAACAGGATTCATTATATGTAACCAAAACAGGGGGTAGAGGTTGACTACCCCGCCCCTAAGTATCCTGAGATCCTAGTTTGCCCGATCGGCCTTGAGAACCTGGTCATTGGTCTCGTCCCGCGCCTGCACGTCACAGGAGGGCTCTTGTGAAATGCGGATATACGCGGATGGACTGATAGATGCAGGGGGCCTTGCAGCTGAGGTCGTAGAACTCCCACTTTGAGGTGTCGATTGAGGGCTCCACCCACTTCTTCATGATCAGCTCCATGGTGTAGCGTGACATCTCCTCACAGCCCGGCAGCGAAGGCCGGCGATTTGATCCGACAGCTGTACCCCCAGCTCCTCGCCGGCGATGTAGACCATTTGAGGCGCCTCGGTGTGAGCACAAGACTACAGTCGTTTAGCACTCAGCAGAGGACGTAAGCAGCTAGGACGTCGCACCGCGAAACGCGACCAGGTCGAGGAAAAACGCGCGCGCCGCAGTGACAGGCGCAGTACCCGAGGCGCCTGGCATGAACCAGACTCGGGCTGACACGACATGGAAAGCTTACTTTATGTGTGTATATATATATGATAAATATATATATATATATATAAAGCCCCCCATATATATATATATGTGTGTGTATATATATATACACCACTCTGCCTGCATCATGACTGCACTAGGGGCGCCCAGCAAACGATCAGGGCCAAACTGCCACGTAATCTGCGAGCCCAAGTGGGAAGCGGGAAGCGGGAAGTGTTCAGGGCACGCGTGCACCATGCTGCACATGCCGACATGCAGCCCATTTTTGTCGTGCTTCGCTGGCCATGCAGACGCGTTTCAGCTCGAGCTCTCTCAGGCTAATTGTCGCAATGGATAGGTTCCATAAAGCATCTGCAGAAATGGAGTCGCACAGTCCTGGAGCTCCTTCTGCGAAACATCCGACATCTCAAACTTGGCGCCTGCGGAAGAACACGTGAGACGTGCTCACAGCTTTCATCGAATCCTGCGGACAGTGCCCTCCATCGGCAGTGGGCATCGGTGACTCTCTGGTGCCCCGAGCTGGAGGTGTGAAACCGGCATTTGAAAACCTGTGCAGCTGGCACAGTGCCAGCGAAGAGCTCCTGAAAGTCGGTTCTTAAGCCTTCTTCCGGACTTTCGCTGGGCCATTCTGGGGGCGGTTCGGAGCGCCCTAGACCCTTCCTTTTTTAAAAAGGAGCCCCATGAACCCTAATCCCTGCCATCAACCTTGGTCTAGAGACGAAAGAGGGACAGGACTGAACCCTGACCTCCCCTATGTTACCGCTCAGAACAGCCTGAGGCGACGGAGCTGATTCATGCACCGTATTGCACCGTGGCACGCATCAATCCATGGGCTTCATGGCACCTCGCACGGAGTGCATGATGGATGATTCTTGAAAGATTTGTTGGTTTGGTGGGGGTGGGGGGGTTGATAGAAGTTTAGACCTTGCAGAGAGGGTGTACTAGGACCTAGACTGAGGGCTTCATAATGCCGGGTGAACCTCAGCAACTGACAGCTGATGCACAAATATCCGCACAAGATGCATGCTTCTCCTGAGCATCTACGAAGCCTCTATATGAGCGCCTCTAGGAGCGCCATCGAGGCTTTGCTGCAGATGTACGGCCGGTGCTGTTGAACCTCAGAGCCCCACCCCCACCCCACCCCCCAAGGCAGCCAGTTTCGGGTTTCTACTTTGGGGTTCAGGGTAAGGGCTGCGGGTTTCGGGTTTCGGGTTTGGGGGTCCCTGGTTGGCTCCCAAGAGGGTTCCGGGCTTGTGTTGGCCACTCGTCTGGCACTCACTGCAACCAACGCGCAACTGCAGAGGAACGTGAAGAAGCCCAGGGTTGTTTTTTGAGGGTTTAGGGAAACCCTAAACTTTAGGGAAACCCCAAACCCTGAACCCTAAACCCTGAACCCTAAACCCTTGGAGCAACGGACCTACACCCCTAAACCCTAAACCCGGAGGCTCTCAGCTGCAAGCGCCGGGGTCGGCGAGGGCGCGCGACGCAGGTGGGAGGACATCGAGCGCTGGCTGGACCTGAAGAGGGGGGGGCTGCGAGCCCCAGGTCCCCTCGATGCTCCCAGGTGCGCAGAATATAGTAAAAATAAGAATAAGTCAATATCAGACAGTGATGACATAAAAATATACGAATATACGAACTTACATGAATTGTTATATGAAGAGCTACGAAGCAGGGAGCCTCTCGAAGGGCGAGCTTCCTGGATAGGAGTGCCCCGGTGCCTGGAGCAGGTCGCGTCTCGAACTTCGTAGACCCTGACACCTAACACCCCTTAAGCCCGCGAAGGTCCGGGATTTCCGTGGAGTCGAGGTCGGGGCATACTTTGTGGCCGGGACTGGGGAGCTCCGCGCGTTCGTCCTCAGATGGACAGCTGCTTTCTGGGCTTGGGGGCGGGGGGGGGGAGGGGCCAAGACGCGCTTTGGTTGGTTTTGGTGTGGTTTTTTGGGGCTGAGGGGAAATGTATTTCAGGAAGAGAGTCCTCTGGGCTTGGGGACCTCCATTCCAGCCATCGTCCCCTTGAAGGGGACCCTATGTGCTAACAGCAGCCCTTTTGTAGAACAACTCTGCACTAGTCGTCCGACAACTCACGAGGTCCGAGCGGAGATGGCGGCCGCGAGGATGAGCTTGACCTTGTCGAGTTTACAAGTCTCCAAAATCATCCAAAGCACCTCCACGAGAACCCCATGTCCAGAGTGACCCCCTAAAACCCTGAGCCCTCAACCCTAAGCCCTTTTCATGAGGGACTCGACTGCCCTTTTTCACACTCGACTGCCCGAATGAAACCCTTTTGCAACGGGCTTTCGGTCACCGCCCGGCTGCCCTAAACCCTTTTCCCTTAACTAACCCCCCAAAACCCTACAAACCCTAAAACCCCCAAAACATACACCCTGAACCCCAAAAACAGAAACCCTAAACCCTAAACCCTAAACCCCAAACATAAACCCTAAACCCGACATCATTCTGGGAGCAGCGCCTTACTTGCCCCGCGCTCGGCGATGCCTCGCGGTGACGAGAGATGCGCTGCGGCCCTACAGTCTGGGGTTAGATTATTTTTAGTAGAAAGGGTGTATAGGGTTTTTTTCCCCGCCCGTCAGGGTTTGGGGTTTGGGGTTTGGGGTTAGGGTTTAGGGTTTAGGGTTTAGGGTTTAGCGTTTAGGGTTTAGGGTTTAGGGTTCGCCAGCGCAGCGTGGGGCCCAGGTCAACTCTTCTATAGGTGGCTGCCCTAAGCTTTAATAAACTTTTTACGGCGAAAAAAATTTTCAAAGGGAAGAGAAGCCCCAAATTGGCTCCAGAAGGCCCAAAATTGGCTTCAGAAGGCCAAAATTGGCTTCAGAGGCCCAAGTTGGCTTCCGAAGGCCAAAATTGGCTTCCGAAGCCCAAAATTAGCTTCTGAAGGCCCAAAATTGGCTTCAGAGGCCCAAATTGGCTTCAGAAGGCCCAAAATGGCTTCGGAAGGCCAAAATTGGTTTCAGGCCAAAATTGGCTTCTGAAGGCCAAAATGCTTCAAAGCCAAAACTTGGCTCAGAGGCACAAATTGGCTTCACAGAAGGCCTAACATTGGCTTCAAAAGGCACAAATTGGAATTGGCTTCAGAAGGCCAAAATTGGCTTCAGAGGCCCAAATTGGAAGGCCCAAATTGGCTTCAGAAGGCGAAAAATTGGCTTCAGAAGCCCAAAATTGGCTTCAGAAGGCCTAAAAGTTGCTTCAGAAGGCCCAAATTGGCTTAATTGGCTTCAGAAGGCCCAAAATTGGCTTCAGAGGCCCAAATTTTGTTTCAGAATTCAGAAGGCCCAAAATTGTCTTCCGAGGGCCAAATTGGCTTCAGAAGGCTCAAGATTGGCTTCAGAATTGGCTTCAGAGGGCCCAAATTGGCTTCAGAAGGCCAAAATTGCCTTCAGAGGCCAATTGGTTTCGGAAAACCCAGCCCGAAAAGGCACCGGGTGGCTTTGAAAAGGACTTGAGAAGCTTCAAACAGCTCGAATATGCTGAAATGTTCAATTTTCTTAAACCTCCTTGCCCTGCGCAGGCACAAAGCCCAATCTTCTTTGTTCGATTTACTTAAACCCCCTAAAAGTTTAGGGCTTAGGGTTTTGGGTTTAGGGTTTAGGGCCTGTAGGGTACCCTAGGAGCCAAGAGGTTGACATATCGTTGCTTACCACGGTTACAGCATTTGTTTTCCCCCACCCAAGCCCTCACAACGGAGAAAAACTTCCGAAGACACCCTGTATGAGTGATTGAAGGACTATTTTCGCAACTAAGCTATCTTGGAGGATCTGGGCCCTAGACCCTAAACCCTAAACCCAAAACCCTAAACCCTAAACCCTAAAATCTAAACCCTAAACCCTTTAACCATCTCCTCCTTACTCCCCATTGGGTCTCGCGCAGGCCGCCGTTGAGATCCTGATCTGGTTGGCGTAGACGTGGACCTTCCAGGATTCCATCAGGGGGGAGAGGTGGAAACCCACCACCATGTAGGGAAAAGGGGATTGGGGTTTAGGGTTTAGGGTTTAGGGTTTAGGGTTTTTTTGCCACCCGGGTTTAGGGTTTAGGGTTTAGGGTTTAGGGTTTAGGGTTTAGGGTTTAGGGTTTAGGGTTTATGGAAAAAGGGGGAGGAGGTTGCATCCCTGATTCACATGTCTTGCATGAAGCTGCTTCAGTCATCCCTCCTGCTGTCCCGGTGTCGCTCTCCACATCTGAGGCCGCGCGCCCAGGTGGCGGAGCTGTAGAAGGTCGGCTCCGGCCGGGGCCTGGCGAGCGTTGCATGTAGGTTCTGGTTCGTATATTCAATGCTTGTAGAAGCTGCATTTTTCGGCTACTTAGTGCATAGAGTTGGGCTGGAGGAAAGATTTAGGACTGGGGGGTTGGACCTTTAGGCTTCGGGAAAGAGTTGAGCTTTGCCATGCCTGGCTTGGAATCTCGGAATCAATCCATAATTTTCTGAGACGCCCCATCTTTTTTCGAAAGGTTCTCCGGTGCTTCTTTCATGTGCCCTTCCATGGCCACCTACTTCCGCAAACCACGCAGGGCGAGACGAGCATCGCCGAGCAACTCCGGCTTCACTCGAACCTCATCCGAGGCCGATGCTGGCAGGAGAGGAGCCCTAGAAGCGCGGTTCCTTGTTGCGAAAGGATGCTGATCAGGCTTCTTGCCTGTCTCATTCCCCTGAGGCTTCCGGCCGGGCCGCCGCCGCGGAACGCGCCCATGCCCCGCGCCTGGAGCGAGGCGGAGCGTTTTTGGCGAAGTGTGTAGGAACCCGGGGGGGGAGTTGGGGCGGGCTCTGGGGCTCCTCCGATGCAATCATTTCACCATAATTCCCTGCAAGCTCCCGCGAGGCCGCGACCCCACAGCCCGCCGTAGGCCCAGGATTGGTTGCTCGAGCGGCCCCCAAAGTAAAGCCAAAGCCTCACCGCAGTCACGGAGAAGACACACACTCTCTCTGCCATCACTTTGCAAGAGCAGGTGGAGATGAGGGGGCTGCTTTGTGGTCCTGCACTCTGGGATACAGTCGTCGGATACCGACCTGGGAAGCCACGGCCAAGCACTCAGGAAGGCCAGGAAGGACAAAGAGCTGCATCGGAGCGGCTTGGGCCCGGAGAGGGGCCCCTGTCTTTACCTCACACTTAAACGCCGTGTTCAGGACCATGATCTTCTTGCGGCAGTCATGCTAGCAGAACGATGCAGCTAAGGCCGATTAAGGCTCTCCAGTTGTTAGCATTATGGCATAATCCCCGAATTCCTAAGGAGCCTGATTCCCGGCCTGACCGCATGGGAGATTCTGGCCGCATCGAGGGGGACCTTAATACTGAGCGGCTCGTCAGGTGCGATGCTTCCCACTGGCTTCGGGTTTACTCAGCGCTGCCTCTGGGGTTTCGGGTCTAAGGTTCACAGGGCTTCTCTCACACTCGCAGGTGAGCAGGTTCGGGCGTCCAGCTAATTCCACATACACTAGCGACCTTGCCACACAAGCCCAAAGGTGCATAGGCTGAGAGTTTAGGGCTCACGAATCCACGCAAAGCTCAGTTCACGACTCGTTCCTGCGCGAGGACCCACCTCCGGAGCTTCCGGCAGCAACAGCCCCATCAAAGCGAACCCCCTGCGCGCACTTCGGCCTTTTGGTGGAGGCTCCAGGGAACTTGATCTCATTGGCTTGGCATCCCTGAGAGCTCGAAAAGGGCAACATTCATTGCAGTGTCCTGTGCTAGTCGCTGAGGCGAGGACATGCTTGGCCTGGCAGCAACCCGATCGCTCTCGATAGCATGCGAACCTCCCCTCAACAACCCTCGGAAGCGTAAGAGTCGCAATCATCACAGCAGCTACCGACTTAGTCGTCCAGTCAGACTCCTCGCGCCAAGACAGGCTGGGGATGCTCTGGTGCCGGGCTGTCCTCAGCAGCATCGTCTCGAACATTCTCACATGAAGCTTTTTGGTGCCCGACTTTGCGGGGCGATGCTCCCAAAACCCGAAACCCTTTTTTCGACCCCGCAAAGCTCGCGGGGTCAAAAAACCCCAAACCCTAAAACCCAAACCCTGGCTTTCTCTTGCCGAGCGGCATTTCGACGACCCATGACCGGACCCGTGAGCGAGTCTCGGATGTTCGTCGCCGGACCTGTTGCAACAACTGGGCGCGTTTAGGGTTTTTGAGGGTTTAGGGATGTTTAGGGCTTTGTTTTTAGGGTTTCTGCCGCAGGATCACTCCGCAGTTTTTAGGGCTTAGGGTTTAGGGTTTACAGTGGCTGCTGTGCTAACAAGTTGCAATCAACTCCAAGCGGGCCTCTCCGAGGTTCTCGCGCCACGCTTCCTTGCCTGCAAAGGTTGAACTTGCTCCAACTCTGAGCTGCCAGTTCCTCTGTGCCAGGTATATGTGTGTATATACATATATATATATATATATATTTTTAATTATTTATTTATATTTAATTATTTATATTCACATTCATATCTATATATATGTGTGTATATATATATATATATGGACATCATACCCAAATGTACACATGCACATCTACAGCTGCAAATGCAAAAGCAGTTACATACTGCACTATCCAATACAGGTTCGTAAGTATGCTGTGCACCGAGAAGCGTAGGGAAGAAGCAGACCCAGCAACGTGCCCAACAGCAAAATTTTGCCACATCCTACTTCTGACGGCGGCGCAACACGAACAAACCCTCGACTGCTGGACTGTAGCTGCAGATGCTGCAACCACTGCTGCATACTTCCTTTTTTGGCATAAAGAAGACATGTTAAACGGAAAGAAAGCTGAGCTTTTGACGTGGCAAAGCTGCTTCCACGGAAAGCCTGCACCAAAACACAGGTCTTGCCTGCCTTTTGCCCTCAAAGCTGCCACAACTCCACCATGCCACCCAGAGTATGACAACAGTTGCCAGCCAGGGAGTAGGCAGATAGGGCGACCCCAAGCCTCAAAGGGTTGGGCCGGCACGGTTGAAGCTGGGATGGCGCCTTGAGCAGGTCAACTTACATGCGGTGCAATCACAGCATTTGAGCATTCATGAGACATGAGACATGGTGTATGTTCGCTGCCAGAGACAACCCGGGCAGACTTCAAACCAGGGTCTGATTGCCTTTTCATCTGTCCTGTCAAACGCCAACCGCGTCCGCTTAAAGCGATCTGCGCCCAGTGGCCCAGAGTATCTGGCCCGTATCTGTTCCCGGCGCATAAAAGGATGGCCCGTGGTGGTCCGCATAGACCAAGCCAAGAACACTTCTGGAAGGTGCTGGTGAGACTGCATGCACACCCTCCTCCGAAGAGTTTACACGTGTCTTTGGTGCCGCTACATCAGTCCCTATGCAGGTTCGTCTCGACTGTGTCGCCGAACCCTTGCGAGAAGGCGGCAAACCTCATCTGCTCGCGCACCACAGCGAGATCGACAAATGCATCCCCACTGTCACATCAGTGCTGCTGCGTGGGGTGCAGAAGTGACCAACCAAGCGCAAGGCTAACTTTCAACATGAATGCAGCCATGGCACGCTACCAGCACTGCTACACCTGCGAGAACCAAACAAAATGCGTTCACCATGTCGTTGCTCTTGTCGACGCTCTTCCTGGGTCAGCGAATTGTGGCAAGGACTGGGAAAAAGAAAGCGCCACTGCCACGCTGATGCAGAACAGTAGGAGGCTACAGCAAGAACGCGCAAGGCACCCGAGCGCGACGATTGGGAGCCGAAGATTAAGTGTGCAACGTACAGGGAATCGGGCGGCTGAAGGTTCTCACCGGAGATCGATCCGATGACAGCTGGTTCACAACCCTTGAGGTCATCGCGATGAACATCACGCAGCCTTATCGCAAGCCAAGAATCAGGACGTCCACGCAGGCCTTCTTCTTAAAGAGCTGATCCACGTGGCTGGAATCCTGCTGTACATCTCGTGCCATGTCGAAGACCTGCGGAAGAGCTGCAAAGCATCACCGCCCCTCTCGGCCCTTCTTGCCACCCCTCAGCCCGAAACTGCAAAGCCCTCAACCATAAGCCCCTGAACCAAACAAGCTGCTAGTCACTAAACCGACTAAATCCTATTTGTTACTGAGCCCTTTGGACCCCGCGAGCTCTGCCGGAACAAAACCCCGAACCTCAAAAGCTTGTGCCTCCGCAGACCACCGGCCGAGAACATGCCACCTGCGCGCCTTCATCGGAACTAAGGGCTATTTTTGAGTCCTCGAGGTGGGAAAGGAGGAGGGAGAGATCCCGCCCTAGGTAAAAGGGGTGGCAGGAAAGGTGCCAAGAAGAGTTCTGGTGTGGCTCGGATCACAGATAAACTCCTATAGACAAAGCAACTGACAGAACAACCAAAACTCTGACTTGTCTGACTTATGTTCGATGTGGTGCTCGTCCTGTGACCCTTTCTTTGCCCAAACCTCCCCAGGTCAGACTCTGCCGTCGAGGTGCAAACATGACCGAAGCCATGCGCTCCTCTGAGAGGAGTCGCACTTCTTGACAAAACTCGCTGCACCTGGCTTTGATTTGTTCGCTCCCGCATAGCAGCGGGAGCCAAAAATGTTGAAAAGGCTTGGGGTGAAGGCGGGCGCGCTTGTGAGGGTTTGCGAGTTGCTTGCTCGCGCAACTCGTACCGCAGCTGTGCGTGGAGTAGGAGTCTGTCGGAGTTGCTGAGACCTCGACAACCCTTTTGCAACAGGCTTCGCGACCTCGACAACCCTAAACCCTAAACCCTAAATCCTAAACCCTAATGTTGCTGCTTGAGGCGCTTCCCCCCTTCGTTTGCATAGACGCCACTGCACTCGGCGGCGAGGGGCGATGCCTGCAGTTTGTCCTGCGTTGGCTAGGGTTTAGGGGTTTAGGGGTTTATGGATTAGGGCTTAGGGCTTAGGGTTTAGGGTTTAGGGCTTAGGGCTTAGGGTTTAGGGTTTAGGGTTTAGGGTTTAGGGTTTAGGGTTTAGGGTTTAGGGTTTAGGGTTTAGAGTTTAGGGTTTAGGGTTTAGGGTAGGTCTGTTGGTTAACAAGTCCTTATGCAAAAACCTACCGTCACTACCTGACCACCCGGTGTCCTTGCCCGGCGTGACGTACGAGTAGATCTGGAACTGGTAGTTCAGGCGGCAGAGCCTACAGAAGCGCATAGTCGCAGACTCCTTCCCGGGGTGTCGAACCCTACACCCTAAACCCTGAACCCTGAACCCTAAACCCTAAACCCTAAACCCTAAACCCTAAACCCTAAACCCTAAACCCTAAACCCTAAACCCTAAACCCTAAACCCTAAACCCTAAACCCTAAACCCGACCCCCCTTCCGCGGCAAGCTGTTCTGCTCAGCGGCGGTAGATCTGCCAGCAGCAAGGCGGCGATGCCAACCCTTGGATACAGGCGTGGACAAGCCACTGGGGCTTCCAAGAAAGAAGCCCTGAGATTCCTAGCCGTTTGCTTTACACGAAAAAACCAACAAGCACACAAAAAAAGATGCAAACAAACACGGCGATGGAAGGCCGAAAACATGGCAATGCGGCAGCAAAGTGCGCGCACCTTTGGAAACCATGGAAGCCTGCGAGCCCCCGCATGTGCAGCCGTGCGCGTGTTGATCGATGCTGCTTTCAATACCATCTGCCAAGACGCCCGATCCACACAGCCTTGGACGGCCTTGCGAAGTAGGCGGCCCTACATTGGGATCCTTTCTGATCCTTTTGAGGGACCCTCTGCCATTGCGTTGCAAGAAGTGATGCAAGTTTTCAATCTGCGCGTTTGTGTGTGTGGGGCCCCCAATTTGGGGTTTCGACACGCTCGCAAAGTCCGCTCCCAGGTCTCTTTCTTGGGAATCCCCCCGGTAGGACTTCTCACGGACATCTTCGAAATCTGGCTGATGACCAGGCCTTCAGGCTGTCAGAACAACCTGGGGTCTATTTGCCTCCAGTTTAGTAGTAACATGTAGTAACTATCCTGAATTAGCAGGTAGAACCCATAAAAACCATAAAAACTGCAGGCAAAAAGGGCCCCAGGAAGAGCCGCAAACATGAAAAGCGTTGAAAATCTTGCGGCGCGCTTCACGGGCATGGCGCCTTTGGATGCTCTGATGTCTGCTCATACCTGCTGCGATCTGGCAAGTCTGGGCACCACACCGGCATCTGCATAAAGACTGTGGAAGTTGAGGCTTACTAACTTAATGTGGCTTTTTGGAGCTTGATGGTCAATTATTCCGCTGCCTCAGTACGCAAGCATACACTATGACACATACTTACCAAGCAGCCTTGAAAGCTGCAGCTACTGAAAGGTTACGACGCCTAACAAAGGAGCCGCACTAATGGCAGCACCCTAGCGACAGTCTCGGGAGAGAAACAGCGGTGCAACTCGCGAGGCAAATTAATTGCCTCGAGGTCACAGCCCCTGCACCCTGGCGGGCCTGCATGGAAACTTGCCCTGCCCAGACGGCAGCGGCGAAATTGCATCACTGGCGGAATCTTGTTGAAGGCGGCATACAACATGTACCATGTAGAGATAAAATCAAGAAAGGAGAAAACGCAGGAATCAAACAAAATCGTCGTGTGAGAGGCTTCGCCACCTTGGCTCCAATTTCAGGGTCAAGGGCCTCTGTCAGCTTGCCGCCCTTGCACTCGGAGGTTCGATCCCTCTCTCAGTGTCTCTTTCTTGGGGAGCCGCAAACATGAAAATCTTGCGGCGCGCTTCACGGGCTTGGTGCCTTTGGATGCTTTCATGTTCATACCTTTTGCATTCTGTGCCCGACCTGCTTTTGTGCAGGCAGAACTGGCATATCCTGGCACCACCCCTGTATCTACTTATAGACTGTGGAGGTTGATGCTGATTGTTGCTTGCAATTGAAAGCTTAATGGATATAGCTGGTACACTGGCATACACTACAACATGTACTTACCCAGCAGCCTTAACACTGCAGTCTCAACTACTGGGAGGATAGGACGCCTAAGGCGTCGATTCGCGAAGGAGCCGCACGAATGGCAGCACCCTAGCGACAGTCTCGGGAGAGAAACAGCAGCGCAACTCGCGAGGCAAATTCATTGCCTCGAGGTCACAGCCCCTGCACCCTGACGGGTCTGCATGGAAACTTGCCCTGCCCAGACGGCAGCAGCGAAAATCAACCGAATTACGTGCCGGAAATGGGGCGGGAATACCACATCGCAGTAGCGTGGCAGCTGCATGTCGGAAAGCCTTTTTTAAACCTCAACTTCACAAGTCCCTTCATACTTTCAAATCTTGCCAATTTTTGGAGCGCCCACTGCCAGCTGCCCACCTGCGAGAGTTCATTCTTCGCTGCGCAGCAGGGTCTCACATCCCAGCAGGGCTGTTGTGCACTATATTCTAAACTTCTAGAATGCCCAGATGCCGGCACTTTCAGACCCCAAGTTCCTGCCGCGCTTTGAAGAGAAAAGCCTAAGCAAGTCACCTGTCCCCAGTGTGCCAAGGGCTAGCGACCGTCCGGCTGCGCTGTGGAGAGCAGCAGGCGGCCAGCAGAAGGCAGCGGAGGACCTCGGGGCCTTGCAATCGGATCCAACACCACCCTCCGACCTGAAGAAACAGAGCTTGACGCCACGGAGCTTGGGCTTGCTGACCTTGACGCATCACGGGAGGGTGGCACCAGGAGACTGCAGTCCCCTGGCCCTCCCGGACGCCCGACAGCGGAGTTTCGCCTCCCCGGCTCCTCCCTGATCTCTTCCGTGCTGGCCACCCGCGAAGGCGCATGCTGAGCTTCCCGAATCTCGCCGAGCTGGGCCAGGACATCCTCCTCTGCAAGCTGCTCGGGGAGCTGCGGTCCTGGGCTACTTAACGTGAAACTTGCTATATCTTGCTGGATCTAGATGATCCCTTATCTAAGATAGCGGCCTAAGAAGCAAAATGGTTGCCAAGACCAGTCTGGGCAGCCTGAGCTGGCTGAGCCCTCACACTGCAACTTCGAGCTCTCCAAGGAGCGTCGCCTCCTGGATCGGCTGGCCACCGGTTCGCTGCGCTGCCCCTGAGCATCCTCGCTGCCCGTGCGGGGCCGTCGGTGCTCCGACATGTGCGGGATCTGCTGAGCATCCTCGCTTCCAGCGCGTGGGCGCCGGTGCTCCGAGCTGTGGGGGATTCTCCCGGTCACCGGTACTGGCACTCCGCTCGCATCCTCAGGCTCTGGCATCAAGCCTGGGAGGTTGTTGTCGAACGTAGAGGTTTGGAAGCTCGATGCCTCGACTGTCACCTTGACCTCGTCACGCTTCAGGCCAATCCAGGGCGCTGGAGCTTCAAGCCGTTCTTCAAGCTTCTTGACTGCTGCACCGTCAACCATGTCTGCCTCCAACATCACAGGCGGTGCCTGCGGAGCTGATGGAGAAACAGTCGGCGCCTGCGCTGGAGGCAGTGCGCAGGCGTCTGGTGGCGGCTCCTGCCGGCGAATATTGTTCCCCCTCTGGCGATTCCGCTCGATGAAAGTCTTCTGCCACTTCTCCATGATTGCCGTGACCTCATCGTCCAACTTGTCAACCTGGTCGGGGTCTGCTGTGGGTCCTTGCGTGGACACCTTCATCAGCTCCTCCAACAGCTTCTGCACTGCTGGATTCGAGTGCCACGCCATGCCGCCCAAACGGAAGATCGTCTGGCAGCCAGCATCCCTTTGCTCCAGCTTCTCCTTGGCTTTGGTTTCCTTGGCTTTGGTTTCCTTCTCGTGTGTCGTGGAGATGGCATCCAGCTGCCTGGCTGCCTCGTCACCTAGCTGCTTCAGCACCTGCATGGCCTCGGCTGAGCTGCAGCTAGCCTGGCCTTGAACGCCTCCACCTCCCTTTTTCAGCACGTTGAGCAAGCCTTGGGCCTCCTCGAGGACGTCCCACATCTGCACCTGCGCCGCGACCTCCGCACCTCGCGAACGCCGAGTGGAGCCACCGTTGCTCTTGACACTGCGGGTCTGCAGTTGCTGCGCTTCGATCAGCTCTTCCAGCGGGCCAGAGTCCGTGTTCAAGGCTTTCTCCACCGCCTTCAAGCAAGCCTCTGCACCCTGCTTCTGGTCTCTGGCAACTTGCTGCACTAAGCGGTGGCCTGCTGCGCGCTTGGCTTGAGAAGACAGTCCACCAGCAGCCTCCACCTCCTGCATTGTCTCCTGTAGTGGTGCTTGCCCACTTTCGTACACTTGGAGGATCTGCTTCCATCCTTGCACCTCGTCCCACTTCTGCTCAACCTCAGCCTTGGCAAGTGCTTCGCGACAGCCTGCAGCGGCAGCTTCACCATCCGACGCCAGGGCCTGCAGCGCCACAGCATCGCCTAAGGCACGGAGGCGTTCCGTGGGGCCAGGCTCTGAAGGCTCTGGGGTCTCTGAGGCTTCCTTTGGGGACTTTGTGGCCTTCGTCCGCCGAACCAACCTCTGGCGTTGCCTTTGCAACTCCTCATCAAACTGAAGGGCCCGACGTGCAGCCAAGGCCAAGGCAGTCTGCTTCTCTGCATCGTCTACGGATGTGTCGAAGGCACGTCGCAGAGACGTTGCCGACGTTGACAGCGATGCAGGAGAACCCTCGGCCAGAGACTCCAGATCCGCTGCCAAATCACGCCACAGGCTCAGCAGCTCCTGCCAGGCAGAACGGCTCTCTGCGGCCAATGGCCCGATCGCATCTGGCACCTCCTGCATGCCAGCCTGGCATTCCCTCGTGCCTTCGGCAAGCTCATCGCGCAGCTCTTGCAGCTGCTTCGCCCGAAAGCCATCCCGGAGCTCGTCTGCAGCCTGGGCTGCGCGTTCCCTGCCTTCCCTCCGCAGCATCGGCAACTTCCGCTCGAAGGCCGCCAGGCGGCGTGCGGCCGCCCCAAGGCCCCTGAAGGCCAAGTGCTGCGAGACCTCAGCCACATCACCACAGGCCTCCTCCGCATCTGCTTCGGCCTCTTTCGCAGCCTCGGCCACATCTTCCTGCAGCCTTCCCAAGACCTTGGCCAAGTCCTCCCATGCATCGGCACCCGCACCACCTTCCTCACGCGCCGCCTGGATGGCCGCCTCGCAGGCCGTGCGCTGCTCCGAGGTCGCCTCGGCCAGGCCCCGCAAGGAGGCGCCGTCCCTCAGCGCGTGGCCCAGCACTGCGGGGACGGAGGCATCAGTCCGGCGGCGGCGCATTGCTGCCCTCTGCTTCGCAAGCTCCTCGTCAAAGGTTGCAACGCGGCGGGCCGCCTCCTGCAGAGCCGCTCTGCGTGCGTCACCGTCGTCCTCGACAAGACGCTTGGCACAGCCTCCGGCAAGCTCTGCATTCTCTGTGGCCTCACCAACAAGCCCCAAAGCCTCGCCAAGACCTGAAGCGGCATCCCCGACCACGACTTTCGCAGACTCCCGGGCTTCCTTCTCGGCCTTAGCCATGTCTTTCGACATCGCTGCCCATGCAGCGCCCAACTCGGCCCAAGCCTCTTTTGCATCGCCCTCGGCAGATGCGGCAGAAGCCTCACACTGTGCACACGCTTCCGCCTGCTCCTTGGCCAGCTTCTTCAGCATCTGCTCGTCTGCCAGCGACCGGCAGGCCTCGAGAGGGTCGTGGTCCGGGGAGCCCTTCTGCAGAGCCTTGCGGCGCTTCTTCATCTGCGACCGCTGCTTCTGCAGCTCCTCGTCAAAGGCTGCAGCACGCCGAGCGGCCTCGCCCAACATCGCCAGGTGCTCGTCGCGGCTGTCCTCTTGCATCTGGAGCTTGCCCGTCTTGAGCTTGGTCTTGAGCTTGGTGGCGATGTCAGCCCAGGTGCCTGCCAGCGTCTCGGCAACTGCCTCCTGGCCCAGCTCGTCCAGATCTGTTTTGGCAGCATCCAAGGCCTCGACCAGCTGAGCCCAATCATTGGCCTCGCTCTCGCTGAGTTTTCGGCCCTCCTGGGTCAAGAACTCTTGACATTTCTCCAGGGCAGCCGCTCTCTCTGCCTCAAGAACCTGGAACGCCTCCCGGTCCTCCAGAAGCCTTCCGAGTTCCAGAGCAGGTGTTGGGTTCCCCTTGCCCTTGGCCCTTTTCTGCAGCTTCTGCCGCTGCTTCTGGAGTTCCTCGTCGAAGGCTGCAGCCCGACGTGCCGCCTCCGCCAGGGCAGCTCGGCGCTCTGCATCCGTGGCTTCCAGGGACTTGGTGACCTTGCTTCCAGGCGCGGCGGCGAGGGTCTCGGTTAACTCTGACTGAGCCTCCTGCGCGGCAGATTCTACGTCTGCGGAAAGCTGCTTCCAGGCATCCTCCAGCGCATCGCAGGCCGAATCCCAGGCTTCGTCATTGGAATCCTCCCGCAGCCCAGGCAGGGTGGCGAACTCCGCAGCGACCTTGTCCTTAAGCTCAGACAAAGCGTCACGCTCGTCAAGCAGTGCCCCGGTGGTGAGCAACGCGGACTTGCCCTCCTTGCGGCGCCGGGCCTGCAAGCGCAGCCTTTGGGCATCGAGCTCTTCTTGGAAGGCACTGGCACGGCGAGCCGCTTCTGCCAGCATAGCCTCACGGTCACCGGCCCCCACAGAGAGCTTGGCACGGGCCATCAACTCTCGCAGCGGGTTCTCATCCGCACCATCCTGAGCCATTGCCTCGCGAGCGCCGTCCTCCAGCACTGCCGCACGCTGGGCTGCAGCCCCCAGCGATCGCGCAAGGCGCAGCCTCTCATCCTGCCGGGATTGCCAGGCTTCTGCTTCCTGTCGCAATGCCATCGGCAGGTTCGTGACGGCGGCACCAGCAAGAAGGCGGCCAACCTGATCTAGGGCGATCTGCTTCTCGTCCCATGTGGTGTCTTCGTCCGTGGCCTTGGCCATCGCCTCCTGCAGTCTGTTCAGCGCGGCTGCTCGAGAAGCAGGTGTGGTGCCCACAGGCGTCCCAACCGTCACCTCAGAATTGGCAGATTTCCTGCTCAGGGTCCCGACAACTTCACCAGCCATGGGAGACGAAGCCAACCGCCGTCCTACCGCCTCCACAGGAAGGAGCACACCGGGCCCTGGTGCCACGCGGGCGTTCCCCATGATGTTCAAGCAGCGGCCCGGCCAGTCTTTCTCGGAGACTGCACGCTTCAGTGCCCGCTTCAGCTCCTCCTCCTGCTCTTCCTCTTCCCGCCGACGGCAGCAGAAGCCCAGACAAAGCGCCGCGAGGAGATAGCGAAGCCAGAGGCAGCTTTTCCTGTGGTAGGCGGAGGTGATCGCTGCAGATAACATGGCTGCGCCAATCACCGCCATGACCAAGAAGGCCACCGACAAAGAAGCTTGTTGAAGCGTGGTGCTGGCTTTGAACGAACTCCCGCCTTGACCACCGGCCCGTGAAGTGCACATGGTGTCATGCAAGCGCCAATCCGAGCAGTGTCGCAGGGGAATGAAGGGTGCACCCTCTGGATCATTCTGACACCAGGCTTCCACTGCTTCGCCGCAGGTGAGTTCGGTGTCGTTTGTGGCATTCTCCTCTTCCAGGGTGTACGTTGTGGACTCGCCGCCCTGGGTCACGGTTGTGCTTGGGGCGGTGCCGGTGAGGTGGCGCGAGCTGGTGTAGTTCGTGTAGGCTGGCTCGGTGGTCGTGTTGGCACTGTCAATGCTCCCTGAAGTGCTCGTGGCAGTCCAGGTCTCTGAGGCGAGCGTGGCAGTCCTTGTAGCGCTGGTCGACAGCGTCGATGTCAATGTGGTCGTCAAGGTCCTTGTGGTGGTCTGGGTCTTGCTTGTTGCCAGCATCGCCCAGTAGGTGCTGCTTAGAGTCGTGGTGCCTGTCTCTGTGGCATTGCTCGCAACTGTGAGCTCGGTGGTGGCTGGTTCCGGTGGGCTGGTTGCAGTGCGTGTGGTGCTGCCAGTGCTTGTGGCCGAAGTCTCTGTCGTGCTCAGCGTTGTGCTGTCAGTGCTCGTAGCCGTCTCTGTAGCCGTTACCGAAGTCTCTGTTGTGCTCAGGGTTGTGCTACCAGTGCTGGTTTCCGTCTCTGTGGCAGTCACCGAAGTCTCTGTCATGCTCAGCGTGGTGCTGATGGTGCTTGTTGCAGATGTCTCTGTGAGCGTCACCGTCGTGGTTGAGGAAGTAACACCAGACCAAGTTTTGGTACTGCTTGTGCGAGTGATCGAGGTGGCGCTCGAGCTTTGCGTTGTGCTGCTGGAAGAACTGCCCGTTGTTGTGAGCGTTGTGCTTGTGTCTGTCCGGGTCGTTGTGCCAGTCCTTGAAGAGGAAACTGTTGTGCTGCTTCCGGTCTGGGTGCTGGTCCGCGTGCTAGTACCTGTGCTGCTGGAAGAACTGCTCGTTGTTGTGAGCGTTGTGCTTGAGTCTGTCTGGGTCGTTGTGCCAGTCCTTGAAGAGGAAACTGTTGTGCTGCTTCCGGTCTGGGAGCTGGTCCGCGTGCTAGTACCTGTGCTGCTGGAAGAACTGCTCGTTGTTGTGAGCGTTGTGCTTGTGTCTGTCCGGGTCGTTGTGCCAGTCCTTGAAGAGGAAACTGTTGTGCTGCTTCCGGTCTGGGTGCTGGTCCGCGTGCTAGTACCTGTGCTGCTGGAAGAACTGCTCGTTGTTGTGAGCGTTGTGCTTGTGTCTGTCTGGGTCGTTGTGCCAGTCCTTGAAGAGGAAACTGTTGTGCTGCTTCCGGTCTGGGAGCTGGTCCGCGTGCTAGTACCTGTGCTGCTGGAAGAACTGCTCGTTGTTGTGAGCGTTGTGCTTGTGTCTGTCCGGGTCGTTGTGCCAGTCCTTGAAGAGGAAACTGTTGTGCTGCTTCCGGTCCGGGTGCTGGTGCGCGTGCTAGTACCTGTGCTGCTGGAAGAACTGCTCGTTGTTGTGAGCGTTGTGCTTGTGTCTGTCTGGGTCGTTGTGCCAGTCCTTGAAGAGGAAACTGTTGTGCTGCTTCCGGTCTGGGAGCTGGTCCGCGTGCTAGTACCTGTGCTGCTGGAAGAACTGCTCGTTGTTGTGAGCGTTGTGCTTGTGTCTGTCCGGGTCGTTGTGCCAGTCCTTGAAGAGGAAATTGTTGTGCTGCTTCCGGTCTGGGTGCTGGTCTGCGTGCTGGTAGCTGTGACGGAGCTGGTCACGGTTGTCGTGGACCCTGTGCGTGTGCTCGACCAAGTCTCTGATCCTGTTGTCGAAGATGTGGCGGTCTCGGACACCGTCGTGGTTGCTGACTTGGTCGTCGCAAGGGCCTCACTCTCTGCGGTGGTGGAGCTCAACTCGTTTGTCTCATTCTTCCACTCGGGGATCGTGATGTTGATCTCTGTCAAGTTGGAGCCAGCAGCGAAGGAGCTGAACAACTTCCCCAAGTTTGTCAGGGTGCCGTTCGGGTGGATGAGGCCGGCATCGCCATTCTCTCCGTCCACGATCGGATGGTCCCATTCATCCTTGAAGTAGCTGAACCAGGCATACATCTCCACGTCCTCATCGGCTTCGAGGAGGGGGATTGCCTCCTGCATGTACGCCATCTGGCCCTCTGCAGACAGCCGCTCTGGAGAGGCGGGGTCCGAGCATGCAATTTCCGTGACCCACATGGGCTTGCCGAAGACGCGGTAGCGGTCCAGGTGGTACTTCAGGCCGTTGGCGTAGCAGCTGAAGACGTGGAGGCTGATCGCATCAACCTTGCAGTCGGCGCAGTGGTAGAAGAACTGGTAGAGCCAGTCGATCGGATCGAAAGACCAGTGGTAGTTCATTGAGGGCGCGACAAGGGTGGTGATGTTGTTCTCTTCTGCCAGCCTCTCAAGATCTTTCCAGTAGTAGGCTGCCCAGTAGGGATGCAGGTTGGCCTGATCCGGGAAGTTGGGCTCGTTGAAGCCCAGCAGGGCCCGACTGCCCTCCGGGAGCCCGTCTTTCTGGGCGCTTTCGAGGGTACCCGACCCCCAGATCATGGGGTAGAACTCGACGCCCGCTGCCTGCCACACCTCCAGGCTGGGCCCACCTTGGAGCTTGTAATCCCAGGTGGCGCCCCAAGAGACGATGTGTGAAAGCCCAGAGAGCATCTCCGCAGTCAGCAGGTGGTTTTCGATGGCAATGCCTCGCTTCGCGGAGCGCTCCGTCTCGCCATCCTCCCGGTACTTCTCCCAAGGCCAGCAATCGGCACAAAGGTCGTTCTCCAACGCCGTCTTCACGCGAGCCTCCTGCTCTGTGAGGAGTCCTCCCTGCGGCGTCTGAAGAAAGACAATCCGCTCGCCGCATGTGTACGGCTCCCCGTCAAACGCTGCATCCTCGAACCAAACCTCCTCACAGCTGTTGCTCCGTACTCGGGTAACGGAAGTTGCAACAAGCACGATCACGAGGCTCAGGGCAGCCTGGGCCATCTCGTTGATTGGCGAACTCTGCAAAGAGGTCTCGAAATCTGCGGCGAAGATAAGACTGTGCAGCAGGGAGCCGCCGAGAGACCACTTGAGCGCGACGAGACTGGTGCTCGATCAAGCTCTGAAGAGGACTCTCAACTTCTAGGCACTTGAGCCAATGTTATCAGGTTTCAGCACTGATGCAAGCAGTCATGGCACATGCAGCTGAGCTCACGCGGCCCGTACATCGCCTCAGATTCAGAGAGAAGGCTGGACGCTGTGGGTGCTGGCGATAGAGGACCTTAGTCAGCCAGTGAATGCTTAGCTTCTGGTGCGTGGGCACTCCACTGCTCCACTCCCCAGGTCCAACTAAGCCTATAAGTTTAAAGCCTTGTGAAAGTTGTTCAAGCCACCGGATGCCAACAACATGCGAGGGAACGCATGCTGTGACATGACTTTGGAATTGGAAGGATGGACAGACCAACCGAAAAGCAATTCAAAAAAAGAGCCACACTGCAAGCCATCAAAAAACTCCGGAATTCTTGTCTTCCAAAGAGGCGGATTCCTGCCTTCCGAGCCCCAGGCCTCCAGTCTCCAGGCGCTGAGCCAAAGTGTCACGGCCAGGAGGGAAATCCAATTGTTCCGCTCCACATAGAACAGGTTCGAGGTCCTGAAATTCCACTTGGGAATCACTTGGGAATCACTTGGGAATCACTTGGGAATCACTTTAAGATTCTGAGCGATTGTGGGGCAAACAGCCCTGTAGTGCCAGGTCAGCAGAGGACTCCGCAGAGTGCACTTGTGGGGCATCCCCCTAAACCCCCTTCAACCCTTGGGAAGAGCCAGGCAACTCTCGCTCCAGGGCTCCGATCTTCTGCGTCTTTGCTTGTGCACGCTGCACACCTCAACTGAGAGGATGAGCAGCGGATGATTGGCGAGGGCTCCCGGTCAAGTCTACGGCGAGTCTACGGCCACCTGGACGCTCAGAAGGCAAGCGGCTTGCGTAGGTGATCACCAAGAGGATGCTGCAGAATGCCTTGCAGCAGCTGGTGGCTTGGGGCATCACATAGAGAGAGAGAGAGAGAGAGAGGGAGAGAGAGAGAGACCCAGAGAGAGAGAGAGAGAGACCCGGAGAGACAGGGGACGAGAGAGAGAGAGGAGTGAAGCCACGGTGCTGTCATCAAGACGGCAACGTTCAGCCGAAGGTTGCCAAGCGTCACCGGCGAAGGCGCTCGCATCACCTTCGAGGCCACCTGAGCTTCAGGGGCTTTTTGGGCCTTGTTAGGGCCTTTTTGGGGCCTTTTTGGTCCTTTGTGCGGCCTGTTGGGCCTTGAGGAGTGGCGCACATCACCCACAAAGGCAAGCCACCTGCATCAAAATGGGGACGTCGCTCAGAAACATCAGCAGTACGACGAATCCCGGCGGGATCGCCACATATGTGAAGATGCCCCAGAAGGTCGTCATCCTGGAAAGCGAACACCAAGCCACATTCTGCAGAAATACGCCCTGACGGTACTACCGAGAAGCCATGAAAAATAGCCTGAGGCTGCATTCAACTGAGGATACCACGCGTAATGGCTGTCCAGCAGTCTGCTTGCCCTACGGGCTACGAGCTTGGGCCACAAGCACCATGCCAGCTGCTGTCAAGGCAAGGGAAAAAAACCTGTCCTCCAAGAACCAGAAACCATAAAACTAAACGCTTACGCGGCCATCTGAGCCCGTTTCCACATAATATGAGCTCATACCAACCCTTTTGCAGCAGGCTTGCGTGCCACCCCTAAACCCTAAACCCTAAACCCTAAACCCTAAACCCTAAACCCTAAACCCTAAACCCTAAACCCTAAACCCTAAACCCTGAGGGAAGTATGGCCCCCGGGCGATGCGGTATCTCTCCGTCGGCTGCCCAGGCCGTCGGCACCTGCAGCAGGTTTGGAACAAGTTACTATTATTCTCCGGATCTCAACAAAAGGTCGGGGGTGAGATAATATTAAAAACCAAAATTTATGTTCTTTATTGGGTTTAAGTACCCTCAAAAATGTACATGTTGCCCAACGATGACAAAGCAAAAGTCAGGGTGCTACCGTGTCCGGCGAGTGGAGAATCTCGAACTCCCCCGAAACTCACTTTATTTCTCAGTTCTTCAGAACCTCGTATGAGGCAGGGGCCTCGGCACGAATTGGGTGAGGCTGCGTCATGGCCTCACAGGTACTTCGTGGCAAACAAGACATCGCAAGATTCAATGCTGGTATCGAGGGACATGGCGCCAGCAAGCTCCCCAAGCCAGAACTCGTCCCTTTATGTCCCTTTCGGAGGGTAGGAGTACCTTTTCAACTCGAAGCTCTCTGCCCAGAAACTCGCGCATACAGCCCGCGTCATCCCTTTAACTGCCCACCACGACTTGGGAGCAGACATGGAAGGAGGTCCCATTCTCGCTTGCCATCGCCTCAAGTTACTTTCACCACCAAGCGTCCGCACGCAAGAATCAACTCCACCAGAAACCAAGCCCAAGCATAAACGCTCCACCTCAAAACTCAAGACTCTGCCTCTCGATGCAAGACACAGGTCAGCGGAAGGCATCGTTAAAGGTTCACAACCCGCATGCAACAAGACCCCAACACTAAAACCTCGGCAACCAAAGGAAGCACACCTGCGGCCCAGCGCGTTCAACTTGAGGCGAAGACAGGCTCGACTTCCTTCTTCCAGTTCAGGTCCAGTCGCCCGGCCTCAATTCGGAGGTTCATGGTAGATCCTTACTATTTTCTGATTCTTCTTATTCTTGGTATCACGAACTGTTCTTATCTTTATTGCTTGTCTTTGTTTAGTATATAAGCCCAAGAAGAGGGCCACGTCCTGCTTCTCAAGGGGGCGCAAGGCAGCGCAAAAATGAGACGACGAAGGACAATGTCAGAGCACCGCATTTCCTCTAGCCAAAGTCGAGAAACCCAAAGGTGCCGTCTTTTCAATTGGGTTCGCCCGGCAGGGCGAGTCATTGCGGCTATTGCTCAGATTCTGCTGATGCTGTATATAGTGTGCTTGCCTGCACCACTTCAGGCACCTCATTTCCTTTAGAGTCTGGGTATGCCTGCAGGCAACGTCTTTAGGCGCATCTTTGTGTGGGACACTGTGAACAGTGCAGAAACTAACTACTGGTTTCAGGAAACCTCTCATCAGGAGCAGTATACCAGGCCGCCACACAGCAGAAGGGCCACTGGCGCCTTGCCGGCGGCTGACAAGCCAAAACAGCTCGTGTCTTTGAAGGCTTTGCAGGGCAAAAAAACACGGCTGAGCTGCACCGAGCAGCCTTCCTTGAGCCTGTGTTTGCCAAGCCCTCCGTACGCTCCGGGCACTGTCGGAGCTTGAAAAGCCTCCCAACGCCTTCTAGAAGTTTCTAGCATCTATTCGTTCGAGGATATGCATGCTGTGTACCACTCGACATTCCCAGCCCTGCGTGACCTTCCCGGCTTGCTGTCGCTGAACTTGGCCGTGCGGGCGGTGGCGCTGGGGGCGGCGGGGCCGGTGGCGCCTTCGTCGGCTGGCCCTCTCTCTCATAATGGTCGCAATAAACACACTTAGAGGTCAGGCCACGGCAATCTGAGGGGGGTTCATTCCCTTTAAGGCAATAACTAAGCTCCAGGAATAGAGCATGCGCCAAACAATGGCCACGTGCGCGTAAGCACGTACCCTTCCCTGTATGCCAATAAAAAATCCTTGGCCCTGTGCTCTCCGAGACCCCCTTTGTGCAGCAGGCTTGTCACGAATGCTGCGCAAGCTGGGGACTCCGAGTCGTGGGCCGGTGCCTTCTTGCGCAAAATGCCTTGTAGACCGGAGGCCTAGCAGAAACAGAGGGCCCATTTGAAGGGCTTGGAGAGGGCTGATGGAATTTGCTCTCAGACTGCTTGTTCGTGAACTACGCTAGAGTGGCCCAGTGGCCCAGCATCAGCACGCGTATGCATCCTACACGAGCAACATCACCACCAACACAACCTTGTGGTTTTCTGTTCTGGTTTGCGACGTTGACGTCTGCGCCGTGTTTCAGATGCTGGGTATCTTGCGAGTATTTTGATTTCATGCTGCCACCAACTTTGTCACAGTGGATGTCCGGTTGGCGAGTAGACCGTTTGTGGACTTTCGGCATTTTCGGGACTTCACACTTCCAGGCTCACAGGCTAAGTTGTTCAGGGCTTCATATGAACAATACAAAGGGTGGAGAAGCCGAGAAGCAACCCCCTTTTCTTCTGGCCTCTGGGACGATGCCCCCAAGCATCACGTTGTGACGATCTGCGCCACTGGGCTTCTCCTTATGCGCAGCATGCCTAGTGAGGCTTGGCAGTGGAAATGATGAGGCTCCGAACAGACATCCGCAATTCGCAAGCTCTCCAAGGTCTCTTCTGGGAATCCTAAGCTCACACATGCGAGGCCCAGGCGAGCCGTGATCTGTCGTGGCTCTCCTGATGCCGCGGACATCATGGAATCGCCCCTCTAGCACGAAACGCCAACTCGATGTTCAGGTCCTGGTCAAGCCAGACCAACCGCCGTGGCCTGGGCCGGGGGAAGCACGAAAACCGGTGCATCAGAGCCAGTCTCAGCATGAGGTCAGGGCAGCTGTCGGTCGGGCCCGTTGTGAAACTCTGCAAGCGGTCCCATCCTTGGCAGCTGCATCTGCTGGGACTCGAGCTGCAGTCTTGATCTTGAACCTCCTGAACCTGACACAGATCTGCATCACAGCATCTGAGGTCCCAACTGTCCGTTCAAATATGTGTTTCGGAGGAGCAGGTCCTGGGAAAGCACCGCGCTGAGTCCCAACGAACGCAGACCACCAGGGCTGTGGAGCGTCCTCTGCCTCCAAACAACTGAAGTCCGCATCGGACCAGCCTGTGCCTGAGTCTTCCCATAGCAACTCCTTTGGCACAACCCATGACTCTCTCTGTCGACTCGGCGTCTGCCTACCGACCCCTTCACGCCAGGTCAGCAATTGCCAGGGGCTGGGCTGAGTGACTGCTTCGACCTGTAGGGTGAGGGGGGAAGGCGGACCCTTTTTGGGTATCGTTTCTCCTGCGGTCTTTGCAGTGATTCCTCCTTCCGAAATGAGACTGGGGAAATCTACCCTTCGAAGCACTCCACCTTCTTGAGGCTTCAAGCCACAAAGAGGGCAAAGAATCTGACCGGCCTTTCCGCGAGCCGGCGCTCCAGTGCAGATAGCTGCCTCGGCACATCCAGTTCAGGATCCCTGTTCTACAATAGTCGATATCATATAGTGTACGACGATGTCAGAATATTATATAGCCCCAAGAAAATGTGGAATACCATCGCTGCAACTTGGAGAAGAGCAGCTCAGGGAGCTAAACACGGTCTGGCTCTTGGCCGCGGGCTGCATGAACGCAGTCTTCAAGTTCATGTCGGGCCTGCCCGCCGCAAATCCCCTCAACCCCCCACGTGCCGGGCCGTGTCCTAAAAGTGCATCGACACAGCACTAAGCTACACCGGCCACATGGTTGCCATGAGTTGCGACTCTTGGGTTCATATTGCTGGAGCATCTCTGGACATGTCTGCTGCAAGTAGCGGTGCCATGCTTCATGGATCCGCCTGCGGAAGCTGAGGAATTCCATCGTCTTGCGCAGGCCCCAACCTTGGCGTTGCCCCTTTCTGGCTGACACTCCTCATCCCATCCCTCCAACATTCAACCCGCCTTCAAAACTGTGACCTGGTGCCGGCATAAGAACTTTCGAGGGCGAGGCTGTATTTTCTCATCATGTAGGCTCCCAAAATGCAGCAGGATCTGGACTGCCCCCGCACGGAGTGGATGAGTACCTATAGAGCTGAAGGGGCCAAAATAAGCAGGTTCCGTGGGCTTTCGGGAGAGGGCCGCACCCTGGGGCCTGGGAAGCTATCGGCGCACGCTCTCTGCTGCATTCAGGGCCTCTTCAATGAAACGGAAGGACTCGGACCTGAATGCGATACAGTTGTGGATATACATGGCTGCTTGAAAGTCTGAACAGCAAGGCTTGGGACCCTTGAGCCACTTGACCACCTGAGCGCGTGGCGACACGACATCGCGTGGATCCAGGACCACCTGCACAAGGGTCAGAGCCACTCAGAGCTCCCCAAGGCCGTAGAACTTGAGCCCACCTGGCTCTCGGCATCCACCCAATAATACGTTAGATATACAACGCCGATCGACCTGGGACGTGCAGCGGGCATTCTCCAGTGTGCCACATGCAGCGTGAGACAATGCGTCGTGACCACCACCACCGTTCAAGCTGCGCTCGGAATTCCCACGAAACCGGACTCTAGGCCCGCCGGCTCCCAGTGATTTGGTACCTGTCTTCCGGCGCAATTGATCACCCGCGTCACCTTGCGCGGTCCAAGAATCGCATGCACGCCAACACCCTACTTTGCAGGATTTGTCTTCACCGTCTTCGCGGATTATCACATGATCGGAAGTGCTGCAAGCGGTTGCCTTGTTGGACACGACGAACTCAAGGTCCTGAAGCATGGTCACGGTCACACACTTAGCAAGGTCACCAGCCCGACCCCAGCGCTCTGAATGGATATTTTGGGACGCGCGCATCAGGAGTTTATCGAAACCGTGAGCAAAATTGCATTGTAGGCACCATGGCACAGCGTGTTTGCCTGCGCTTTTGTGCGAATCCGGCTTTGCGCATTTTGCCCACGGCTCCACTGGTGAGATTCTGGGGAGATGCACGCTCACAGCGCCTGTGGGGACATGAGCAACTGCTGTACATATGGCAAACATATGGCATGCTGTGCGATAGGCTGGGGGAGATGGTTGAGAAGTCTGAAGTGGCTTCGTGTGCGACCTAGGCTTGCTTTGTCAAAGTTGGCAGCCGCCACCGCCGCCACCGACGCTGCCGCAACCGCCGCTGTCGCCATGAGGTGGGCTCCTTTGCTGTTGCCAAAGAATTTTGCCATCCATGAGCAATGAGGGAAGGCATGAGCTGAACAAAGGCAAGAGCATTTGCCGCTAAGGGGCATCGGCACTGTGGGTCTGAAAACCTCACAAGGGCACCGCGGACAGAGCCCCAGGCAAGGGCGCGCTAAGCAATGTGAACTTCTAACGAACAAGAATCAAGAAGGACATCAAAGAATGCTGACTTCAAGCACAGCTAGGATAGGCAACGAACTGCTGAGGGAAAGGTGCGTCTATGCCGCTTGTGGGTGGCATGTGACGCGGCTATCCGCTAGGCCAAGCCGCCCCGCCACCAGCACCACCGCCGGCCAGGCCGCCGGCTGGTAGTCTACCAGAGCCCAGCAGTGCAGAGAGACCTGGGTTGAAGAGCTCACGAGCGTTGAAGCAAAAAAGCCGTTCCAATCCTCTCCGGGAAGTGCAGGCTCAAGGGGGGGAATCACATAAGGGCTGATGTGACCTTTTTAGGTCCTAGCTACCATGATGCTGGCCTCAGGGGGTTTCCTTCTTTGAATCCGGGTACTCCACGGAGCACGCGACTGGCACCTCAACCTGCGACCTTTAAGATCTGGCCAAAAACCCTCAGTTCTAAGGAATACGTATACTTAGTGAAACGCTCTGCCTCCAGGACTATGCAGACGGCCAAACCCTTAACACCCTGAAACCCTTGAACCCTCAGAAACCCTAAACCCTTAAACCCTCAACAACCTGACACAATCGTACACCCTTGAAACCCTTACCTCAAAGCCCGTAACCCCCAAATTTGAATGACGCCCGGGCTCTGCCACCCGGTGGACCTGGCCCAGCACTGTTGCCAAAGCCCTGATCGGGCGTTTGTTTAAGGGCTTAGGGTTTAGGGCTTAGGGTTTCGGGGGCTTAAGGCTTAGGGCTTAGGGCTTAGGGCTTAGGGCTTAGGGCTTAGGGCTTAGGGCTTAGGGCTTAGGGCTTAGGGCTTAGGGCTTAGGGCTTAGGGCTTAGGGCTTAGGGCTTAGGGTTTTGTCTCGGCCGCTTCATGTGATGTTGAGGGTCTTAAGTATGAGCTTTCGAGGGTTTACTCCGTGCTGTCTCTGTGTCTGGCTTACTGTTTGGGATGTCGGGTCCAGGGCTCGGCCCCGTGAGCCTACTACCCCAGTTGTCGGAAACCCCCACAATCCTGTCGGAAGCGCAGCCCCGCTGGCCACAGACGCGCCTGATCGGCAAAGTCCGAGCCCCCGAAGCTCCTCACCGGCCGCTGAGCCATCGGAAGCGCCTCCTTCCGGGGGGGGATCGGAGTTCCGACTGACGGCGCCCTCTCGGCCTCATTCTCTCCCAAAAGCCCTCCAGAAAAGGCAGCCCTTTGGAAGCCCGGATGTGCCGAAAGCAGTTGGGAAGCTCGGGTCCTTGGCTTCGCTGTAGGGTGAGTCGCTGAAACCACGCCGGGGTACAGCCCCCGGAGGCAAGGCCTCGTCAGCTGACAGGGGCCGGCGATCTGGGTAAAAAATTTTGCGGGGCGAGGTTGAAGGGTGTCTTTTTGCCCTTCGCCCGAGCACCGCGGGGCTGTAGGTTTTGACTCGGGCTTGTAGGCCTCTCTCGGACCTCGGACGCAGTCCTTTTTGCACCGCGGAGCGAACAGCTACAAAGCAAAACAAGATCTCTGAGACGTTGCAACCTCTCCCACATGAGGCCCCTGAGCCTGCGGAGCCCCCAGCGCGATCCGGATCAGGCAAGCAGGAGCCAAGTGCACCCAACTCACTCTCGCACCAGGCAGTCTCCCCGATTCCAACCCTGGATTCCCAATCTCTGGCTACAGCTGGAAAGTCTCAAACAAAATCCGCCCAACAAACAACTACATAAGAATACTTCAAGGCCTGCAGCTCGTCGATGCCCTTTGTCATCCCCTTGGCCCCCCCTTTTGGAGGATCCTGGGCTGTTGCTGCGCTTCTGGGGAGCACGCCATATTATTAATTAATAACTACTTCAAAGCCATGTAAGCCGAGCTGCGGAATAGCGGACGATGAGCCTCGGAGTTGTGAAATCCATGCGGCATCAGGGACTGCTTGCAAGAACAACGTGAAACTGCTCCAAGCAGCTGCAGATTGGGTGCCGTTTCCTGACCATTCAGCCTGTCTACACCTCATGGCTGGGGATCATGAGTGTGTCAGAATGGTCAGGGCACTTTTGTGACCCTTGTGCGTTCTCAAGTCACTGGGTCATAACTGCTCTGAGGATGCAACACCATATGGCCTCATCAAGGGTGTTCATCCGAACCAAGGCGACCGTGTCGCCTGGCGGGCAGCTGCTGCATCTGCTTGACATGCTTGGGAGCTCGGATTTCGTGTGATTTCGCCTTTCTTTCCATTGGTGTCCAGAACCTTGACCTTCGCCCAAGGGCAGAGGGAAGTCAGAAGCTTTGCCGCTGACACATGGCCGCGTTGGGGCACAATGTATGATGGCACGACATGCAGGCCAGCAGCAAAGGCCACTCCGGCAAACTGCCCGAAGAATGCCGTGATGGTTTCCTTACAAGCACAAGGCCATCGCTCGGCAACCTACTGGAGCCGATGCTCTGGGGCTCTTTAAAATACAATCCAGGTCACCGGGGTGCTGCCTGGCGGAAGGCCCATGACAAACAAGCTCTCTGTCGGGACATTCCTCACACGGCGGGCCCTCGCCCCTGGCCCCAACCAATGGTTTTCAGGGCTTTCGGGCCTCCTGGCTTTCAGCGAACGTCAAGGTCGGGAGAGGATTTCGGGGCTTGGTGACTTCGGGCTGGAAGAGTTGGGGCCAAATTTACGGACGGTCCATGCGCAAAGTCTGAAGCAAGGAAAGGTGCCCCTCTACAGCCAACAGGTTTAGATGTCAGATTGTAGCGTTCACGTGCGTGCGTGCGTGCGCGCATGCCGGCATGCCTGGGCGTCTGCGCGCCTGCCTGCTTGATTGCTTGCCGGCCTGCACGCTCCTTCCTGTTAATGGCGATTTGGGCACAATACAATGCACAACCGCCGCCCAATAACAAAAACAGCTGTGAGCAAAAAAAGTCTTGAGCGACACCAGATCCCACGTCATCTCGCCGCTCGAACGCAAGGCATTACTGACATTACTGTAGTCCAGCCGCTGTCTCTCCAGCATGTTCTTGACCTCTCCCTGGCGTTGCACAAACAGAGGTCTTAGATCAACACGCTCTCTCTCTCTCTCTCTCTCTCTCGTGGGCCAGCACCTTCGCGGCAGTGCTGGACGACAGAAGGGTCCGGATTTTCAGTCCCTTGTGCACGAGGCCATCCGTCATTCGTATTGCCTGAGCCATGTCCTACCAATGACAACCCCCTTATCATTCCCTTGTGGCTTCTCAAAGTGTTCATGTGAGGGTTTACGAAAACAGGGGACCCCCTAAAACAGACGAGGATTTCCATTTGAGCAGGACCCCAACAAGGCGTCCTCATTTCGGACAACCCCATGTGCAATCAGGGTGGCATGCTGCGCTTCCTCGGGGTATCTGAATCTCGCCAAGGCATAACCTTGGCACGGCAACTTGCCAAGGGAGAGAAGCGCCCGCGGCAAGGGCAGAAAGCAGGCCTTGACCATCCATCTTCCCTTCGCAGCACACCTCCGCAAGAGTGCGCGGGAACTCTCTACAGGATCTCGTGCACTCTGGGGTGAGACACGAGCCATGGAGTGTGCCAAGGCATCTCGTAGCGCCTTTATCATGGTGATCCTCCCCATGTCGGCAAAGATCTGCCGGATTGACTCCTGGACTCTGCATGATGCCATGTGAATCACGGAAGGGGCAACTTTGGAAGCTCTGCACCTTTGAAATGAGTAAGGAACGTGCCAGGCGTTATGGGACTGCGTCGCAAGCCAGGAAGAAAGAGGGACCAGGAATAGAACAACCATGACTCTCGGTCAAACCCGACTGTCTCTCTGCGAGGGTTCCCACCGACCATTACACAAGCAAGGCCAGAACAGTCCACTACTCATGCAAGGGCGGGCATCCCCAGACCACGATCAATGTGCTGAAACCAGCCCCTTCCCATCTCCCCATCTTTGAAGTGGTTGCTTTTCTGTTTCGATCTGGCTCTCACACCATGACACCATGTCAAAGCGGCCCCCAGCGACTCAACAGACGATGCAAAACGCTGCGCTTCCGGAAGGGTGTCCTCGTCGGTGTCGCCACGCAGGCCGGTGACTAAGACCTCACCTTAGGGCGTGCCGGCCCGCAGGTCAAGTTCCGAAGTGCCGAAGCCATTAGCTGAGCTCATTAGCATCCAAGCAGCTCTGATCCGCAGGGATATTCCAAGGATCGAGCTTGCCTTTCCCCTGCAGGCCCAGCATTGAGGAATGATGGCCGCAAAAGTTCGCGCTTTTGCCGCTGATATTTACGACAGCTCAATGTGATGCCATGAGCTTCATGCGCAAACGCTGTGATATGCCACGTCCGCAGCACGACATAACTACTGAGTTCCGAAGTTACTGCCTTGCCACCATCAGCTGGGAGCGGGCCGCGGTCGTTATCCGCAAGCTTGACCTTTCGGCATGCAACGGGTGTCCTGGCTTGGGGTTTCTAAGCTGCGGTTGTGGTTGTGGCGTTGTTCGTGTGTTTCTGTTTGTGCTTGCTTCTCTGCGTCTGTGTGTGGGGGTGTTCAAAGGTGTTAGTAAAAATCGATGGCCAGCTGGCCGCCCAGCCTAAATCTGGGAGAGTGTTGAGAAAAACCCGTGGCGCGATGGAGTCCCTTCACTGTGCCCCCTGAGGTCGGCGCTGAGATCACAGCTCCACCTACGTCGTACCTGATGCCACCATCCACTCATCAAGCACGGCAGGCATTCTGGGCTGACAGAGGTTGAAGAATAACGAAACCTGTTGGCAAAACTTGACTGGATTCCCGCTAGCTCCTGCACGCTCTTGCTACGGAGCGTGGGAATGGTCTGAGGCTCGGTCTCATTCAGCGACTTGATGGCGGCTGCAGCATGGGATGGATCGCCGTACCTCGGAAGCCACAACGCGCCATCGGCACGAGCGACATGCAGTGGCCACTTCCATATGCAAAAAAACGGCGCATTCCGCCATTTCCGCCATGGGGCTTGACAAAGGCATACCCGAAGCCACCCGTTCTGCGAGAAGGACAAACCTCAGATTTGCACAATAATAACCATAATCACGATAATCGCGATGAAAACAATAATAAAAAAACAATAACAATAATAGCAAGAATAACAACAACAAGGTTATGACAATAATAACAGGAACAACAGTACGAATTCTCCAAATAACGAAAATACATACTTCTTAATCCAGAGAGAGCTCCCTGAGATCCGCACTCTGGAAGACCAGATTCTCCCGAAGCGCTCAAAAAGCTGGAAGAGGTGGGCGTCGTTGAAGCCTCGGGAACGGAAGAGATTCTCGGTTTTTGCCGCCTGCCTAGCAGCCTCGCAACCACACTGCGGGGATGCAAAGTGCATATCGTGAGCGTCCCTAAAGTTGGAGGAGGGGGAAAAAACTCAGGGTTCTCTCATGAGGTCACCGTGCAGGCACGGCGATACACCAAGCACCGCGAACTCAGTTTAGGGTTTAGGGCAATGTCAGCCCATGTCTTCGCTCCAGAAGTCAAGGGCCAGTCCTGGCGGAAGGCCGGAAACATAAAGATTCCTTGGCAACAGCAAGGGGCATGTCCGCGGCCATTCGGCCACGTGCTATGAGGTCTTCACACTTCTGCAATGAATCTATCTAAGCGTGCAGATCAGCGGCATGAGTTCAAAGCGGCCCGGACCCCTGAACTGTCGAACCAACCAACCTGGGTACTCTTTCTTGCAGTATGTTGCAGCCTTGGTGCGTCCCTGCCATCGACATCCCTTTAGGGGAGCTGGACGCCTGCGTCAGATGCAGGCGTGAAAGCAAACATCTAAGGAGTTGACATAGCCGCAGCGCTGGAACCCTGAACCCTCAACCTTGAGAACATTAGCGCACGATCTACCATGCACATATTTGTGCATATATATATATATATATATATATATGTGCATATATGTACAGATATATATATAATAATAATAATAATAATAATAATAATAAATAATAATAATAATAATAAAATAATAATAAAAAATAATAATAGATATGATAATAATAATAATAATAATAATAATAATAATAATAATAATAATAATAATAATAATAATAATAATAATAATAATAATAATAATAATAATAATAAAAATAATAATAATAAGAATAATAATAATAATAATAATTATAATTATAATTATAATTATAATTATAATTATTATAATTATGATTATTATTATGTTTACAGCTCAGGCCTCGCAAGCGCTTGCCTCGCCGAGTCATAGCGGGCGGCGTTTGCGTCCGTGGCGGCTTCAGCTCCCAAACGCTGCGGAAGAAAAGGGGGGGGGGGTCTCACGAGGCTTCAGATCTAGGAGCTTAGGGGTTTTTTTCTCACCCGTTTCGCATGCGTTTACGGGGAAAGGTCGGTTGTTGAAAAGCCCAAATTCAGGATGTTCAGGTTTGAGGCTCTGGAGACTCGTCATGAGGCTGATTCGTTAGGCACTCCACACGCTTGTTAACGCAAAGCGGGCCTCTTAGGACCTACCAATACATCACCAGGATCACCCCAGCCTTATCAGCCCCATGGTTGTCACATACGACACTCACGTGGACAGGACCTCTTCACATCATAGCCTAAAGTACACCTTAGAGAGAACCCAACCGTCCCGACAGTGAGCCGTCTTCCCTCCCTCCCCTTAGGGTTTAGGGTTTAGGGCTTAGGGCTTCGGGTTTAGGGCTTAGGATTTAGGATTCCCCATAGACATAAGGATTCTGATGGATTCTGCAAACATGGTTTTCCAGAATCCCCTTGATGAATTTGTTGGTGTGGGTTTTGGGCCCCCAAATATCTAGGGGCTTCGACTCCCGCAACTAGCGCACTTAGGGGCTTAGCGTTAAGGTCTAGATCAATGTTGTACAATGACCTAGACTAAAATTCATGACGTCCAAATTGAGAAGCGGTGCTCAGTTCCTATGTCATGGGCGAGCTCGAACTCTAACCTCAAACGTCCTGGGCTGCCAGGGCGTCACCAATGAAGAGCCCATCCTGCCACAATGGCGACGACAACACAACCTTTTAGGGATTTTTTGCCACCCGACTAGCCACGGCAACGCGGGGGTACAAGGTCGGAAACTAGAAAAGAAGAACTGTCACCCCCAGGCAGTGTGTGTAACGGCCACAGGGGATATCGCCCATAAGGCATTCATGGTAGGACAATGTTATCGGCGTTTGTCTTGGGGGGGGGGGGGGGGCCCCCGCCTGGACAAAAGGGTTTAGGGCTTAGGGTTTAGGGTTTAAGGTTTAGGGTTCAGGGTGTAGGGTCCCAGTGACGCCCTAAGCGCAGCGCCTTGACCTTCACTGCTCCGAGTATCTCGTAGCCTTGGCCACAAAACAGGGGGCAGGGTCGAGCAAACAGTAAAGGGGTGGTTGTCAAAATTCTGGTCCCTTTTTGGATCCCTATTACAAGACGGCACCTAATTTTTTGGGTACCCCAAAAGGGATCATAATTTTGACAGCCACCCAAACATCAAGGATCATCAATGTAAGCGTCGAGTAAACATCATGTTTAGCGTCCAGCGCGCATCCAGTCCAAAGGCACATGCCCTCCCCGGATTATCCGCCATGCATTTTTTTGGCCGCCGCAAAACGCATTATGATTTTTTTTGTTACATGCAGCGTGACATTCCGCCATGCATTTTCCGGCCGCTGCAAATGCACAGGGCCCTCATCATTGATCGTTTCAATAATTGCACGCTTTCTGGTGCTTGCGGCTGCCGTCAAGGCTCGAGGACGTGGTGTGAGGGGCAAGGCAGTTGTCCTTCCGGAAGCCCTCCCTGCCTCGAACAAGAGAAGCCTTAAATCCTTGAAGACAATCTCAACTTTAAAAATCTAGCAAGAGAATCCCAAACCTGAAAAGAATAGCCTTGAATATCGATAGAGTGTAGTTGAGCTTACTTTTTCCCTAAACCCTAAACCCTAAACACTAACCCCTTTTTTCTAAACACTAACCCCTAAACCCCAAACCCTAAACCCTAACCCCCCTAAATCCCCTCAAGCCGAGCCCTAAGGAGTTAGCACAAACAACATAGGAAAACTAATCAGTGACTCAAGTTCACGTTTTGCATCGGATCGGCTGGATAATCATTCCAAACAGAAAAACCAAAAAAGAAACCCTGAGAAGCTTGGAAGAGAAAACATTCTAAACAGGAAAACCAAAAAGAAGCCCTAAGAAATGAGGCACACAACATGTCTAGCACTCTTAGCAACCAAAAAAACACATCTCCAGAAGTGACAAGAACATAGGAATACACAACATTCTTAACCAAAAAACGCCCTAGGCAGCAGCGAAAAAACAGAACCCTAACGAGTCGAGGAAAGAAACATCGAAAGAGACAACATTTTGACCCTAGGCAGAGAGATCCTGAAAGTCTGGGCCTTCGGGTCCTAGAAATGAAAACCCTGTTTCCTAAAGAGAACCACCCCAAAAAGAAACCTGAATGAGCTCGGAAAAAACAAGGACCCGAAAAACTACACACAGAACTAAAGCATTCTAAACAGAACAACCAAAAAGAAACCCTAAGAATGAAACAATCAAGAAAAAGGAGGGCGCACACCGGAGTCTGAACAAGGCGCTCTTTTCGACACGCGCCGGGTCCAATAAACATCATGCTCAGCGTCCAGTGCGCATCCCAGGGCGCACACTGGACGAGGAAGACCGGGGGACCCCCCAAAGAATGCACACTCGAGTCCGAACGTGATGTTTACTCGACCCCCCTTCCAGAAGCCAAAAGGGCTAAAAGGGCAACCCATTTTGTTCCATGGAGTTTTTCTCAGGAAAACCCGCATCTTGTGAAAGAAGGAGAACAGGTACCACCCAAATTCCGAGTAGCCCAGGTAAGGCTCCGAAAAGCTGACACTCTGAGCCCGTGGCCAAGACCAACACCAGACATCTGCGGGCATCTGGGCCTTCAGGAGCTGGGCCTCGGCTTTTCTTGCATACGGCGTTGAGGCTCAGTGAGTTCTGGGAGCTCCTGATGGGGGCCGATTTTTTTTAAGGAGTAGCAGCTCCTCTTTGCTGGATCCTAGGGCTTAGATACAGAAGGAAGTAGAAGGGGCTTAGATGTGGAGTTCTGACCTGTCTTGGCACCCGGCACACACGTCACTGCTGCGGGTCCGTGCGACGTAACTTGCGCTTCAGTCTACGGCTCTGGCTGCAGAACAGAAGCTTCGTGAAGCTCAGCGTACGAGCAGCTTGTTTCGTCTGGGCTTTGGGCTGACAGGTGCAGGGGCATCATGCGTGAAAGTGAGTGAGCTTCAAGCAACGAGCTAGCTGATTCGTGCTATTGCTGCAGGGATCTGACTATAGGTGCTGGGATGTGCTGATGCAACAGCTTGGAAACAATGGCGGCAAACACCTCCGGTTTGCTCGGAAAACCCCTCTGGCACAGGTGAGGTTGTTCTTCACCTGCTACCTGCTGGGAGCCACGAGGAGCAGATCGGGACCAAGCGAGGAGCCCCTGCATCGAGCGTGCTCAACCACGTGATGCTACCGCTGCACGCGCAGGCCCGTGGCTGTTTTTTGTGCACAAGTCAAGCGATTCCACCCTAAACCCTAAACCCGAAACCCTAAACCCTTTGAAATCGGCTTCGGGTCTTACACTGCAAGCCCTGCGGCAGATCCTAGGAACAATGGCGTGACTCCCCATGTCCGGCATGGCAGCACAGGCTGCTCGATTCTGCTCACTTCTTGCCAAGGGGGGGCCAGGCCAGACCTTGCGCACAATCGGCCCCAAACACGTGGGCAAGGAACGCAAGAGGCTCAACCATCGGCACGCGTCTTTTTTGCCCTGGCCACATGGACTACTCATGCTCATGGGCAGACTTGCCAGCGCGAACGGCCGCACCGACTTTGCTCTCGGCGGTCCCATCCGCATAGCGCTTGTAGGTGTCCTGGGGTTCCCTACGAGCGGGGAGAACAAACAGGAGGGAATGTGAAAATGCCCTGAACCTCCTCAGAATTTCCAGCTCTTGAGAGAAAACCAAAGACAACTGATGAGCGGCGAAAGTACAATATTATACGGGCCAGTGCATGAATATTATAAAGGCCCGTAATATTAATACTAAAACTTCGTATTCTCATGAAATCCTGTACAACATTCATGCGACTTTACAATCACAACTTCGTTCCTTTCATTAAGTTCCTAATTAACGAACTTCGTGAAGAAACTAAAAGGAAAAGAGAAGAAAGCACAAGAAATCTCATGAAGAAGCCTTTTATCATGTACAAGCGAACTCACTACTTTCGTTCTTTCTAAAACTACACCATAAAGAATATTATGTTGTAATCCCATGAAGAGAACTCGTGAAGATATTATAACTGGTGAAGGAAAAGCGAATGAAAAACCCATGAACGCAACGGGCAAAGAAGAAGCCCTCATAAAAAGACATTAGTTCATAGCCCGTTATCCGTAGCTCGGGCCTCGCATCTCCAGCTCCTGGCTTCGAGCTACAGTACCAAACCCGAACCTTTTAGACAAGGAAGAAAGGATCAAAAGCCAAGCCTCCACCAGCCTCTCTGGGTCTGGCAGCGTCTGTTGCACGGCAGGCAAGGCCAGACACGCATCCAGCCAAGCCTGCAAGGGAGCCAAGCCCGTCAGGTCGAAGGAGAAGCTCGCATCCCGATAGCGGCCGATAATCCCGCAGGTGAAGATGCCTAGGAGACGTCTGCAAAAAGATGTTCGGGGAAGTTCGAATGCGTTGCTTCCCGGCGTGAGGAATCGTGGAAGCGTTCAGACCGCACATGCACGTGCGGCTTTTCTGCAGTAGTTGGTGCTGGTAGCATGATACCCCTAGCAGGCCTAGCGGCCCAGCATCCCCCACTGCTCAGAAGCTGTCACGCCGCGCCCGTGCACCATCTCAGGCTCCAGCGGTAGCACCATGGCAGGGCGGCGATGTCAACGATGGAGAGGTCATCACCTCAAAAGGAGGCAGCGCGCTCTTCTGGCTGCTCTGGGGTCATGGGACCTTCTCACCCAGGCACCGAAGAAGAAGGGCCCCCGCAGGTTGTCCTGGCGCGCAGTCTCTGGGATTTCGATTGAGGCAAAGGCAAGCACAGTGACACACCACCATGTGCAGAGATGGCAAGAGCTGCAAGAGCCCCTCATGTGGGCCTGCAACTTCTGCAAGGCCGCTACCAGCTTCGCGTGGCCCTCTCTTCGCCTCTCGACGTCGGTCGGCACCAGTATGGCGTAGAAGTTGGAACCTGATCCAAAGCGCTGCTGTGAAGCCGACAGATGCCGACACACAAGTCGACAGAAGCGAAGCCAGGAGCAGGCAACAGGCTACACAATGCTACAGTGAGGGTCGAGACGCTGATGTTCTTGTCTGCCCAGCTGGCCCAGATTCGAGCCCTAGCACGCAGCACTGGATCCTCTGGAAGCAAAGGGCGGGGGCCAGCTCGCTTGGATTTCTCAGCGAGGTCGTCGGCAAACTCAATGCACGTAAGGGATTCGTACACGGCCGGCTGCGACTCATCTGCCCGCACCTCGGGGACTACTCGAAAAAACCCTTCTTCACCCCTATGGCCTATGTCATCTCCGAACCCCTGGCTCCCGACACTTCCGAAACTTCCCAAACTCCCAAACTCCACAAAGCACTGCCTCGACCCCTGGGCTCCAGGGCCCTTGCGATGGTGGGGACCAGGCCAGAGGGGTGGTGCTTGAGAAGAAGGGGATGCTTCTCGTAGCCCTTGGCGTCCTGAAGAGGCTCTCAAAATTTGACACGCTACGACGTTGCGGGCGAGGATTCAAGAGGACTGCAACCTTGGTAGGGAAGTTGAGATGTTTCATGTTGCCATCCACATGGCTGGGCTTCGGACGGCTTCGGAGGTTTTGGGGGGTTCGTAAGGAGAGTAAGGGTCTGTGAGGCTGTGAGGCCAGGCCATTCCCTGAACTCCTTGAGCGTCTGCCCCGGCTCAAGCTTCAGCGTCAGCGCCTCCACATATTCCTAGGGACATGCAGCTTGGACACTGAACCCGCGGTCTGAAGATGGCACTGTACACCGCTGAGGCGCATAAGGGATCTGGTGATGATTCAGCGCAATCCACGCTCGCTGCCTAGGTTCATCGCCACACGCGTTGGGAGTCTTGAGGGCCACAGATTGCTCAAAGTGAGCTGAGGATGCTGACAAGGAGCGCATATGGGCAAAACCATGCACACAGAAACTTCCACGAGGGATCTTCCTTTCGCTGGCGCTTGCTCTCAGCTCCATCCTCTGTCATCTTCGTGAGATGATGGGCCAGGCGGACAGGTCTTGTCCACGCTGGCAGCGTGGCGAGGGGACGCCAAACGGATCTACGCATCAACTGGTCAAAGCCCAAGGCGGCCCTTAAGCCAACCACCGGAGACTGTGACGTGAGTTTTTTGTCTGTCGCAGGACGACGTCACAGCTGCCTGAGGCCAGCGCGTACGTCATCATGCAAAGAGGACGGTAGCCACTTTAGATAACCTGAGCGCTCGCTGTGCTCGTCCCCTGGGTCAGGCCCTTTGTCAGGATGACCGGCCTTCTAGAAGGAACCGCCTGTCGCTCCTCCCAGAAAAGCAGCAGCCACACGGCACCATGTGAGTCCCACGTGTTTATTTAGGCTTTCTTGCAAGGGCACCCAGATGGGGGGTTGTTCATAAGGACCCCAACAAGGCACCCCAATTTCGGAAACCACCAGATTGCATTGGCCCCCTTCTGCTCCTCCACTTCGCGAGGAGTTGGCTGCGCGATCCCACCTCGGCAGCCGAGATTGTGTCTCCCGTGCATCTTTCCGTGGGCACGCAGTGCCCCGCAGAAGGAACCCTAAACCCTAAACCCTAAACCCTAAACCGTCCTGAAGCCCGAACAGGGCCCGGACTCGAAACTGCCACAGTGGGCTCACCTCAGCACGCCCGGGGCGCTTGCGCGTCACAGGAATCGGATTGTTCCCGTGGGCTGCGGACCACGGCTGACACCCTTGGATTCGTGGGAGCCTTGGACCAAGGGCTCGCTCCCCCCTACTCCGGCTATGGGCTCAGGACCCTTGCGTGCAACAGCAACGTCGGGCGTGCCAGGAGTTTGTCCTGCACTGGCTTCTGCTGCACGTATCTGAAAGCACATACTCGGACCCTAACGAAGCCGACGAGTATTTACTACAATTCCAGGGGAATCTGATGTGGAACAAGCAACATGCGCCTGGCACGGTAGACCTCGGACCACCATCCCTTCGAGCAGTGCCTGGGATTGGTTGACGCTGCGCGGGTGCTCCGCGTGGGGAACAGAGGTGCATGAAGCTTAGTCGGGAACTTTGGCAAAGACCTGCCCGGGACACGCAACACGCAAACTCGAATCCGACCTAGCAACGCAGGCCCTGAGTCTTAAGACTTAAGCATCTCTTGAGCTCAAGTTGGCGAGCCGCCTTGTAGCGAAAGTTCGACTCGGAAGGCACATCCACCTCAAAAGCGTGGATACCCCTCGAGCGGCTTAGGGATTGGATGGGCTTTTGTTTGTGCCACCCACCTGGCTGACTCAAGTGGTCGTACCACTTGCCACAACCAGCCCCCCCTCCCCCGTTGCAACCCAACGAATTACTCAAAATCCGGTACATACCGAGGTGTTTTTTGCCACCTGCCCAAGCTGAGGTGGCTTAAGGATTCGGTTTGACCCAGGACTCATGTTCATTCCCTCCTTCTCTGCCGTGCCATCCCCACAAGGTCTTGCTACGCAAGGGCACGAGAGTAGGCTAGGATCTTCATTGTGTATGAGTATTATTCATGTAGGTACCTGTTGCCGACCACTCCATCTGGTTTTGGGAAATGTGTGGGCTTGCTCAGCTTGCCAGCCTCCACTGTGGGCAGCGAGTATGCCAATGGAGCATACAACCTCAAAACACCGACGCGGCACGTACTTCTGGGTACCTACGCCGCTCTTGAGGCACAGGCGGGCTGGCAAAAGCAAGCACTTTGTCCTGCAAAGTCCACGAACTGTGAATCCCGCTTCCTGATCACCGCCACTGCCACCGGCCACACTTTCCTGCTCTGACAAGTATCGAGGTGCTGGAACAGGGAGGAACCTAGCGCAGGCGCGCAGCGGCCCGTCTTCGATGTTGCTATGGCTGCTATAGGCAGGTGGATACATGTTGATACATGTTGACAGCACAGCTTTCTCTCATATAGTTGCTCTTGGCTCCTATGATTCTCGGCTGGGGCCCAGGGCTCTCCGAGCTGTAACAAAGGGCAGCCCCCCGCAGCAGCGCGCTGGCGGCCAGGTTCCGTTTGGCTGCGCATGCGTACTCTTTGTCGAATAACCCATGCATGTTGACACAAAGGCCTTCGCGAGCTGCAGCGGGTCCACTGTGACACAGTCCCTGTCTGCGATCAGATTTCTGCTCAGCATGAACATGCGCAGCAATCGGTTCCCCAGGTTCGGCGGCTCCCTCGAGCGACCGACGTTTAGATCACATAGCTGAGGAGTCTGAGGGGCGCTATTCGAACTCTTCGTTCTCAGTCTGCCAACAAAATGCTTGGCCAAGTCCGCTACGTGGCGGCGGGCCTAGCTGTTGCTGAGTTTTCTCATCCCTTCCGAACCTTCCTAAACGCCGAAACACTCGGTTGGCCCGTGGCCACACAGCCTCATGAAGTGTTTGTGGGTGGAGATGATCTCCTGGGCGCCGGATCCCTTGACACAGGGGGTTGCCCTCAGAAATTCTGAGCCGTCAGCGTTGAAGACCAAGACGGAGGGGTGCGGCCTGGGGCCGAGACGCAACACCTTCACGTGCAAAGAAGGGGATGCCACAGGAAGGATCCAGCCTGTGCCTGAAAGCATTGGACGACGTGTGGATGAAGACGGGGCGCTCCCGACCCAAATCCGCGCAAATGTAAGCGCGGTTGCCTGACCCGAGATTCACAGATTGCAAGGTGCTGGCCAGAGACTTCGGCAACTTCGGTGGCTGTGGGCCGCGCCCAGATCCGGGCAGGACACGGCGACCCTGTCCAGCAAGCCCTCGACGATGCACTCGCCTCGGGGACCAACTGGCGCAGAAGAGTGCTCAGTAATGGCATCTGCGTTGGCAGTGCTAGCATTGCGGTTTGATCTGCTGCTCTCATGCACAAGACGGCCTCATGGCCTGACTATGTCTGGCAGATATCTGGCATAGGCGCCAGGCGAAGGAGCAAAGCCTGCGGACGCCAAGCTTCAGTGTCCAGAAACTAAATGCCTCCGACTTTGACAGAAACCGACGAACCTGCCGCGCACTGGGTGGCTTTGGAAGCAGCGGCAGCTGCAGTTCCAGATCTGTTTCCCTGCAACTCTGCGACGACGAACACTGCGCATGTGTCGCACACATTGCCGCATTGCACATCTCCTACGGATTCCTAGATTGGCTGAGTCGTCCACGACAAGGAGAGCCTGCGCCTCACTACATGGGCACGTCGGAATTGGCACTTTCATCCAGGGGTTGCAACGCACTTGCTACCACCTGCTGGCCGAGAGGAGCAGGTCACGCACTACTGTAGATTGCACTTTAGGGTTCGAACTGCAGTAACTCGGCCAGTTGCTGCATCAGGCTATGGGCCTCGGCTTGCACATGACATCAGGCACAATGAAGGAATCGTCGTTGAACAGTCGCATATGGGGGGTTTCCGATATTGGTGGGGGTACCTTCTTGGGGTCCTTTTATAAGGGAATCCTACTTTCTGGGGTCTATTCTAGGGGTCCCCTATTTTCGTAAAACCCCATATGACAGTAGTCACTTACTTGTCGACGTGCCTCTGCCATCTGGCGAGGGTTGATCTTGTTCTGCTGGCAGAATGACTCGGCAGCCTGGGCAATCTATGGCACTCTGCATCCCAAGTCACAGGTCTTTCGTCCATTCAATTCCATTCACAAATCCTTCAAACTCACAGGTCACATCACGCATCCTCGCCGGGCAGCAGCCTCTCCGCCTCTTGCGGCCCAGGCATAGCCACCTTTCATGCTGCGACCATGAGAGAAGGTGGCGCAGCTGCTGCGTTCGTCTAAGGCGTTTGAAGCCGCTATGACCTACCAACCTGTGTCAACATCTAGCAGCCAGGAACAGGAAGGGGGACAAAAGCTTCCAGGCCGGACAGCCAGGATCCATGACATTCCGGTTACCGAGCAAATGCTTGGCCCGCCACCCATCAGCCACAGCAAGCCCTCGGCATCATCCCGCAACTGGCTCCTTGCAGCTGTTCAACTGCAGGAATGCTTTAGGAGAATGCTGTTGCTCTAGCTGGTTCTAGCTTCTAAGGGCCCCTACAGGCCCTTTTGAGAGTTCTGCCTGCGCAAAGTCGAAACCCTTAAAACAGGCATGCCAAAAAACCCTATCTTGGAACAACCTGACGGCTAGTCCTTTGTGAGGATCAGCTCTTGCTCTAGGATGGCCCTTATACAAAGCCCTCTGAGAAATATTCCTGAACATGAAGATGATCCTCCTAAACCTACGAAGGGAAAAATCGAGAATGTCCCAAGGACCCACCTTAGGTGGTGCTGTAAGGCCCGGGCCACTTCGGGGCCTCCTTCTTGGTGGCCTCGTCCAGTCGCCTCTGGGCCTGCCGCTGTGCCAGAAGTTTACGCTAATTGGGGGGGGGGGGGGGGGGGGTGGGTGCCCTTTTTTGGGGGTCCTTCTGAACAAGGGGGTCCTAGGATTTTGGGGGGTCTGTCTTCGGGGTCCCTTATGATCGTAAACCCCCCCATATCTGATGTGGTATGTGGAGGTTGCTTTAACTATTAGAGGGCGGGGGAGGGGGACTCAGTGTTAAAACGACCCTCAGGCGATGTCGCCTCTGGAGGCAGTGTCTGTGGCGCGGCAGGCTCTTTGACTCCCACATGCTGGCGCTCCGTCTCGGCACTCACCGGCTTCGGCGGGGCCATGCCATGGGTGGACGAGCCAACCACCGACTCCCACACCTCAAGACCCCAGTGAAACCAGTTGACCCCACCTCGGGTTTGAGGGCTTCGGAGAGCAAGACCCCACGTCTGAACATGCTTGGGATTTCCGGTGAGGCTTCCATATACTTCACTTCCTTATGGGTTCAGGGTAAAGTTTACGGCACGTTGAATAAAGTGCCCGTACCTGACGGAGCCTGAAGCCCGGAGCCCTGCCAAAAAAGCAAGCGACGCCCGCGCACGGGGCGCTCAGCTCCTGCTCCGTTTCGTGTCCAATTCCCTCGGCGACCAGGTGATGACCATGTGATGACCACGTGATGACCATGTGATGACGATATGATGGCTGCGATGAGACATCGGCCCCGAAAGTCGCAAGGAACACGAAACCATGCGAGTCCAAGGAATCAAGATTATATATATATATATATATATATTTATTTATTTATTTATTCATTTATTATTATTATTACTATTATTATCATTCCTACTATTATTATTATTATTAGTATTACTATTATTAGTTTGATTATTATTGCTATTAATATTAATATGAATATTAATATTAATATTAGCATTAATATGAATATTAATATTAATATTAATATTAATATTCATATTAATATTCATATTAATATTAATATTAATTTTAATTTTAATTTTAATATTATTGTTATTGTTATTATTAATATTTTATATTTTTTTATTATTCATATTATATATGCATTTGTATTTGTATATAGATTGTTTGTCTCAAGATGTATTGATATTCGAGTCTCTGAGTGGAATCTTGGGCATCGGCCAACGGTTCTCACGTCAGGCCGAGTCTCGCCGGAGATGGTGGCAGCCACCTGCTCTCTCTTGCTCTTTTTTCTTCTTTTTTTTTGTTTTGGGGGGGGGGGGGGGGGGTTGTTGCCTCATGGCCTTATGGTTCTCTAGCTGATGGAGGTCATGAATCACCCTCCCCTCGCCCGCAGGTGCCCTTGGGCTTTTGCAGCGCACTGCGGCGCTCATAAACCGGGGGGGACTGTGCCCGACTGCACCTTTTGCTGCAGCCTTTGGGGGTGAATCTGGGGTGAAAAGCTCGAGCTGCTCCGTTTTATAAATGCTCCCGTCAGGCAGCTTGCAAGGCCCGATAGCGAGACACAATCACGGCCACGTCATAAACTCCGCGTGTCCAGGAACACAGGCTCGCAGCGGCTCTTGAGATATTTTTTACCTGCCCAGGAAGCAGATCAGGATTGGCGATGTACCAGTGGACTTGAGCTAGCACCTCCGGCGACACCCGATGCGCATCGAGTTGCAGGAGCTTCGTGAGGAAAAGCTTATCATCCATCATGGCACGCAAGCTTTTCCAGCTGTCGAACGGGTGCGCCATCAAAAGCGCGACAGCTTCCATGACAAGCTGAATGGCCCTGGGTGGTTTGTTGAGGGCCCTGACTTCAGCAACGTCTGCCTTGCTCAGATAGTCTAAGGATCGAGTGGCCTCGGTCAGCATACGCCTCAGTTCTCCTTGCAATTCATCGCTGCCGTTCGGGAGATCGAGACGCTTTCCCGCTGTCTCTAGAAAAGCCTCCGCCGTGTCGACCGTGTACTGAATCTGGCCCTCCTGGCTGTCGTCGAGAACCCCCAAAGACTCCAGCGTCGCGGTGTAGTGCTCCATGGGTTCCATTGCCTCGCCGGCAAAGAGGGTGATGGTGCCTACATCGCTCGGAAGCAGGGGCCTCATGCGATCCGCGATGTCCTTGTAGGTCCAGGCGGGCAAAGCACCTTTCAAGGTGGCGAAGACCTCTCCTGAAAGCACGGACTGCAACTGAAGGCGCCCCTTCGGCTCCTCGGAAACCGGAGAGGCCGGAGTTTCGAGAACTTTGGCTTCTGACCGAAGCTTTTCCGTCTTCTCCCTGGCCATCCTCTCACGCTCTTCCCTGGCCTCCTGGGCCTTTTCCTGCGCATCCTGGAGGTGCTCCTCCGTCATGGGAAATGTGGGCGGCGGACAGCCGCAGGCATCTCCCAACGCATGGCACCAGCGCAGGAGCAACACGCAGGCGGGCGAGAACTGGGCCATGAACTCGCTGCGCAGCGAGGTCACTTCTAACTCTGCGTGGAGAATGTCGCGGATACGATGCTTGTCACTATCCTCCGGCTCGAAGGCCTGCAGCTTAGAGATAAGGTCTACATCTGCCCGCAGAAGCTCTGACATCTGCTGCCAGCTTTCCGCATCAACCCCTGGACTCGTGGACTTCAAGATGCCCTCGAACAGCGTCTTGACGTACCACGGCACCGGACCACTCAAAACATTGTCGAGATCTTTCCGAGTGACGAAGTCCAGGTTCGATCTGGCCCTGGACAGTGGCGTGCCTGTAGAGGCCATCGCGGAGCACACGGCTTCCTAAGGAGGGCTCCTTCTGAATGATGAACTAATTATGACTCAAAAGCAACGTGCTTGGGCCACACGACCTCGGCACATCAGCGCACTGCACATGTATGCACAAGACCTTGCGGGCCCAAGAAACCCAACATCAGAGCCGCGCTGGCGGCCTCTGCCGCGAGTCGCGCCAAGCCATCAAGCGGAGGTCGGTCTATTCACACGGAAGACAAGGTCTCAGCTATTTTGCGGGAAGACCGCATGCCAATACAAAGCCATCACGGTACCGAAGCGGCTGTGCACGATTTGGGCCCAGACAGACTTGCTGCGGGGGGGAACTCTTGCAGTGCTTGACAAAAGGTTTGATCATGTTTGATCTCGAATGGTCATAGAGGAGCACAGAGTCGTGCCTGCACAACCCGGTCAGACAGTTTCCCTACCTCAATAATAGAATAAAACTATAATAATAATAATACTAATAATAGTAATAAAAACAACAATCATGATATGAATTATTAATAATAATAATAGTAATAATAATGATGATGATACAATAGTAATAGGAATTCACCTCAGCACAAGAACATCGGCTGCCTCTCTTTGGGCACGCACAAGCTCGCTCTCCAGCGTGGAACTTGTGCCTGGCAGCCAGCTCAGCGTCTCGAGGTGTCCCAAACTCACATTAGGTACCATTCTGCCTGCAGAGCTGCTATGCACAAGTTTCAAGTATCTTGCCACGAACTTGGACCTAAGGTGACCTGTTCGTGTTGTATGTGGGTCGTGCTGATCACGCGACTACCTGGTTATAAGGCTGCAGACCGCAAGCACGCACAACCAGAAACTACAAACCTGCAGTCGGACCTTGCGCATCCCACTCCTGCGCAGACTCCCAGCATGTGAGATTCCCAACCTAGTCAGGTCAGCTCACTTACATTGGACAGCTGGAGTGATACCAGCAACTCTCATATTCGGCCCACGATGATCACTAGGCACGTGGCGGAAAGAGCTGCGACGATCGCACACGCATGCCCAATAATATGGTCTGCCTGCATGCCCAGTTTTGCACTTGGTCGGCTTCTGCGCTAGCTGCTAGCTTCTCATTACATTGCCCAACTCTGCAACAAAAAAGTTCGCGCAATCGAAACCATCACCAGGAGACACAGATACCAACATGTGCCAACCCATGTGCGGTGCGCTGCATACAATTTCAGGTTGGATGGCACTATGCTTTTTGGCAGGTCTGACGCTCTTCTTGCGTGAGAAAGCCTTGCCATGGCATGCCACGACTTGTATTGCAAGGCCCACGTGCTCATGATGACCATCATGCATCACCAAAGTGGTCTCAGGCGTCTGTACAATCTGACAACCACCCTGCAAACCTGTTTCCAGGCATGGAGGACTAAGATACGACGATGCCTGTCTGCATCATCCATGTCCTCCAATTCACCAATAGCCGCGATCATAGCCTCCAGCAAGAATTGCCTGCGACTTTGCACCCGAATGTCTTCCACGCGCCAAGGCTGCTGCTGGAGATTCCTCCCAGAGATCCCTGCCAGAATTGAAGACGGTGTGGGCGAGTGGGACATCTGTTCGGACGTCACGGTCATGACGCACGCTTGGTCGTTGCACGGGTCTCTGCGGCACAGGCCTCAAGCCAGCTGAGCGAGCGATGGGCCTCTGAGGATTCTCTGTGCTCCCAGCCCTCCCAGCCCTCCCAGCCCTCCCAGCCCTCCCAGCCGTTTGTGCGTCCCCACGAACCGGTCCAGCCACAGCTTGTGGCCTAGCGGGGTTCGGGCTCGAGTTCTGGGCGTGGTTGTTGGGGGGCTTCCTGGGTCTCGGAAGAGCCCTGGACTTGGCGGCAGCAGCCGCCTGGCGATTGGCAGACAGCTGCTGGGCCGAGGGCGCCTTGCTTCGGCTGGAGGGCCGTGACTTTCGCCCAGACCGGCTTGCAGCCCTCTTCCGGTCGGCGGATGCCAGGTTGGGGTTCCTTGCGAATGCACAACACATGCGCCGACATCTTCCCACGCGTGATGAACACCATGGAAGAAAGGGCCACACATGCCCACACGCAACAAGGGACAACAACCAGAAACTTACAGAAACTGCCTAGGTGCTGTCGGAGCAAGTCGGCAGCGCGTCGACGTTCCGGGCAGTCTACACCTCCGGTGACACCAGCGCGTGCGAAGATGCGCGAAGCTCTTCAAGGCCCTAGTGAGGGTGTACTCAGGGCCGAGGATCCTAGGACCTCAAGCCTTCAAAGGAACGCCTACAGACTTTGTCCCGGAAACTCGACGCATGAGGCATAACATCTGAAACATCCCCAGCACCTGGTCCTGCAAGGGCGAGGCCGCGGCAAAGGAGCCAATGCGCAAACTCGTCGAACAAGACCATGCCTGATGAATCGCGCAACTTGGGGAGGGGGAGGAAGGGGAGGGAGGGGGTCGAGGCGTTGTGCCTGCTTTGCTCCCTTTCTGGGACTGGCCTCCTCCATCGACATCGAGCTCCTTGAAGGCGGCGGTCACGTCATCATCGAGGTTTCCAGGCAGCCGGGCACGCAGCTGTGGCAGAGCAGCCCGGAACTCCTTCGGGAAGCGCCCAGGTGCCAAGGTGCTCACCCCAATGTCTCGGACATGGGGAAGAGCTAGACGGATGTGTGATGATTGAGGCCTTGAACCACACACGGTCTGCTAAACAGGTAGCAGTCCAAAAGTGCACTACGTCCCAAGAACCCTCTACAACAGATGAATGATGAGGCTGTTCGATCTTGAAGTCCTCGAGGCTGACTCGTTGATCACAGCTGGTGTCGACCTGACCAACTCACTCAAACCAAAGCAAGCCAAGCCCCTGCAATCCCATCTCTACTACTGCCTCACAGAACCATGACCACAGCTGTAAGTAGTGGTGCAGGTACTGCACAAAGTAGTGGAACTCCTTTTGGTCGATGTAGTCATTGCCTGAGGTGCGCATGTCTACGCAACGCAGCTGTTCGAAGGCGCTAGTCTTCTGGGGCGCGGCGTTTGAAGTTGACCGGCGAATTGTATCGTGTTCCTTCTCTGTTCCTTTTGCTTTGATGTACTATCCTCAATATCAAGACTTTCACCAAAAACCCTCTCATTCTTCACAGAAGTTAGGGCTGGCTTAAGGTTCTTCGCCGAGTTGACAAGGGGCTTCGCGGCAATAAAAGCAGCAGTAAGACGCAGGCAGATGCAATGACTATCCTTTGTGTTCGACGGGTTGGTCGGCCTGTGTAAGGTGCCTGTTACAATGCTTGGGAGATTGGACTTCCGGTTTGAGACATGGGTCTGAAGCCTGCCACTGGAGGCGAGATTGCTTTGGCCGCATGGAACGCACGGGCCACCACCTGCAAGGGTGCATTCTTTTCTTGTGGGAGGGCTGGAGAGAAGGGGTATCTGCACAGGACCGTGCTTTTGCAAACTGGCGACCGACCTGTTGTGGCAACGGGTGCGGATGCAGCAGCTTGTGCAGCCCATCGTCAACCTCTGCCAGTGACAGGATGCCGTTGCCTGGGACATGGGTGCTTTCCTCAAAGCCACTCGACTCCATGACACTTGTTGCCCAGCGATGTGACGTGACAGATTCTTGCCGGGGCACCGTTCGGGTCGAAGCTGAGGAAAAGCTCCTCACGCTGGGAAGCTGCAGCCTTCGCCCAGATACAGCTCACTTTTGACCAATCGGGGAACTCCGCTGAATTAAAACACCCCAAATATGGGATGTTCTAGTCTACATGTGAGTCTTGTATAATGACAGGGTGACTATGGCTGTAGTCTACCTGTGTGCTGCGGTGTCATACGGCATGCTACGACATGTGCCGGTTCTAGAAGGGAAACCACAAGCGACTCGCTCCTGCCTCGTCCTGCCCGCATGGGAGCTCAGCCGCAAGTGTCTGCATGTCTTCGCTTCCAGGCATCTGCGTTGCTGCCATGGCTCTGGGCACTGGCAGGAACGAGAGAGCTGGTGGAAACAAGCCATTCATTCGGCCTCCGGGCCTTTGGGAGCTTGGTTATCACTTGCCCATGTTTGGTAAGCACTGAGATGACCAACAACCAACACACTCGCCAGGCAGGCTGCTACTGAGGCCAGCACCTTCTTCTGAGGGCGGCACACAACGAAGGCACAACACCACACAGCACTGGGTTCACGACTAAGCTCACTGGGCAGCAAGCTCTATATAGAAAGCACTGCTTCTGCTGGATTACTTCATCAATGTCCCTACCACTTGTCGAAAGCTTTTCAGCTTGACCATGAAGTGGCAGGATCTGGCGATGTGCGACCGCAACTCCGGGAGAGTGCAGGAGTATCCTGGGAGTATCCTGGGAGTGTCAGGCCAGAGCCTTGAGTTCCGCGCTGGCTGTGATTGCTGCCAGCATCATGCGGGCATATCTCGGGGCCTGAGGCGGGACACAGTGGAGAGCCCCTGTCTGGCTGGAGTCTGGCTGGAGTCTGAGTCTTGCTGACAAGCGGCCACAGGCAGCGCTGCTAAGCCTGCGCACCCCCCGAAGCCCCAGTCGTGGCTGGTGCTCTCTCTGGTTTTGAGGGCATTCTCCCTCTCGCCGTTGCTTCCCGCCAATCACTGAGGGCCGATCGGTACCCCAGCTTTGTGCACCTCGCAAATCAGACCACACAGGAGGTGACAGGAGGTGACAAGCTTTTGCAGAGCCCTACCCAGCCTCACCGCTGCGGAGCTGGCCCGGGAGCCTCTACACAACGACGCAAGGGCCGCGGTGCTGCAGCCGCACATGGTGGTGCATAGCATCCAAGTGCCCTGCCCTCCGTGTTGCTGCCTGCCAGGACACACATGAAGCCATTGCTTGAAACCGAGGACCCCAAATCCAATCCTGGGATTGGAAGAGAAGAGAAGACCCACAAGCAGTTGGCAATATGTTGACCACAACTAGGTCGGCTAGGTTCAGAAGCCGTCGAAAGGCCCATCGCACGAGGCTCGGGCCATCATCCTCGATCGCTCCAATAGCACGGAGCCTGCGAATTGCAGCCTTGGCGACAGACCCCCTTAGCCTTTGCATGGACTCACAGAAGTATCCATTGCAGTATGCCTATACGAACTTCTTGCTTCTAGGAAGCTATGAATAATCTCGCAGTAGATGCTAGCAACTTAAGCAGTTGGCTTTAGAGAGATTTTCGTAAGAGCATGTCGGAGTGCCCCAGGTGCATTCTGTGCTGCTGAGCTCATAGCGGCAACTGCATCACTTGGGGGTGGCGTCGGCCTTCGATGCAAAGCCGACGCACTTACGGGCTTCTTTCAATGCTTTGAGATCCGGGAGCTTGGCCAAGGGAAAACGTCCAACCGTGGCACGCCGAGGAAAGCTAACAGCAACCTCACACAAAGCAAGCATGTTTGCTCAGCTTCTGCATTGACAGTGAGCACGGGCATGCACGGACTGCACCGGAGGCGATGCATCCCACAAGAAACAAGCACAACCTATGCCATCAACGTGACCAGAGCCACAAAGTCGCTTCAGCCTACACCACCCCTGCATCGATCTTCTGTCGCGTCTTTTCCTTGACCTCCAGTTCGTAGCATCGCAGTGCAGGTGCGAGCCTCTGTCAAGAGGCTGGCTGGACACATCAGAAGGCCCCACGGCCCCACAATCCTGTAGTAAACTTTTCTTGATGCCGGTTGAGCTCAAAATACGTCGCGATTGGCATATCATGGGCTGCTCACTGCAGGTAGCAACTCCATGGCCACATAACATATCGCCATAAGACCTGCGCAGATTCACGCGCAGACTTCATCATCACAAGCCGAGGAAAGCCCCCCGATGCTACACGAGAGATGCTAGCATAGGGACATCCGCGCCTGCGTCTACTTTTGGGCCCACGCTGAGCTTCAGCTGCGGGATTCCTCCAACAACAAACCACGGCCCATGCAATATCTTTGACATATGTGCTTATATATATACACATAAAATGACACGAATGTATGCGCATGTGTGCACGTAGTGTTTTTCGCGTGCAGACACCAGTATGTTATGAATACATTGCGCATAGCGCATATTAGTTACAGCATGTACTTGTCAACTTATTTTAGCTGAGTCGCCGTTGCTGTCGGGCGCAGCAGACTCTGAATACGCCAAGAGCTTTCCATCATCATCAGTCGCATTGATGCTCGTCCGAAGGTTTCCTTGAAATCCTGGGCACGTTCCCATCTTTGCTTTGGGGCCTTTCCGCCTGGCATTTGACCCCAATGAATTCCCAGCATCCATAATCATCCATACAAATGTCATAGAAACCCATACAGACTATACAGCAACCCCTTGAAGTATCGTATCGCTTGTGTGGCCTAGTAGCGGAATGGGCGACGGTTGTCGGCCGTCAGCGTGAATCCAGCACCCAACGCCTTAAGAGTCGCCTGGCGTTCACCATAGGCCTGCAACTCACACAAAAGGCCGGTCAGCGCAACACAGGTGGGTTCAGGGTTTAGGGTTCAGGGTTCAGGGTTTAGGGTTTAGGGTTTTGGGTTTAGGGTTTTGGGTTTTGGGTTGAGGGATTAGGGTTTTAGGGGGCAGGTTCGCCAGCCTTGCCATCGCTCAGAACAAGTCCCGCCGAGGATGCGCGGCAAGTGCAGAACCTTGTCTCTTGGCAACGAAAGGCACCAGGCAGAAAGCATGAAGACGATGGAAGTGCATGGAAGGATGAACTTCCGAGCAAGCGGCTTCGTGTCCTGCCCCGGACTCCACACGATGAGCCTTCAACAGAGAGGTTTATGCCGGGGCCCGCTACGGCACTATACAAGAGACAATAAGTCGCATGGCCTGGTGCCATCTTTGCTTTGACCGAAGGGGAGGACTTCCAGAAGAAAGATCTGTCCGCCCTTCATGTCCGACACTTGCACCTTTGACCCCCTGTTGGCCAGGCTGCTGACCTGGGGCACCAGCAGATTGCACTCGACCTTCTCCGGGACCACCAGCTGAGGGCAAAGGCAAATTAGGGGGCTCTGGCCCGAGCTCCGTGCTTGGGGGCTGAGCTCCGGAGGTCGGGCCGTTCTGGCCGCCTTCTTCTGCGTCGTGCTGGCACTTGATGCACTTGCCGTGATGGTGTAGGAGGAGGTCAAAGATGAGGAGGAAGGCTTGACCAGGAAGGCATCGTCTTCTGCGCGTCGGGAGAGGGCACAGAAGCTGAGAACTGCGAGCAGAATCCCAAAGGCCACAAGATAGGGCATGGAGGTGGCTGTATCTTCGGGGGCAACACCAATGAGCGCAGCGGCAACATGTTGAGCAAACAGGGAGCCCTCGTCCAGTGGTCTCTTTGGTTTTGCCCCTGAGCTCTGGCTCTCGTTCAGGCTGTGCCTCAGCTACTGCCCTTCTTATATTCACAGGCAGAAGACCACCCAGCGCCTATTCCGCTTGATACCCCCCCCCCCGCAGCTGAGTAGCTCTTCACCCACCTTCAAGAGCACCTTTGCGGCGGTATGATTTCGCTGAACGAGGCTGCGGCACGGTGCGCCAAGTGTCCTCAGCTGCAGGAAAGGGAGCCGGGGCATGCTACGATGTAGCGCGGCCCAAGGCCCAAGATGCACGTCAAGGCAGCCAAGCTTCTGCGCATCACAAGCCTCCTGGCTGGCGGCCGCGAGGTAGAGAAGCAGTGGCACAAGTAGTGGCGTTGGTACGATAACAGGCCTAGGGTGGGCTCATAGCGCGATGTGTGGTGCCGATTGATGCATCTCGTCCTCACACATGCGTTGCGTAGCCACGGGGCATCGTGGATCAAGAATATGAACTGATTGGTAAGGTGCCTGAGCAACTTGAACGCCATGCGAGCCAAGGTTGGCCGTGGGTTTACTGCTGCATTCCAAAGCACCATCACAGGTTGAGGCACCCCCTAACTAACCACCCTTTGATCCCAGGTATTCACGCTTGGGAACGGCAGCCAGGATAAGGTTGGCGCTGCCAGGGCCGCCATGAAAGCAAGGCTGAGCCAAAGGAGGCCACGAGATGGAAACTCCAAGCGAAAGCTGAAAAGATTAACAAATAAGCATAAAATAAAAAAACGAATAAGAGTAATCACAATAACAATAACAATAATAATAATAATAATAATACTAATAGTACTAATACTACTAAAAAAATCATAATAATAATAATAATAAAGAAGTCCAACTTCTTTGCCACCTGCCTCACAGCCTCGTACCACACCGCAGTCTAGAAGGGCTCTACGGTTGGGGCGGCTTCAAGGTTTCAACTTTGGGGAGCTCGCAGGGTGGCACAAAACACACCTGGGGCTCCGGGCAGCACGGGATCCATGGGTGTGTGTAGCATTGGGATGGGCCTTCAGAGATATGGACAGTTGGTTGAAAATGACCTGGGCAGGCAAAGGGGGTCCCTGCGCAAACTTTGCGAAGTAGTTCTCGTAGGCAGCCGAGGAGTAGAGGCCTTGGGACACGGCGCAAGGGACTCGCGCCTGCCCTGCATCAGAGCTTGCTTGCATTCCGGGCTTCCAGCGATAGGTGTGGCCAGGACCCAACCGGCCAGCCTTAGTTCTGGCAACGGGAGGGGGGGCAAGGCACAGAACTTGCATGACAACAGCCCTGGCATTGCACGCAGGCTCTTTTTCAGTGACAATGCTCCAACTTCTTGCTTACCGTGACGGGTCAAGGCTGCTGGGTGGGAACTGCTCTGCGATAGCGCGAGGTCAGCCACGGGCTCGGGATGACTCAGGGGATGGCGGCCGGCAGGTCCCGTATGATTTGGCGATGAAGATGCAGGACGACTCGGACTCGACTCGAAGGGCGGTTCCCACACCTCTGCCATGACACCAGCACCCGGAACCACCCGGCAGCATGGTCTAACATTCCAACTTGGCCTTTCCAGTCAACGATATCCTGCATAGAGCTCTTCCTGGAGCTTGTTTGCCACTGACAAGGGCACCGCCGCGGTGAAACTGTCCAGCAACCGGCTGTCTACTTCAATGCCCTGTCTGACAAGAGTACGGAAGGCCACACACGCCCAAGTAGTATCCTTGCCCCTGTTGCAAGCCTGCAGCATGCCGGTCCAGATGTAATGGTTTGGCTGCACTCCTGCTTCCTGCATGCGAGCAATGACATCGGCTGCGGCATCCACGCGAGCCAACTTAGCATAGACGCCGATGAGCGCGTGGTAGCTGTGCTCGTCAGGCCTCAGGCCTTGCTGGGAGATCTGCCTCAAGACTGCTTCGGCCGAATCCGCATCTCCTGCTTTGATGCAGGCCTGGAGTAAGACATTATAGAGTGTCACGTCCGGCATCAAGCCAGTGGCCACTGCCTCCTCGACCAGACTCATGGCGTCAGCCAGGCGACTTTGATGGCCCAGGCCTTGGATAATCGGAGTGTAGGTTTGCGCGGTTGGCTTCAGGTCCAGCTCCTTGATCATTTGCAGATAGTAGAGTGCAGCATCTACGTCTCCACTCCTGGCATTGGAGTTGATCAGGTTGTTCATGGCAATGACATCAGGCTGCACTTTGTCCGCGAGCATCTTGTCAAAGACCTTCCTGGCTCCTTTAGAGTCCGTGGCTCGGGCGCACGCGAGCAGGACATTTGTGTAGGCGGTGACATCTGGCGAGATTTTTTGCGAGCGCATGGTCTCCAGCCACGCCAGCGCCCCCTGCACATCTCCCTGCTCCGCACAAACTTGCACAATTGGTGTGAATGACAAGGCATCGAGTTGGACCTGCGACTTGCCTGCACCATGCAGGTGCAGCCGGGCCTTATCCACTTGATGGCTCCGGCAATAGGCGGAAATCACCGCATTATGCGCGACGACATCAGGTTCCAGCCCGGCAGCCGTCATGGAGCTCAGCAACTGCAGGCAGTTCTCGGCAGCCCCATGTTGGGCCGACCGTGCCATGGCGCTCATCAGCGCAGTGTAGGACGTGAGATCCGGTTGGAATCCCTCGGCCCGTGCTCTTTCAAACCACAGTCGCGCACCTCCGGGATCTTTTGCCCGGGCAAAGGCATCAACAACTGTATTGAAGTCCACCAGATTGACCTCACCACACCGTCGAAGCTTCTCTTGAAAGCTCTTGCTGGCCAAAGCCGGGGAGTTGGCCTTGGCGTAGGCGTTGATGATCATGCTGAGGACCATGGGGTCACTGACCGAGAAGCGATCTTCCAACTTCGAAAGCCAAGCCTTTGCCGAGTCTGGCTTGCCAGCAGAGGCGGCCGCCTCCACCAACTTCCCGTACATCTTCGGTGTTTCTTCAAGACCTGCCTCTGGATATGTGTTGAACCAGCGAATGGCGCCGTCCAGGTCTCCGGCATTTGCAAAGGCTCCCAACACAGTGTTGCGGATGTAGGTCTTCTGCTGCAAACTTGGCGGCATCTCTTTGAACAGCGCCACAGCTTCCTCGGCACGGCCCTGCTGATACAGCACATACAGCTCATCAGTGGTAGATGACACTGTGCGAGCCCGGCCGGCTGTGCGGTATATGCCCCTCCGCCATGCTTTCACAAAGGCAGGGCCAGCTACAAGCCAAAGCCCTGGTCTCGACAATCTGAAAGCTGCTCGACGAGCGCTGCGGTCACCAGTGGAGCCGCATGGGCTCAGGTAGCGAGGCCTTGGAGCAAGATGACCTGCACCTGCCTTGCTGCCGGTCCCAGCTGCCGCATGCATCTTGCGCTCGTGGCAGAACTTCTCTACAACACACAACGCACCACAACGTACGACAATGCACGACTGTAGTGGATTAGTGGCTTGTACAGGAGGAGTAGAACCGGTTCGATTATTGCAAGGCCCTGATCCTGCTGCAGTATCAGAATTCTGTGTCGGTTACCTGGTCTGCTGAGGGCCGAAATCTCTGAAGGCAAGGAATCCGGGCAAAGCATGGTGCTAACATCCCACAAATATGCGGCGTGATGCTCTCAAGTTCCTCACGCGCCCTGCACGCTGGTCCGCCGAGGCCTTCGAAATCCTGTCCCAAATTGGGGCGAGGCCGGAATTCGCTTTACACGAGAGCGAGAGAAGGAGAACTCTAAAATTATCACTTCGAACACCCCTGTCCCGAGAGCTCCCACTGCACGGACTTTCCATGCTGATTCAAAGTTTCTGGTCCGATGGAACCCGTTAACCACACAGGGCTAGGACTTGGGTAGCTCGCCGTAGTGTCTACTTCATTTGTGGAGGAAGATCCTGAGCACGTCGCGTTGCATGATCGAAGAGATGGCGCCAAGTACCATTTGCAGTCCATAGACGCAATCGGCAAACAGAGCGGGAGCGGATGCAGACAGAGCCGGAGACAGAGAGAGCGAGAGAGAGTGAGAGAGAGAGAGTGAGAGAGAGAGAGATAGAGAGAGAGAGAGAGAGTCAGAGAGAGAGTCAGAGAATCGGAGAGTCAGAGACAGCCTGTCAATCACGAAGGCGGAGACTCCCGATGAAGCCTTGTACCTGACAAACGCCACGGGTGCATCTGTTTGGAAAGTGATCTGTGAAGGCGCGTCGGCATCGGCATCGGCCTATGTTCAATCAGCCATCACGCCTTTTCTGCCCCCGCCACAAGATTGTTGGAGCCCTTCAGGGGTCCAGCATGTCCGTGTAGCGCTGCCGCAGCTCTCGCAAGTCCTGCAGCGCCTGTCTGGCGCTGCTTTGCTCGGAGAGGGGCCGTTCGGACAGGTCGCGCTCGCGGACGGCATCCAGTTCGCTCCGCAGCTCCCCCGACATCTGCCAGGCTTCCGCCAAAACCTCCGCCTCGCTGGCCCGCGCCTGCTGCACTCGTTGCTGGTACTGGGCCCAGTACTGGGCCTCCCGTTCTTCGAACTGCCGGTGCAGCGTAGAGTACGCCAGCTCCTCACGATGCTGCCCCGCACGGGCCTGGGCCTCCCCGCGCCGGGCCTCGGCCGCCTGGCGCTTCCACTCGCGCGCAGCCTCCGACTCGGCCGCGGAGGCCAGCGCGGAGTTCGAGGTCGCCAGGCGGGCCGCCCGGTCTGCAGCCGCCGCCTCGGCCTTCCAGGTGTCCGACAGCGTCAGCTGCGCCTCCAGGTCGATGCGGCGGCGCCGCTCCGCACGGAGCTCCTGCTCCAGGATCGTTTCGCGGCCCATCGCCTGATCGCGCTCTTGCTGCTCGGCCTGAAGCTGTCCGTTGAGATCACGGATTTCGTCGCAAAGCTCCTCCTCCTTGACCTGCCAGGCTGCCCAGTCCTTCCTTCGAGCAGCATGCTGCTGCATCACCACCTCCGACCTCACAGGCCCGTCCAACACAACATGCACAAACACTCACAGATACAAACACCAACACCAACGCAAACACAAACAACAACCCCCACACAAGCACCAACACAAACACCAAACACAAACACGAACACGAACACCAACACAAACATAAACACACACACACACACATACAAAGCAAGAGAGAGAGAGAGAGACAGAGAGATGAGTGATGCAACCAAGACGGAGAGGGTGTAGATAAGGTTCCGGCAGTCGGAGCGCATATCGCTGCAAGGAACCCCCCTCCAGGCTCAGAGGGCTGCGCCCCTCCGGGCCGTCGGCTGGAACACCGGATCCCTCAGCTGGCTTACTCGACATGCGTCTCCCAGTGAGCCCATATCAGCCCATAGTCAGCCCATGAGCCCATCAACTCAGGACCCAGGCATCAATCAACGAACGGTCTTGTGATGACGGTCTTTCTACACAATTTTGTTGGGTCTTGGCAGTTGCTGGCATGCTGCTACGCTACATTCCGTGCAACCTGTCCAGCCATGCACCGCAGGTTCACGGGAAAAGCAGCATGTAACCACAGCCAGCAAAGTTGGCAACTGGCTCGCACCGCCGCCGCTTCTCCTTCCCAGTGTCCACGACATAGCGCCTCTGAAATCACGCATTGGCTGGCCAACAAGGTGCCTGGATGAGCTTAGCAGAACCGGAAAGAGACATGGAGTGGCAAGAGATGTGGACATGAGTGCAGCACACATTGGGCAAGGTGACCTGAGGCCAAGCATCGAGGTGAAGCCAGTGTGCAACGTGCAATACACTGGGCGGCCCGCTGACGTTTCGGCCACATTGGTGGAGATCACCACCTGTGCACAAAATTCGCAAACAGACTTAGCCATGTGCAAGTCTCGATGTCCCCACTGGTCCGAAAAGCCACTGGGTTCTTCCAAGCTCCGGGCCACGCGTTCACCTTCTGGCGGGTCTGCGAAGGGTGCCAGCTGTCTCGTCGCGGAAAGCCTTGGAAGGGAGCAGCCCAACCAAAGCGCCTTTCGACAACAGGACCCTCGTACGGGTCCATGAATGTCCATGCACCGTCAGGTCGAGGATGATGAGCAAACAAGCTATCGCTCTGACACCGGAGCTTTCCGTCACTACATACAGCTTGCACCCAACAAACGAAGGTGGCGGCCACAGCCGCAGCCACATGTTTTAACCGACTTGGGCTGCAAGTCCCTCAGCAAACGAACGGACTGACTCTGTGTCTCCGCCGTGGCTTCGACACGGGTCAACTCGTTAACTTTGGAGCAAGCACCAATGGCACTGTTGAAGGTCAGCTCATTCACTGGTACGCTCCTCTTGCGCATGGCCTCCACGAGATGGCTCGCAAGCTCCCACTGTGCAAGTCCCTCGATGGCAGCATTGCAGCTTATCACGTCAGGCACCAGGGCCGCATCAAACATGCGGCCGAAAAGGTGCAGCGCTTGAGGCCAGCTGCCCACTTTTTGGCAGCCGGCCATGATAGCACTGAAGCTAAACTCATTGGGTTTCACACGCAGCTCACTCATGGAGAACAGGAGAAGCAGAGAGAGTTCCCACCGGCTTGCTTTGGCACACGCGCTCATCGCACTGCTGATTGAAACCACGTTCGGTTCAAGCCGGATCTTTTGCACATGATTGCAGAGATGCAGAGCCAGCCGCCACTCTCCACCCGTCTCACACGCGTGGATGGCACCACTCCAACCAAAGATATCCATTTCCAGGGAAACGCTGCTCATCTCCTCAAGCAATGCGAGCACAAGGCGCCACTGGCCAGCAGCTGCGCAGGCGCTGATCAGAGCGTTGCCAACCAGAATGTTGAAACCCTGCCTCGCAGCTCTCATTGTTGACAGGTGGTCCTAAGGACATTCTGCTGAGGAGCTAACTGAGAATCACAAGAGCCCTGCAGCTTCTGACACAGCAGCCGAACGGACTTGCAAAGCTTTCAGCCAAGGGGCCACAGCCAGCGTCCACTTGCAGGCCCGTTCGCAGGCACTAAGTGATCCGACTGCCGTGAACGAGTCTGCGTTGACATCACATTCTGTCAGCCTGCCCACCAAATCTGCAGCGTGGCGCCATTCACTGCAACGGACACAGGCACTGATGGCACTGTTCCAACTCACCGTATCCTTCTAGGCGAACAGAATCTGACACTCTTTATCACCTCTACATCACACTGCTTGTCTAAAAATCATGTGAAAGCGGAAACACATGTTGCTGTGATCTCCAAAGGTTCAGGGTCCATCTCGCAGCTCATGTCCTCCGCACTGCAGGGACACCAAACCAGTCAGGGGCATTAACAAATCAAAGCGTCCCCACTTCTTACTCTAGGTATAGTCACCGGTAGCGTGAGAAAAGCATGACCTGTATGGAGCCCAGCGAGGTCTGCCAGCAAGCTTTCTCTGCACATGACTTTAATACAGAGTTCCAGCTGAATGCATCTGGATGTGTCTTCAGCTTTGACATCCTGTGCAGCAGCTGGAAACTTGACTGCCACCGTTCTCCGAGAGATGCGATCACCGAGTTCCAGGTGATGACATCAGGAGTGGCTATTACATCTTCGTCGCTGTCCATGCTGCTCATGATCAGAAGGCCCATGGCCCAGTAGCTTTGGCTGCTGGCTGCGTGGATGGCCGCGTTGTAATGGATGGCATTGGGCCCCAGCTGATGCCTTCGAAGAACCCGCAGAACCAGCCAAGCCGTCCTGCGGAAACCGCCCTTGGCCAAGCTGTTCAACGCCCGGGTGATGAGGTGTGGCTTCCATCGCCACTCCTCCAAGACCTTGCCGTTGCAGCTGAATTCATCAACAGTGGACTTAAGACTTAGTCAGCGTCCTAGCTTCACATTGCGAAGGCGTGACAGCTGGAGCAACACAAGCACCTATGCTTGCCAACTGATGGAGCAACGGATTGACAAGGACGGGACACCGGCTGCAGAGCCGCCTCCACAGCCTCCAATGTCGCGTAGGGCCCACGCCGCAGCACCGCCGCCACCTCTGGCGGATCGCCTCTCCGTGCCTTGAGGCTGGGGAAAGAGGGCAAAGTCTTCCGCTTCCCCGCCACACCATCCAAGGGAACTTCGGAAAGACGCTCCATTGGTGCTCTGCGCAAGGGGCCATGGCAAACGGTCACGGGAAGCCCCAAGCCCTAAACGTCCGAAACCCTTTTAAGCTCCTGCTCGGTGTTGGGACTTCCTGAAAAGGCTTGCAATAAGCACCCTTCTGCAAAAGGCCCTTGGCAATGTTAGCACAGGCCAGGCCACCTTGTCAAAGGTCCCATCGTAAGTGGAGTCATACCAATCCCAACACCCCAAACCCAATAAACCTGCAAACCCTATAAACCCATCAAACCATCAACCCGAAACCTTGAACCCACATCATCCAGCCTTCACCTCTCCAGGTTCGTCCATCCCATACAGACCCCAGGGCCCTACGTCTTTAGCTGTCTTCGTGTCTGCAGTCTGCTGCAAAAAGAAATGCGTGAGAAAGATGGGGGATCCAAACCCTTCTCTTGCTCACAAGGTGGTAACACCCCTGAATGAAACCGAAACCTTACCATATCAAGTGCAGAGACCTTTCAGATAATCAAGTGGCTCAAGCGGGGACAGAAAAGGGATGGTCATATACGAACTATCATGCTGAATCATACGAAGTTCGGGACTGCGCCAACATCATCCAGCAACTCCTAAGGCTACACTAGAAACAAAGGCTCCACGGAGTCACATTTCGTCCCAGCCGATAGCCGACGTCGGCAGGTTTCAATGCCTGCGCAGCTTAGCTTCGCTAAAAGCACCTGCACCTGCCAGCCCCTCCTGCCGTAGTCACACGCGTGCAGGAGAGAGCTGACGGTTAATATGTCTGGCTGCAACTCGCATTGCATTGCAGCGAACAGTTGGATCACGTGCACCCACAAGCACACACTCTGGCATACAGAGATCACAGAATTGTACAACGTCAAGTCGGTCAACCTAGAGCTGTAGAAGCCACGGAATAGCGGGAAGGCACGTTGCCAGATGGAATCGCTTGCAGCAACACTGATTACCGTGCTGGTCATAGCCATGTCGGCTTGAAGTGCGCAGCGCTTGCTGTTTGCCAGAACTGTCCAGGATTGCTGCCACGAAGAACGCACTTTCAAGGCAGGGTTGATGATAATTGCATCAAGGCGCAGAGTCAAAGAAGCATCAAGCATCAACGCCACCCCAGCTTGCCAACACCTCGCTGCATCGCATGCGTCCACGGCCATGCTGAATGGCACGACATTGGGCCTCATGCTGTTCAAAAACAGCTCTTGTCGGAACGCGACAGCGCGCTCCCATTGAGCAGAACGAGCGCATGCACCAACACTGGCACTAGCTGTGATGATGTCATATTGTCCGCCCTCCACGCGCACCGTGGTCAGCAGCTGCAAGGCCTGCAGCCAAAGCCCTCCTTTTTCATGGGTGCTCATCACCGCATTGTAAGAAATGATGTCTTTTTGCCAGGATTCAGACATACCGCCGAACAAAGCCACGGCGCGATGCCACGGTGCCATGGCACACGTGGCACACGAGCTTACAAGTGTGTTGCAAGAGACCACGTCAGGCCGCATCCCGAGGCGGCATGCGGCCGAGAGTGCCGTCAACGCAATGTTCCACCGACCAGCCTGTTCGCAGGCGCTAATTGCAGCATTTACCGAAATCTGGTTTGGTCTGATCATGTGCTTCCGCATTTCAGTCAGGCATAGGTTGGCTTCTTGCCACTTTCCTCCTCTGGCAGCAGCGCTTGTGACAGAGCTGCAGGCAATGACGTCCTCCTGCAGCTGATTCATCCGCAGCTCTCTTGCGATCAGCCAACCATGCTCCCATCTCGCCCCCTTATCACATGCGGCAAGGGCTGCACTGTGGAGTACGGTATCGGCCTCTAAAGCAATTCGCCGACAGTTCTTCAAAATAGCTACGGCTTGCATCCATCGCGTTCTGCAGGCACTGATGGTGGCTGAGGCCTTCTTCACGTTGGGCTGCGCACTTAGCTTCGAGAGGTTGATGTAAGCCACCAGCGCATGTGTCCATGCCACATGCGCTCTTCGTGATTGGAAGTTATCGCCTGTCTGCTCTGTAGGTCGTTGCCGCGCTTGAGGCTGTACCTGTACCTGTCCTTGGGGGCTTTCGCGCGGACGTGAGATCATATGCAGCCGCGACACCTTCCATGCTTTCGGCCGAGATGTGTGCACAACTGAAGTTGCACACTCGATCCATGCTTTGTTTCTGGGCGCTGGCGGCTGCGTCGTGTTTTTCCTGACATCTCTGACCGACAGTTCCGATTTCAGAAGCCGGCTACTGCAGCACTGCCTGGCCAGCAGAGAGCACTGTTTTCACCCTGCCCCGTGCAATGCTGCACACGTCATGTCACCGAGTTCGGTGAGCAGTGGCAGCGCAGCGTGAGCCCTCCGGCCTGAAATGACTCTCGTGAGAATGGCTGAAAAAAGGCGCAAGAATCGACCCAGGCCCGGTCCTCGGCGACAGGCCTCAATCGCTGGACCAAAGCCTCAATCGTCTTGGTGAGCAACAATAGCAATGGCGGAGGTCCCCCGCTGTCGCCGCACGCCACACTATGCCACACTCTCCGGTTTGCCATTTTTTGCATCAAAGCGGCTGATCGCATCCGGGAGAATGCCGGCCGCCGGCATCTCTTGCCTCGATTGATACCCCCTGCCGCTATGACAGCACACACCGCCAGCAGCAGACTGTCAGCAGCAACTACACTAACGTCACTAACTACACTGCACACAGCCGTCAGCGTGAGCTGCACGTGTCGAGGTGCCACAGGCCGAGGGCCCGCTGCCATCGACTTGAGGATGCGCAGGCACCCACGGCAGAGCTCATCGTGAGCCTGCGAAGCCATACGAGGGTCGTGAAGCACGACATCAGCACCCCAAAGAAAAGCCCCAGAAGAACACGGCCCCTTGACCCGTTCACCCGTTGCAGTCGAAGGCACACATTCGGCA